ATTCTCTAGATGGCAGGTATAACGATATAAAATATATTAAGTAATTTAAAATATATTTATAATAATTATTCATACTTTTCTAACTTCTATTCTTTCTAACACAAAAATTTTGAAAATGTCGAGTGGATAATTTTATAAAAAATATATTTTAGAGCGGAAAAATAAAATAAAAGAACTAGACATATTTTTCGAATAAATATTTAAAATTTATTTTAAAAATATAAAAATAATCAAATACTATCTCTCAAAATTATTATTTATATATTAAAAACATTAAAATACTAAAAAAAAAATTGTGGGAGCTTTCTAATTGTGGGAGACTCCCACTGATGGGGGGAGACATGGCAACCCTGCTGATAAAAGTATTTTTTACAGCAAAACATTTTGCCCTTATTTCATCTAAAAATTATATTAAAAATTAATAATTGCACATCTTATTTAAAAATTACATATGCTATTTAAAAATAATATTTAACAAAATTATTGTTGTCTTCTTTTATTAGAAAATCCCGCTTAATTTAACTTAATCATAATTATTCTGCAAAATCATTTTAAAATTTGTCATGAACATAAAATATAAGAAAATCTCCATTACACCTATGAAAGAAAAAAAATTTCTTCTCCCCGGCCGGGAATTGAACCCGGGTCTCCCGCGTGACAGGCGGGGATACTTACCACTATACTACCGAGGATGTTACTTATATTTGTTAAAATTTTGCTTGAAAAATATTAAATTATTTTTTACAAAATATCTTGTATCTTTTTAAATATTTTAACAATATCAATATTAAATCGGCAAAATTCCAGAAATTTAAACATTAATTTACTTAGCCTATTAAATTCTTCGATTTATCAAATTTTAAATTAATATTGCAAGCATTATTAAAAGTTGCTGAAAATTTTTATTTGTTTATATTATTCCATAAGCTTATTATATCGTTACATGAAAAAACGTAGGAAAGATAATCTGAATGTTAGAAGAGGAAGGAGAGTTCTCAGTACTTTTCACAAAACTTATGTACAATCCTGAAAAGTTTTATTATATGATATTAAATAACCAAAGTATATATTTCATTGTAAAATCTAAATTTTGTATAACCTTTTATTATATTTTAACCAGTGGCCCCTACAATGGGGGGGGGGGGGTCCGAAGCAACGGCTTCAGTAAATTTGAGTGGGGGGTACTTTTTTTTTAAAACTTTCTTTATTATTTAATTCTTTTACTGTTTTGTTACATCCATCATGATCAAGTATTCATATTTTAATTTAAATATCTTATCTTCCCTCCCTCTCTTTTCTTAGGAATCAAATGATCCCATCAATATTGTTGGAAAAAGAATTGAAAAATTTATAATTGATAAATATCTAGAATTAGGAGCTCTTCAACTTACACATTATTTATTCCCCAAAGATAATAATAATAGAAACAGATCCTTTAATGAAAGCTTTTATGAAAAAACTAATATTGACAATAGCAAAATTGCTAGAAATTGGATTACTTATAGTATTAAAATTAGGGATGTACCGATATTTTATATCGGATCGGGCCGATATTTCGCCCATTTTAAAATATCGGTTATCGGCAAATATTATAAAATTTTCCGATCCGATATAAAATGGCGCTTTTAACAAAATTTAAAAAAAGTTATATTTAAAAATCCATTTATTTTTATAAATAAATTCGGAATATATTTTTATGCTTAATTATTTTAATAGTAATAATTAGTTAATAAACATTCTGCAATATAGTTATTTTTTTCGCATTCTGTTTAAAAAAGTGTTCATTAATCTCTTCAGAATCTGTTTTTAGTATTACTAGTGATATTAACAGTCCCCATCACCGCAGACCGATCTCTGATAAATTGGAAATTTTGGTATTTCTAAAAAGAAATCTTCGATAAATTAATTTCAAATTTCAATATATTTGTTTATTACTAATTATGTAAATAGATTAATGTTATTACTTATTATATAAATAATTGCAATTGAATTGAATATAAACTATAACTGATCATTATAATATATTTAAATGACATATGTTATGGTATAGTAAAATTATAGATGTTGTACTATTAAAAAGAATATTAAAAATTAAAACCGGTATCTTTACAGAATACAAAATTAGATATGATATCGGATCGGTTATCGGCCGATATCAATTAAATATCTGGAATATCGGATCGGATCGGCCTCCAAAAAGTGGTATCGGTACACCCCTAATTAAAATGAATAAAGTTTTTTGCTTAACATGTCTCTTATTTGGCGGTCCACACACAAATTCAAAATGGACATGTGAAGGTCTAGATAAATGGCAGAATATTAATCGTGATATTATTCTGCATGAATCTTCACAGGCACATATGATGGCCGATTATGGAAGGCTTTCTCACAATAAAAATTCGATATTAAAATTTATAACACCCCAGAAAGAACGTGTAGATAATAACCGTTATATCATAAGAATTATAATAAGATGTTTAGATTATTTAATATCTCGTAACCAAGTCTTCTGGGGGAACAGGCAACAAGAAGACAATATGATGGCCATTATTAAGCTTATTGCAGATTCTGAACCTGTACTAAAAATGTATATACAACAAAATGAAGAAAGAAAAAGGGATAAAAAAAATAAGGGATTAAAAACGAAATTATATTCAAATCTATTTTCATATAATAACATAAATGTTCTCATTGAAACCATGAAAAATATGGTTATAAAAAAAATTCAAAATGAGGTTACATTTAACAGGTGCTTTTCAATCATAGTTGAAAATCAGAAGCAATAGTTTTGATAGTAAGATATGTTGAAAATAGTGAGACGCCGAAGCCTGTTGAAAGACTGATTGACATATATTGTACGGGAAATGCCCTCGATATTAAGCATAATATAATATCCAAACTCGGCTCGATGAATTTACCCCTTGAATTTCTAGTTGGGCAAAGTTATGATGGCGCCTCAAATATGAGTGGAAGAATCAATGGTGTGCAGGCCTTGATTAGATTCCAATCCTTAACAAAGTAAACTGCTAATCAGAGGAAGTTTTATTTAAACCAGTTCATAATCCTAATGTTGAAAAAATTTAATGGACAAATGAGAGAAATAGAGAACAATCATATGCATGCAATAAAATTTAATATCGTTTTTATGCCCAAATTTCTATCATTTTTTAAGGAAGGCTAATTATATTAAGAAAAATATCGGCAAAGGAAAAATGTAGAATTAAATAAAATATATGATATGTAAGTTATATTAATTCAATTCTTATAATTTTATATTAATGAATAAAAATAAATGATTGCTTAAAAATCAATTAAATTTTGTTTCTTTTTATATCTTATTTAAAATACATAAAAAATATGTCCTCTTTTCCACTATGCAGGATCTGGTAAGCCTAGGCTTAGGCAATATTTTTCTGGCTAAAATATTGAGTTAGCCGTTTAAAAATGGTTAAATGGAGCTCACACATTAGTTAGGACTCCTGTTTCATCAGTTAAAGAATGTTATTAAACAATTGGATTTAATGTTTATTCTAAGCTTTAAAGGTAGGATATCAAATTTTCAAAAAATGAAAGTTTCAAAAGGCAACCCAAGCAAAACTATACTCATAAGGTCGTATTCTCTAATGACACCGTAAGAATCTAGATATAAAATGTCAGTAATAAATTCTATATTCTATCCCTGAGTTGTTGTAAAGATTAATATGTGCATAATATTGGCAAATATTAACATTTTGCATCAAACAGGGAAAGGGATTGGGTACGGTCAAGGGTTATCATTTTATTAGATAGTGGGTTGGGTTAATATTCAATAAGTATAAATTTTACCTAATAAACTATATAGGATATAAAGGACTGATGTACCCGATGGTTAGTAAATAATGTAATAGCATGGCAAGAGCGAAATTATAATACAACTGATAAATATTGATTATGCGGAAATACTTTATTCAATTTCTTATGCACACTGAAAAATCGATCAAACCTGAAACGAACTCGGGTTTGGCAGGGCCCTTACCGTACCCACTTAATTTTTTCGTATGAAGAACCATAACTATTTAAAAAACAGATAATATATGAATTAATTTAAAAGCTAACATATTATAATGAAAAAATGAGATCGATTGACATTATTATACTCAAAAGGTAACTTCGAAATTTTACTCTGGCTATGAGAATAGTTTCTCAAGTATTAAATAAGCAGGGGTGGATTGGGAAAGATAAGACTTACAGCGGAGAAAAGTTTAAAAAGAATCCAAAAAATTCCGACGCGTTTTTAGATCTTTTTGCATTTATCTTATTGCTTTATTTATTAAATCTTTTATATAGAATAATAAATTCTCATGATTTTTGTTTATATATTTTTTTAAACATAAATGACTTAATGTTCAAATTATATACTTAAAAAAATATGTAATATAATTCCTTACTTATTTTAGTTATATTCGTTTTGAATGAACATTTGCATAAATTACCAATTAATTATCTGTTCTACTAATGCTCGCTAAACCAATATTAAAAAAGCTTATAAATATTAGGGCTTTGCTGAAAATATAGGATCGGATCGGCGCCGATATTTACCGTATAACAAAAATTGAATAAAGCCCATATTTTCAAAAATGATATAATTGTTTTTCATTATTCTTATGATTGTATACATAAATATATAATATTTAATTTTATACGTACTTTCCTAATATAAATAAATAAATAAAAGGAATCTTATTTCAATTTATTTTTAATGTTTTAAAAAAATCGAATAATTTGAAATAAATTAATTTCTAAAAATCATCATGATATTATATTTTGTTATATTATTTGCAACAAGAAAAGGATTTAGAAATATAACTAGTCACATTAAGCCATAAACATTGCCCATATTTAAATGTAATGATTAACTTTCGGGAAATTAAAAAAACGAGATACACTATATCCTTCCCGATAATCACATATTGTCTTGACAATTAAACGAAAAATTTTAAGGTGTTTCTTGTTTTGTCCATAATTTATAGTTAGATATTAGTTTTGCTTAGAAAATATTGATTATTTTATGATATCAGTCTAAAGATAGATGGTAAATAAAAATAATTCTAAATATCAGATCGGTTATCGAATAAATTTAGTATGAATATCGGATAGGATCGGTGAAAGATATGAATCGATACAGCCCTAGAGAATACCTTTATATATTAATTTTCAATTGATTCTGGAATAAAATTTTATTTGAGATTCTGATAATATTTGTATAACAATTGAGATGTTCGTTCCAAACCTTTTTTATCATTGATATCGTAGAGCGAAAATATAATTTCTTCTGTGAAATATTGGGGGAACCAATCCAAGGTGTTTTTTATCAGATCGTGGGAAATGTGTTTGAGAAAGTAATTTTTCGTGTCTTTGTCCAAACTCGAAATTTTTAACAAAAAATTTAATACTGTCGAACTAGAGGAGTCGATTTCTTTCGTTGAAATTATATTTGCGAATGTTTGGCATAATTGTTCTTTGAAAAAAATTAAAAAAAACTGATTATATAATTTTTAACTATATAATGTATCATTTATTTTGTAAAGGGCGAATAATTAAAACCTCCAGTATTTTTATGAAATTCTCAGTATTTTTTTATCAGTATAAAAAAATTAGAATATCAGTATTAAATGCAAAATTGATAGGTATTTTTTCATTCAGTAAAAAAATAATGTTTTTATAAGTCAAAATAAATCTGTCAAAAATCTTTAAATATAGATTTAATTAAATTTTAATAATGGATTTTTCTAGCAGATTATATAATGTACTTATTTTACTGGTAATATAATAAAAATATGTTTACTGAAGAATCAAAATACTGAAAAATTATATTTACTGAAGTTTATATACTAAGCTTCAAGATACTGATATATTTATATAAATACTGACAATGTTGTTATTAAACTGAAAAAAATATTGGTAATTAGGAATAAAACACAGGAGAAAAAAGTAACAGCCTTTGTTTGCAGATTTAAAATGATTATCTAAAATTTAAGAAGATACTCAAGGTAAAATGCGATATAATAGCCCGTTCATATTGTTGTCCGAGTCTGCTTAATATTTTTCAAGGAATTTAAAATTGATATGGAATAAAAAAATCGATATTTTTTAAAATGTTGGATTCACCTACAGACCTCTTACTAACTTTATTGTGGTTAATAATATATATTTAAAATATATTACTTAATATAAAATCAAGCAACTCCATAACTATTTCGTTAGTGGGATTCGACGTTGTAATAATATGCTTGTAAGAATAGTGATTCAAAATTTTTTCAGGTATGTATATCTAAAAAACGATATTTTTTTAAAAAAATTCCTATCTTTTTTAAAATATAACATAAAGTTTTAGTAAAATTTGTATTTCTGGTATGATGTCTCTTATAGGAAATCGGTTTGTCACTAAACACTTTATGTTAACTACTAGGGTAGTTCCATGCTTAAGAAATAATTAAGAATTTTATTGCATTTATGTATTAATAGATAAGGTGGCTTGTAAAAATTGAATTGATTTTTTAAAAAAATTCTTAATTTGAAATATAAGCATAAGCATAGGTATAAAATAGGGACCGATATTGGGGTGGATTGGAAAAAGTAAGAAATTAACTGCTTGGATATTTAAGAAAAATTATAAAATAAGTTCTGGATTGGTTTTAAAATATAAGTATTCATTTTTTTTAAAAAAATTTACTTTATTTTATTTTTCTTTATAAAAAAAATATATTTTGATAAATTAAATAAAAGCCCATTATTTAATAATATCATAGAATGCGGAACGCACTTGAATGGGGTTATCCAAGGAGGAACATTGAAGGTAAACAAACGCCGAAGAAACAACGCTTATCAATATGTCATTGAGGAAATGAGAAAAGGGTTCCATTAATACCCTTTTCATATCTTTTCTAGTCAGCCCTTAAATTATTATTTTTATAAAAAAAAATTAATTAAATAATTCTGTCTAGGATTGTAAAATTCCAGAGAGCTCGGGAACATTCCTCTGGACAATTGAGAAGAAATAAAAATTTGAATGTAAAAGTATTACTTGAAAAACAGGTAGGTAGCGTCCTAACTAAACTTAATTTTTGTTCTTAATCCTAAATTTTATTCAGAAAAGCAGTTTGGGCATTATTTTTTAGTTTTTTTAAAAATTATAGACATTGATATAGTATTGTATAACAGCTCGGTTTGAGCAAGTTTTTAAAAGACGACTAACGCAATATTTTATCCAAAAAATATTACAAAAGCCTGAAGATTATATCAAAGATGGCACAAGGGTTTCGACATATATTAGCCAAATCTCGAGGTTTAGGCAAAATTTTTCTGGCAACAATATTGAGTTAGCCGTTCTTATAAATCGGCTCAAATCGAGCCATTTATTGATATTCATAAAACAGCTTTATAAATATTGTTTTTTCGTCAAAATTTATAGCCGGATATATTAAAAAGGAAATCTCCAATCTGAAGATAAAGAAGCGCATAGTGGCTATAGCTAAAAACTCTTATCCTTTGATTGTTCGAATCAAATTTTTTTTAAAAAAAAATCGTGTATTTTAAAATGTATAGCCAACTTTAAAGTAGTATATCTATATCATAACAAATTATCAAGATATGTAATTTATTTCTTAACATGAGTGGTAAGTATGAGCAAAATAGAGCGCGGAAGCCCTAAAGTCCAAAGAGCATATGCCGATTATTTGGTCTTTCTCGTTATTGAAAAAATCCAAAAAGCAATTATCCAATATTACCCCGCCGCCTGGTTTAGTGGGATGAAGATGGGATACCTTGTTTAGGAAGTGAGCTTCTTTCATTATCGAGTCGAATAATTCGGATAGAAGTGAGGGTTGAATTAGGTTTCGGGCCACTTGCGGATCATTTAAATTACCTTTTCAGTTCGAACAAAAGGACATTTATCATTATTATAGACTATTAAATTTAATATCATGAATGTGATTCGGAATTTCTCTAAGGCTTTCTTTTACTTATATAAATTTTAGCAAATTTTTTAAACATCGAAGTTTTATATAAATCCTTCTATCTAATGGCGTCGTTAGTTCTTATTATTATAGGCGTGCTGTAGTCTCTTTTTGAAAATTATAGTTGCATTTTCAAATAAATATTTTAGCTAGAAAATATTTTATCAACAAATCGATTTCAATTTTTTTAATAAATAAAAATCAATAATAAATTGTTAAATATAATAAAAAATAATCACCATATTTTAAAAAAACAAAGTTAATATATAAATTTACTATAAAGTGTCTTCCATTTGTTAATAATATTTTCGTAAGGCGCGGTTTCCTCCGATCCGTTTTTGATAACTTGAAATAGATATTCGTAATCCTGATGATGGGATTGTTTATTATCTAAATTACATTATGATTAGAAGGAAAAATGGATTACCCAAGTAAACCTGGAAAAGGGGAACGAAGAAGAAGAGCAATACATTTAGTACTTAATGTTTTATAAATATATTAATTAATAGGCTTAAAATAATTTTTCAATCAAATTTATTTTTGTTAAATATAAGATAAAACTTTTTAAGGTCATTTAAATTATTTAACCTTAAAAACAAAATCTTATTTTCTTATTTTCTTACTTTGTTAATTTTTCTTTTTTTACTTTGTTATATGTAAAAACAAAATAAATTCTTTTTCTTTAACCTTATAATAAATTCTTTATTTTCTTAAATTTTGTATATGTAAATAATCAAAATATAAAAAATATATATATAGAATAGAAATTTATCAAATAGATAGATATATATTTGTTAATAAATTAAAAGAAATTAAAATATTTTATCGTTGCCTTCTGTGTAGTTATCAATGTTTAAATGCTTTTTACACCTTTTTATCAATGTACATGTTAATTAAGATCAAATTCATGCTTCAAAGTAAGAAATAAAATATAAAAAAATTGGCAGGTTAATATTGGTTTTATTTTAGTAATCCTCAAATGTAGATAAGGAAAATAATTTTTTAAATCAATCATGAGATTAAAATTAAAGTTCAATTAAATTAAAATTTTCAGCTGATAATTCAAAAATAAAATAATTTAACTATTTTTTAAAGTTTAGTTTTATTTTTTAAAAATAATAAAATAATTCGTTTTTTTGGTTTTTTATTTGATTTTAAAATTTAAAACTTAAGAGGCCCATCAAATATCTCATTTTAAATTTATTTAAAACCTTTTATTTTTTTTCCTTCATGATCTTGTGTTTGAATGATCCTGTCCATCGTTGAAACTATCTCTTTGGTGAGAAGCCATCTAATGCATAAATAAAAGAATATATTAAAATTAAGATATTATTAGTTTATGTTAGATAAAAGTGATATAGTTTTATTTGGCTAAAACATTTAATAAATAATTGTAATCGAATTGCCAATAACAATATATAAAAAATACCAACCGTATTTTTCAAAATTTCTAAAACAATATTCTTGACAAACTCAAAAATATCTTAATTATTTGATCGATTCATTCATACACAATATGATGTAAACCTATCCTGGAAAGATATTTTAATATGATTTGTTTCGTTCATAAAAAAATTGGTATTTGCAGTGGACTCATTCTTAGAGCAATTGTTTGATTCGGCATCTCTTGATTCGCCTTTAGGTGGGTTCACATCCAATCGAAAATATTCGAGCAAAGGTCCCTTGACGTATTCATACAATTCAATATCTATTATTGGGAGATAAAACCGAGTCCACACGAAAATGCATATGGTCAGTGAAAACACCTTTTGCTTTATCTTATCGAGTATTCCCTAGAGATTTACACAAATATAATATTAAATAGTATATATTTTTTTGGATTTGTAAACTTTTTCCGCTCTATTTTATTTTATAAGTATTGGTTTATTTTTTTAATTTGAATTCCATATATTAAAAACTTTGCAATGCACTCATTTATAATTACTTTTAGTGTTTTGTGGTTTACCCACAGGTTAGTTATTATTTATGATGAGTTAATTCATATAATTATTTAAAATACTATCGCCAAAATATATTTTTAAAATTTGTAATAGCTTTCTGCTGAATAGTGATTTTTAGACTTAAAAAAATAGGAAAAAGTTTATCTATAAGCATATTTTAAAGGTATTATCTCCTTATGTCAAAATCTATATTTAAAAAAAAACCAAAAGAGGTTCGGCCGTGTCTTGATTCTTAATTTTGATGCTTAATGCTATTTAGCATAGGTTCAGCTTTGAGTATTTGGTGGAATTGTTATTTTTCGTATTATCTATTACTTTTTAGGCTGTTTAGTCAAAGCTAAATAGCTGGCTGTTTAGTAATAAGTCAAATAAGGATGACCTTAAAGCTGTTTTTGTGACTAGAATTCACAATCATAAATTAAGAAGAGCGAATTTTGGAATAAATTTGATAAAAATATTACCATTAAATAGTTGTATAAAATAAAATGAGGGTGTATAAAAGTTATAAAGTTGATTTACAAAAAGTGTCTCCTTATTGACGACGCCTTGTTTCAGGGCTAAAAATAGTTCGTAAAAAACGTAAGGAATTTGGCAACTCAAATCGTTCCATTTCATTAACCTATAATATATGTTCATATATAATACAGAAAGAAAAAATAAAATATTCTTTGATCTTAAACCCCCCCCCCCCCCTTCTCATTTAAAAAATTAATAAAGGTTATTCATTTATAAGTTACTTATTCATACATAGTTTTGAAATCAAAATTGGGCGCCAGAAACATGGATAAATAAGCCTCGACTTTGTTTTTATCCCTATGTTTGAATGGATCTTGGTGGTTAGTCAATTTGTAAGCATCGATAGATTGGTAACGGGGTATGGCCATAAAATAGCGACACCAGGTGTGAAAAAATGAATTCGTTATATCTATATTTCCTGTTTTATTTCCAGCCAAAGGATCTTTAAAGCTTTCCAGACACTATCAAAATATTTTGATAGTTTTGAATAAATAAAGAGAAGTTGATATTTGAAAGAAAATAATAGAACAAATATATATATTTAGAAAAAAATTATAAGGATTATATAAAAAAAATGAATAGGAAGACTACAATGAGAAAGATATATAGCAATGACTAAGCATCAAGTTTACTACTAGGGAAGCCAATTCTTTATGGTTTTTTTTATTAACAAACTATATAAAGTATCAAGATGTATAATTAAGCGGAATTTGTCTTTGAATAAAATATTCAAATATACTGAATTATAAAAATTGTTAGATTTAAAACTTTTTAATTACTTTTAAATTGAAATCGATATATATTGGATAATCGATTTTGACTATATCATCTTTCTGAAATAAATTTTTATCCTTTTCGAAGATAAACGTTTCCGCTTGGCATTTGTGGTTGTTGGAGTCAAAGTAAGTCGATTAATTTGGATAATTTAAAAAAATTCTTTAAAACTTTTCATTAATTTGGTATACATTATAAATGCAGTATTTTATTGATTTTTCTTTTTTAAGCATCGTTTCGAAACACTACTTTAATTCGGTTACCAGCTTGTGTAAATTAAATAAAATTGGGAATAATTTTAATTAGTGATGAAATGTTTGGAATTCATAATCCAGTGTGCCAAGCATATTTTTCATATGTAACGATAAAAACATTATGAATGCAAGTATTTTTTTCAAGATGGTGTTCCCTCCTTTTTCGATAATCAATTTCTTCATAAATTTGGGTAAAAAATATAACGGGAATTACACGGGCCGGGATCTTTTGGTTAAATTTTAATGGCCAGCCAGAGTATCCAAATTTTTATTTTTTTTTAAATTTCAAGCTAATATATTGATTTTGATTAATACTATTTTAAATACAATATGCTTATTTCATATTTTTAGAGCTTTCTAATTAAATTACTAAATCTATAAATAAAATAGTAAATTTACAAAAATTAAATAAGATATTTATGATTGATTTATAAAATGGTTGTTATAAAAATAAATAGCCAAAGAGTAGAGATATAAGAGCATTAATTGACACTGGGGTTTGATTCATAAAATGGTTGTTATAAAAATTAACAGCCGATATAAGAACATTAATTGACATTGGGGGAAAACTCGATATAGATATTAAAAATATGCTGGCCAAAAAATTCGCCTAAAAAATTAACCAGCCTAAGTCTGATAGACATTATAATACATTTTGTTTTAGTATAGTTAGAATAAAATAACATATATCTTTAAAAAATTGAATAATATTTTAAATTTTTTAATTGATATTTAAAAAATTTTGATGACATTTCTATGACCCAACCGAACTTATTTCAGCCGATCCCACTTTGAACCGAACAGGATTTACAATTTTTATCTGGTTATAAGTCTGAAACGAACCTAGCCAAAATATTACGCTGACCGAAGCCCTGTTATTAATTATATTTGATAAATTTTTGAGAAAAATTACAAAGAAGAAATGCTTCCTTTACATCTATGGATGCTTCACCATTGGCATATAGTATAATGGTTTTACAAGGTAACGTTAAAAGTTAATAATAACTTTTCAAAAATCTTATATAAAATAACATACCTGAATCCCGTATGTTTGTATGATGTGGATTAGGATGAGGAAGGAGATATCGTATAGCAAAGCCCTTGAATTGGAGGACTTACTCCCTTCAGCCAAAGCTTCCTTGCTGTATTCAAGAAATCTTACAAAAAGATTCATAAAATTCGTTTTTTTTTAAATAAATACATTATATACAAAACTGATAAAATTATTGTTAAATTGGAGAAAAAATTTTATCACCAATAAATATATTATCATACTATTTATGAACACAAAATGTCCAATTTATAGGGGATGATAAATTGGGCTAGTGACTTGCTAAAAAGTCATCTTTAATGTCGCAAATAAAAAGATACCGCCATTCATTACTTTATAGAATTAGTTATAATATATCTACTGTGCCAAAATATAAGTTTTCATGAAAAATAAACTTTAATTTTTTCAAAAAATAACCTAATTAATTTACGAAACAATACGGGTAACGTGTCAGTATTAACAGCCACTAGTAAGATTATATCGAGATTGTTTTTAATGATAGTATGGCACATCACTTCTAAAATCGGTTCCATGTTTTTTGAGCAATCTAAATCAAAAGTCTATTATATAAAGTAAAAAAAATTATTTCATTCAAATATGGTCATTTTTATATAATATATATTTTTAAATCTAATTTATAGTTTTTTTAAATATTCGCGCGCCTACAAAATTGAGTAATATTCAATGACATTATTAACATAAGCTGACGGTTCATTTATTAAATGTGTACATAAGAGACCATCACGGGCAGGGTATGTGCCTAATATAATATTTTCTAGCGGGTCTAGTTTTTCAATATTTTTAATATAGATATGGGCCGGGCCTGTGTCTAAATCTATTTAAATTTAGCTTATTCAAAACAGTTCCTAACTTAAAAAAATATTCTTCTGATAATAATAAATTTCAGTATTGCAAACAAAATGATTGCCTAAATACACTTAAATATTGTTTATTTTTTTTATTATATATAATAAATTAAATTTTTGGATATGGGCTTAGGGCGGGCAAAGAAATCTTTTTGAAACTTACCATTGGCCTATGCCAGGTTGAGAATTTCTTAATATTAAAATGGGCCAGGCCCAAACATTATCTTTACTGCGGGCCTTGATCAAAAAATTAAGGCCCATAAAGGTCTATGGCGTACATATATTATAAGTCAGCTGTAGTCAATGTCATAGGCTGTAGCGTTATTGAAAGGCATTTATTTAGATCTAAATGCCTTTCCATGGTGGAATTGATTTCTGCGAAACATTTTTAGAACCGCTGAATTGAAGCATCTTATTAAAATACATTTATGGTTTAAAATTTCAAATATCCAAGTTTATTTGTTTTAAAATTATTTGAGAAGAAATCACCATGCTCGGATAACACCATCTGTTATATTCCCTATAGGTTAATTTAAAATAATTACTAAAATTCAAATATTTCAGAAAAAAGTTTAAAAAATATGTAAAAATAATGAAAAACTAATATTATGTAAAAGATAAAAGTTACTACATCACCGACCGGCAAAAAAGCTAACCTTATTTATTACATAAAAATAATATTGTTGGACCTTTAATATGTTTACAACTGTCGATTCAACTTTCAAGATGAGTTGAGGAGATGATTGAGTCGTTTCATTTTTATTAGATTCTTTGCTACTATTCACTCTAAAAAAATTTTTACAGTATATTCTTCAATGCAATAAAAAATAATTGGGTTGTCTATTTTTAGACAAGGCTTACCCCTGTGTAACGTAAATCGTGGTGAAGTATATAAAATATGATAATTTTACATTAATGTTTGTATACTTCGCCGCGAATTTGTGCTAACTGTGAAAGCAGGATTATTCGACGTGATGTATTTTCAGGTATGTTACAAATGGACAAAGCTGAAAGTCTGGTATTTAAGTTATTTGATAAATACTTCTGATTAGAGTCTAGAAGATAAAAATGAAAATATGATCGGAATTAGAAAACTATGGCATTGATGTATTAACTACTTGCATACAGGGGCGGACTGGCGAAGCTACGGCCTCGTGGGCATTTAGCGGCCTCATTTATATGGGGGCTCCGCCCCCATTCGGTGATTTTGCCCCGCATTTGCCCGGTCTTCGACCGGGTTCCCTTAAATGGCTTCTTTGATATACATGATTTTTATTATTTTTTGAAAATAAGTTCAAACGATTTAAATTTTTAGTAAAAATAAGAATAGTATATTATACGATAATCATATATTTTATTTTTAAAAAATGCACATCTAAAATCATATTCATTACCTATATAAAATAATATTAATTGAAAATATATATTTTATATTAGATTTACAACGATATTGCAAAAATCATACATCACATGTTAAATATAAAAAAATGCATACTCAATATATTAAATCAATTAATTATAAATATAAAATTATTGTAGTTATACAATATTACAGAGAATAAAATTGCTGCACTTTTAAAAATCAGCACCGATCATATTGTAAATAATATTAATAAGATTCTAATAAAAGAATTAAGAAAATATATAATTTTTACGTTAATAAATCTTTCATTAACTTTGAACCTTTACGCAAATATAAAGGAATATCTTCTAGTTCAATCTATGCTAATAGTTCTCTTTCAACTTACATCATTAAAAACGCTTCTTATTTTTCTTGGTCAATATTAGCTCTCAGCTTATTTTTATAATTTTTAATTTACTAAATACTTTTTCGCAATTAACCTGCGTAAATGATAAAGTTAAAATGTATTCATAAGCCAAAAATAAATTAGTCACTTGTATGCATATTGTATCTTTTAAGAATTTCATACACGCATATTAAACACTTGTTACATTTATTATCACACTCTGATTTATTATCATATTGTAATATTCCATCTTCTTCTTTTGACTCCTAACTTGTACATATGATATTATCGTCCGTTTCATTTAATTCTGCTACCAAATCTTTGAATACACTGGCAAATGAACATAATTCGTTATGAAATTTAACACTCAATATATATGCCAATTGTGCCAGTTTTTCCAAGGCCTTTGCAGAAATACCATTACTATTTATTTCATCAAAATGTCTTGGATGCAAATATTGCACATTCAAGATAAGCTCTCAATTCGCAGAAAATAGTTCCGACAAGCTGTTTATAATTTGATCAATTATAGAACGAAATAGTTTAAACCAATAAAGGTCAATCGATTCTTGAGGACGTTCATTTTGGAATTTGTCACTATATATTCTCTTCGCTCTTCCTATTCGATCTTTTTACATAGCATTTTGTATTCAGATACTCTCCGGGAGCTATAAATATGAAAATGTTTTATTTAAATTAGAAGCCATTTTATTGCTTTGTAATAATCGATGATACAGAAGATTTAGCATCTTCTTTCATTTTCCATGCTGACAAAGTACCTAATCTTTTAGTTTAACAATAATATGACAGTGGCCCCATTATTTTAAAAATTTGCAAATATATTATAGCTGTACTTAGAGTTTAAATTTACATAAATTATAAAGTTTTTGTCATTATTTATTATCTATTATAAATTGAAGTGCCTTTATTGTTATTAGGAGCAAGCTCTCTTTTATATCCATCTAAGGGCTTTTTCACGTGTTCACCACCTTATCTCACCTATTTTTTGCAGCCTTCTCAACTTATTTTGGCCAGATGAATTATTCTGTTTCACCCAAGCATCTATCGTTTAATCTGATTCACCGACCTAGATATTATTTGATTTCAATGAATTAAGAACAAGAAATGTTGGCTATATTATTTCTACAATAAATACTTAGCTTTCACTCTATTCAAACGGAAGCGTTTTCACTTCATTTGAAAAAAAAACAAAGAAAAGAACGTAGTAATGATGTGTAGCGTCAAGCGACGTTATGATATATTATGCATTAAAATATAATAAACGACATGACAATTTTCAAGGAATGTGATATTCAAATCATAGAGATATCATTAAAAATAAATAAATGATAAGAGAAAATAATGTGAACATAATAATATTTTTTTCTGATCGGCCTCTATTTTGATATTTCCCACTGATCGGCCTCAAAAATCGGCATTTTCTCGCGGCCTCGTTGGCAAAATGCCCACCTGGTCTTATGGCCAGTCCGCCCCTGCTTGCATATATAATATAATAAGGAAGAAAGTTTTATATTATAAAACGTCTTGCAGGTACATATTAAGATTTCATGAGGATAAATATATATAAATGCAAAATATTGTGGATGATAGTAAAGAAGTTTTTGGTAGAAATATTTTTTTTAGAAAGAACAAATGAGAAGGGAGAAATTTTAATATTAGACTTAAATGTTGGTTAAATACTTGTATCGGGCCACCAATGGGGATTTCTAAATATACAAGTTCTGAAAGACCTATTGATATGTTTTAATAGAAATTCCGTTTGAGAAGTTTGTTAAAGCCCTGTAAATTCAATTTTTCCGGCCTGAGCTAGGCCTTCCCAAAAATTAAAAAGCGAGCCCGCGCCGGTTCAAAATATTTTTAAATGCTTAGGACCGAGCCCAAATTCTATTTTAGACACGGGCCCGAAATTTTTAACTAAAAAATATATTAAACATATTTTTATAAAGATAAATGAAGTAAAAATTGGTAATGATATAAAGAGTTGGTAGCCATATAACAATTTATTAAAAAACGTCCGAATTTTAAAATGCAACAAGATACTTATTTAATAATATATATTAACTCATGCAGTCGCTTCCGATATTCCATATATAATCCTCCGAAGCAAGGAACCACCTAGTTAGCTTCAGAAAAAAATTTGATCCTAGCTGGATCCAAACCTAAAACTATCGGATTAAAAAATACACGCACTCACCGTCTAAGCAATAGAAGCTTCTCGAAAACAATAATTATATAGGATAAAGTTATGACTCCAATTTCGTAATAAACAGATACAAAGCCATACATTACACGTAAAAATCACTAATTCCTTTGTACTTATATATAAATTCTAAATATCATTTTCATTTGATAAAACATTATTTTATATGTTATTTTACATATTTTTCGCCTGATCCAAGCTCGATTTTGGCTGGCCTGATGTTCGAGATGAATTGCAAGGTTAATTTGAGTGGATGGAGATGACCACTCACAATTAATATTATTAAGAACTACCCCAATTTATGCTATTTCCCTTTGAAGTATGGAAGCGTTAGCATACGATTAGTATTGTCAAATACCTCGATTAAGCCGATTTTTTAAAACGGCTAAATTAGATTTTAGTCAAAAAAATATGCCTCAATATTTTGTAAAAAGTGAAACACACTTTTATGCAATCTACATGCAAAATTTGGAGGCCTCGGTAATATTTTTAAGCTAAACTCAACTAAATTTTTGAAACCACCACATACGATATTGTATTCCAGGCTTATTTACAAAAAAATACGAATTGAATAATAAATTATCCGTTTATTGAATTCTTAAAAAAAATTGAATACTTTTGTATTGATAATTATACCAATCGAATATAGATAGTAAATTTTAATATTCCTACAAATACGAATAAAAAATTATTCCATTCGCCCAAAATAAACCAAAACGAATAATTCAATATTCCATACGTTTTTGAATAGGCCTACACTGTATTCTTTTATATCATTAACGATTTCAATTTCTCCGACTCTCACCCAGGTCAGCTAATTAATAAAATAACTCAACCCGGTATTTTCTATCAGCTTTGTCCATTTAGGGATAAAAAGGTATACCAGCAAGTAACATCCCATTAATTAGTCAAAAAGATCGGAAACAAGTCAATCATTTGGGACTCCACTAATGAGCTAAATTTATACATAATAATTATACTTAAAATATCTTTATAAAATGATTGATTAACATTTGTGAATGAAACAAGATATAAATATTTATTGAATAAATTAGTATATTTATAATAATTTCTTAAATAAATTTATATTAAAAATTCAAATTTACTTACCCGACAAAGTCCAAACTTCTATAATCATCCGAAGTCAAAGTCTCCATATTCAATAATTTTTGTAGTAATAAGTCGAATATATTTTCACTATAATAAAAAAATTTTCTTTTTAATTTTAATAATATAATGAAAGAGTTTCAATTTTTTTTTGATATAATAAAATTTTCTAGGACAATTTTTATATGACTTGACTTGTAAATAAAACCAAATTTTGAAAATCAAAAATCTTTAAAGATTTTTCATTTTGAAGAGCATTTCAAATCTGAATAAAAGCGATCCTTTTTTTGAGAATTGCCTGGATCGGCGATATTTTTTTTAAAAAAAATTTATTTTGCAAACATTTAAGATAAATAAATTACACAATATTATTTGAAAAATTTTAATTAATTAATTTTAAAAATCTAACTATACTCCACTACTACACAATTTAGCATCCTTTGGAATTTCTATTTTTTTATCTTTAATTCATATCTATATCTAATTAGGGTTTATTAATGTTAATGGAAGAAGAAGACAATACAATTATTCAAAATTAATATTTTACCCTTTCCTCAGCTTTACTAATATCTTATTTTGTTAGAATAAAATCAATAATCTTCTGCGAGAGAGTGGGTGGGGGGGGGGGTCAAAGCAACCGCGTTAGTCTATATTTAATTAAGTTTGAATCGGGTATTGAGTATTATAATTATCGAAGGAAATGGCGTCATGTCTAGATAGCCATCTTAATGGGTAACTAAGTTCAAATTGCGGGAAACATAATGATTACTTTTTTTTCCCAAATAATTTATCAAATGTCATTATAGGAGGTAGTATTCAAAAAAATTAAGATGGTTATTATTTTGCAACTGAATAATTTTTCTTGAGACCCGTAAACCTTTATGGGGTCGTAGGTTTGCAGAGAAATTCTAATAGACGATTACACTGTTAAGGAATTCAAATTAACGAAAAATAGTCTAATTGAAGAATATATATCAATCTAATAACAAAGGATAGGGATCCTTTTAAAAGATAGTTTAGCAAGCCAGCATTAATCTTCATTGAAAGACCTCATAACTAACATTTTTTGCATTAATAGGATTATACTACTATGTTTACTGTCATATAGGAAAGACTCGAATGTCTTATTTCATTTTAACTTTTTTAAAATAAATTTGTAACACATATGTATATATATATTAATGGTATTCAATGGAAAGATTTTAGCCCTGTTGTTTAATTTTATTTTAAAAATTTCATAATTTTGATTAAAAAACTTACCCATCAGGTTTAAATATAGTTCGCTCGCTTATGTGTAACGCCCATCTGCTTATTAAAAAAATTTCTTAACCCTCGCTCACCCATTTCTGAAAAAATTTAGAACATTACTTTTAATAAAATAAAATGATTGATAAACAAAATAAATTATCTCATCATACTTGCAAAAAAGTTTATTTTAGGAAAAGAATAAAATAAATATGACAATAAAAGGAAAAGGAGCATTTTAACTTTTAAGAGAGAACCCCAATCGATAGGTTGTTAAAACTTGTATCATAGCTTCTTTGAGATCAGTAATTGACTCTCTGGTCTATAATATTGATCTTTCAAAGTTCGTATTGTACGTTCAGCCAATCCATTAGTTTTTGGATGATAAAGTGCCGAACGTATATGATGTATGTTATTTAAATCACAATACCTACGAAATTCCCTAGATAAGAATTGTGGTCCATTGTCTGACACAGTGTACTTGGGTATTTCAAACCTAGCAAACCATTTTTTTAATAGTTAAATCATAGCATCAGCAAAGGTATTCAGCATTAGATCAACTTCTAACCATTTAGAGTTGGAATCGACACTAATTAGCTAATATCGCGAATCTACTGGTCCAGCAAAATTATTATGGATTCGCTCCCAAGTAATGTTGTTAATCGGCTCGATTTGAGCCGATTTTTAAAAATGGCTAACTCAATATTTTAGCCAGAAAAATATCGTTTCCCTAACTTTCATATAAAAAATTGCGACTTTTTTATGATTGGTTGTGATAATTGCGACTTTATACCCATTGGTTATAAAAAATTAAACGTATTTATAATATATATTTGAAAAATCGTGATTTTTGGAAAGCCTTTATGGCGTAGTAGGCAAGAGCTTGGCTTACTTATCCCATGGTCCCGGGTTCGAATCCCGGAAATGGTCATGTTTTTTTTCTTATTCTAACTTGGTGGTTCCATCCTTGGGGGGGATAATATATAGGAGGCCGGACTCGACCACGTGATTCCGTATTAATATATTAAATAATAAGAGTTTTATTACATTTTAATATATTTTGGTCGGTATTTAGCAAATTAGGTTGGTATTTAGAATATCTCCATACATTCACTCATTAACCATATAAAGTCGCAATTATTTATATGAAAGTTATACCAACCGAAAAATATTGTATAAGCCTTGAGATTTTGTTGATAGAAGTTCATGTCTTTGTTCCACCTTTGAACAAAAATCTTAGAGCTTGCATAATATTTTTCTGGTTAAAATATTGAGTTAGCCGTTTATAAAAATCGGCTCAAAATGAGCCGTTTAACAATACTAATCCTAAAATTCCTTACCAATAGTCCTAGAATATAGAGGTACTTCTTGAATACTAGGTCTATTTTTCTGGCATCCAGAGCATATTTTGAATAAATTTTCTATATCACATCTGGGCCACCAACAATACAATCTAAAAATAGATTTCATTATATTTTCCCCTGGATGTCCCCGATGAATCATTCCTAACACTGCATTTCTTAATTTACTAGAATAACCAATATTCCATTCCATTCTATATCACTATCGACAGAAAGCTCTTCCCGTCGATTATAGAAACTAACAATTTTTTTATCAAAGTTTCGCCAACTTTGCTGAATGTGAATTGCTACTTTTTTTAATATTACATCTTGTTAAGACTCTTTTCATATAATATTTTCTGACAATTGCATATCATCCAAATTAATATTTCGAATATCCATAGCATGTATAGAATCTCGATTCTCTTCTATGTCTAATATCGAATGCCTTGATTATATGTCGGCGATTAAATTTTCATTACCAGGTCTATATTCTATTGTAAAATCATAAAAAGCCATCTTCCAGGCCCATCGTGTTATTAGAAATTTTAGGTAAATCGCGTTTCTCCCCAAATAATCGCTCTAAAGGTTTATGATCAGTTCGAAGTAATTAATTTTCTTCCATAAATAAATGAATGAAATTTTTCAATACAAAATAAAAGTGCTTGAGCTTCTTTATCAATCGGAGCGTAGTGTTTCTCTGATTCTAATAAAGTACGTGACGCAAAAGAAATAGGTTTTGTCCTTCCGTCTACTAATTGATGTAACAACACAGCCCCTAATCCTGAATCAGATGAGTCGCATTCCAAAATTATAGGCAACGGAGCGTTATAAGGAATTAACGTTTCCTCGGAAGACATAATTTCTTAACCTCATGGAAGGAATTTTGTTCATCTTTCGTCCACCGCCAAGGTACTTTTACGCTCGATCTATGTAATAGCGCCGCTTTACAATTTAGATTACGAATAAAACGTTCATGATAATTCACGAGTTCTAGAAAAGATCTAAGTTGTATATTTTTAGGTTTTGGTGCATTTCGGATAGCCTTCACCTTTTCTGGATTAGAATGTATACCGAATATATATAATCACCCCTAAAAATGATTCCGATTTTTGTAAAAATCTCACTTTCGTCATTTCGCCTTAAGACCTGCTGTCTGTAATCTGTCTAACATGATTCGCAAATTATTGATGTGCTCCTCATCGTTTTGACCAGTATTAATTACGTCATCTAAGTAGACACCAGTCATTTGGAAATATATTAGAAACTCATCCATATATCTCTGGAATATAGTAGATGCATGCCAATCCTGGAGGCAATCGTCGGTAAAGGAAATACTAATTATGAGTCACTATCGTTAGGAATTCCTGAGATTCCGATTCTACTTCCATCTGTAAATACGCATCTTTCAGATCTATCACAGACCACCCTGGATTTTCTCTAACAAATCGTCTAAGGTAGGAATATCATGATGGTCAAACAATAAACACGGATTGAGTGTAGCTATCAGCGCAAATTCGAATATCGCCATTACTCTTGCGTACATTTACGGTTGGCGTTGACCACTGTACCCTAGTTATAGTCGAATCAATCTTTTCGATAATCCTGCAGCCACTAATCGGTCTAATTCCATTTAAATTGCTTTGCGAAGTGGAAATGGTACCCTACGGGCTGGAAAAGATTTTGGTACAGCGGTATCCTTTAAATGTATTCGCACCGCAAAATCACATATATGTCCCATCTTATCAAAAATTTTTTGATGTTTATTAATCAAATCTCGAATCTAGTGTTATGCAACATTTTTCTTTTTCAATAGTGTTGACCAAATTGGGTACTTGTTTAATCTTAACCTGACGAGGCATTCCTAAATTGAATGCTATAATCCATGGTAATCCGAAAAAAGGTCCCCAGTTGTATTCATTATTACTACTGGTAGTTGTCTGTGATCCAATCCTAACATTGACTTGGGTCTCGCCCTTAACGACTAACGGATGATCACCATATGCAGTCAATGGACTGGTTGGCCTAACTTTTGGTCGACCAATACTTGTCCATATATCAATTTCTATCAATGACCCTTGTGCACTAGTGTCAAAATCAAATTCAACATCTAACCCATTTAACTCTGCAGTTAGTTTTGTTCGATTCTCTCGATTTTGTTGAATCTTTCATATATTATGAATAGAATCACTTGATGACACTCTCATATAATTTAAATTTTTTGATTTATAGCAAACTGCAAAATGACCAATTTTTTTACATTTATTACATGCCGCATTTGTAGCTGGACATCTCACTTCTCGGTTATGAATAAATCCACATTTATAACATGTAAATTTATTATAATCTTAATCTTTATCATTATTATATTTGTATTTATTATTCTCTTTATCAAATGTATTATTATACTTGACTTTATTATAGCCTTTATCAAACGTAGTCGTTTTAATTGGATGTTTATAATTATTATTATTATTTTCTTTTGTTATTATCATTTATCTTATAAACAACAGGCATATTTTAATTTTCCATTTCTTTATCTGCTCGCTCAGAAGCTAATGCTAGATAAAAAATAAATTGGAAAGTCAATTCATTATTATCTCTATCAACACCGTCGGGATATAGAGCCCTAAGATCTCTTTACAATTCCGGCATTTCCATGCCAACCATAAACTTATCACGTAAACGCTCGTCAATATCATTAAGATAATGACAACGCATGCCAATTGTTCTAATTATATCTGCAAATTCAGTTATGGTTTCAGTTGTTCTCCGTAGTCTAACAAAATCAAAAGTTGTTGACTTCGGTTTAAATAAATTTAAATATATTGATTTAATTTTCCTTAAGAGATAATGTCAATCGAATCAAGATAACAAGAACGGTCCACCAACTCAATATTTGCCAAAAAATGTTAAAAATTTATCTTTATATTGACATTGAGATGGGCTTACGTTTTTTAACCGAAAACTGGCTTCCCATTGAGAAAAATATCAAAAAATAGAAGATTCGCCATCGAATTTATCAAATTTTATCGTTGATAAATCCACCAATTTTCTTTTATCCGCCAAATCTGAATCTCCATTTAAGGAATTATCTCCGTTTAAGGAATTATTTTCTCCATTCGTCGCCATTTACGACTAATTATTAGCTACTTTAATTAGTGATCTGCATCGGGCCTAATTTTTCAAGCCCGGTCCGGCCCGAACACAAAATTTTTTTGAAAAGTTTTGCCGGCCCGAACCCGAAATTTATTTTAAAAAAATTTACCGGCCCGACCAGGCCCGAATTTATTTAAATATAGAAATTAATTTTTATAATTACTTAAAATAAAAGACATATGTTATATAGCGTTTAGTTTCAATAAATTAAATCAAAATTTATCGTTTTTATTAATTTCAAAATTATCACATCATATTTATTAATTTTTAATTCAAATGTTTCGTTCTATTTTATAAAATATATAATAAATAACATTTATTTATTAAAACCCTTACCATTGCAAACTCCATTCGTTTAATGCAATTATTCGTATTCGTACGAATAATAAAATGATTATTCGATTCGATTGGTCGTATATTCGATTCAATTCGAAAATTTTATTTAACCATAAATTAAAAAAGATAGAATATTAAATTTATTTTGTAAAATTTAACTATGGATAAAAGACAAACAAATTTTATTAGTAAGATAATATAGAAGCATATATATATATATAATATTTTTATATATAATGTAGTAAAATCAATATAATATTCATATCATGTAGAAGACAAATATACCAACAACAAACTTTTTAAACAAAAAGTTTTTGCAAAAAGTAAAATTTATGATTTCTCCATCATCAAACGACGGAGAAATATCTGGTTCGACCGTCATTCTTGACGGGATGGCTACTAGTTTATTATAATTGTATATGTGTTATAAATTGCATATAAAAATAAATACTCTCTTTGTCCATCATAAAACAATTTTCGGAAGTTAATTTTGTATTAACCGTTAACAACAATTTTAGAAATATAAAATGTTTCTTCATTATTCCACTAGAAAATTTTATTAAATAGGAATAATTGCAAATAATTCCTACTAATAATTTATGATTATTTTTCAATATTTATTAATATAAATTATTTTAATTGAATAATCTCGAATAATTTGATCGAATAATAGATAAAAAATTATTCGACAAATAATATATTTTCCTTATTCTAATTGGATTAGAATAATTGTGATATTCGTATTCGTAAAATATGAATCGAATAACAAATAATTCGTTTTAGGTATACTTATAGTATAATGAAAATAAAAAATTTTGATCTAACTGACTATTCTTAGAGTAAACGGTTATTATTAATGACTTATTATCTTATTAAAATTGAAATTATCAACCCTTCATATCTAAGCTTACATGAAAAATAATACTTATGAGGTCTTACAGTGAAAAATATACAAAATATAATGTGATCAGGTCAAAAAAGTTTGTTACTTATATTTGCTTTGCAAATTTTTGAGAAGATCTGTATTTTTACCAATTAACTTGAATGCTTGTAACAAAGAATTATTAGCAGTGACTACCCCATTATTTAATTTGGTCATCATTGTTATAATTTTTGGTAACTTGATTTAAATTTATTTAAATAATAATTATTTGAATAAAATAAATTACTTTTAAAAATGCAAATGCACACCATTTAAGCTCCCAATTCTTACAATCATTATATTTTAGCATGTTATCAAAAGATTTTTGGAGAATATGGTAATATATTAAACAATACGGGATTTTCTATTAAAAGTAATAAGGGGTTTTATATATCATTATTAATTTACATATAATTTGGCATAATGATTAAATTGGGCTATAATATCATCAGCATTATTTAGTTGATACAATGTGACTTGTAATATTAAAAATATTTCTAAAAATTGAAAATCACCATTGTATATATCGATATGATAATTGCATACAATCTTTTTTTGCTCCAATAAGTAAAAGCTAGAATAGTATAGATATTTGCTTAAATAAAATTTAAACTTTTGATGTTTTAACATAGTTTGTAGATTGCTTTTTACATCTTTATTTAAAGAAATTGTAATAATTTTTTGTCTGATATTGGCAACATAAGAACAGAATTTATCATATATAACTATTTTATCATATAAAAAGTAGGTAAATGGTTGAGATTACTATTATTCAATGTGATTCCAATGATAAAATAATAATACATCTCTTTAGTTTGTATAATTAAAGTTATAGTCTCAATCATGCCTGCAATAAAACAATTTATATCCTCATCATTGTAGGAAAAATTTGAATTCATGATAGAATTTAATAATTTAAAGAGCCAATTAATACTCTTTGTATATAAACAGTATATTTCAGTTGTATAATCAGTTTTATATCTAATATAATTTTAATATAAATTAATAAAACTTATAGCCACTTAATTAATAAATGTAAATTATCTTTATATATTTCAATTATTTTTGTAAGTTTCTGTAATTCAAATTTCTCAATGTCAATACCCATGAGAATTTCATAAAATAATTTTATTGATATAATCTAATAAATTTATTGGTACATATAATTTATATATATATATACCTCCTTTTCTAAAAATTCGTTTAAATATACATATATTGATGGATGAGATTGGCTACCAATACATATATACTCAAATATAGAAACTGTAAATAGAATAAATAAAATCTAGGGTAAATTACTTAATATATCTCTGTGATTGCTTATATTATTATCCTTAAGTAATTTTTCTAATTTTTTTAAGGGCCATTTCTCTATGCATGCAACATAGAACATTTTTTTTAAATCTTGCATTATTAAAATTTTAAAAGACCTAACTAGAAAACGTTACAGTCATATGAAATATATCTGTTATAAATACCCTATATAGGCGTAACAAAGGCGTGGGAAATTCCCATTCCTTCAAAAATAATCCCACTCCCGTAAATATAATAAAAAATAAAAAATTCTTCTCCCTCTATCCCCACCCTCCTCCCACCAATTAATGTATATAATATATCACTATAAGTTCTGACTTGAAAGATAAATAATCAAAGGTAATAATTTTTTTTAATAACAATCTAATTCTAAATTTTTAGAAAGTAGCATTTTTATAAAACAAAATGATAAATCGAATTTGAATGTCAATCAAAATTACTATTAAAAAAATATAATTATATAGCCAAAGGTCTAGTATAAGTAGACCTAAAACCCCCAATGTAGTAAAACAAATCTATTACTGTTCTTCCCATATAGAAAATTTAGGATACGCCTAACGCCTATGAAAATCTACCGTAAAAAAGGTAGTCACGTTTGTATTAATGAATTAATAAAATATTCAAAGGCAAATTTAAATAATCGAGAATAAAAATTTTATTTTGCTTTCTTAACACCTATATTTAAAATTATAAAACTTAAAATGTATGCAATATTTTATACTTTAAATTTGGTAAACCTGTTATATGAGAACTTTTATAGCAGCTATAAATTTGTAAATATTTGTGCACGTAATCCTGATAAGAATAAAAGAATCAAAATATCTAGGAAATTAACCTCATGATTATTATATAATAAATTTTTATTTTAAGTCAGCAGTCAAATTGATATCTATCACTTGACAATAGAAGGTGTCATTACAACATATATTTGTGGCTGATAGTTTTTTAAAAATAACATATGGGATAAATGGACAATTTCCATTCATTATCAAAAACGCGTACTATGAATAATCCAGGAAAGAATGAAGGGGTATTTAAATTAATTTAACAATAAAAAATATGTGTTTATTAGACAAACTTATTGATGAGTGTCATAAGATCTTTATCAGCTAGGTATATATAATTATATTAATAATTATAGCCTTTGTATCAAGTGAAAATTATCAACAGAGAGAAATAGAAAAAGCTAAGTTAGAGCATGCTTATAAAGAAAGTGATGAAATCGTTGATAAACTGATAGCAGGTATAAGTTTAATTTTTTCAAAAAATTATTTAAAATCTATTTAGAATATGCTGAAGATTTTTCAAAAATAATCCAAAGCTTTAGCAAAATCTCAACAAATATGACAGGTTTTATTAAATTTTATGACTATTATATAATTGTTTTTAGAAAGTAACATATCTATTAAAAAAGTAAAAGAAAATTTGACATCCTGTAAAAAATTATTAAATTGTCAAAGAGATGATTTAAAAGTTTTATGGCTTGATGGTTTGCAACAAAAATATACATTAGAAATGCTTGAACAAATGTATGAATATGGTGTTTATGACAAAATTATTAATGAATTTTTAGAGAAATAATAAAAAATGTTCCAAATGAAATTGAGAGTAAATTAATCAAAAAAAGATACATGTCCTTAGCTGAACTATATGTCACGGCAAGTAATATTTCACTATATTATTTAATAGAGAAATTTTTTAGCATCTCATTTGGAGGGTGATCTGAAACAAGTTGAAGGGTTAAGAGAGATAAAGGCAGAAATAATTACAAAAAAAGAAGTTTTTTTAATTTTTTAAATGATTTTAATATTTTTTTTTAAAAATTGTTATATTTATTGATAAATAATAAATTCAAATTGAATATCAACAATATAAATATCAAACACAATCGATTTATAACATGATTGTTGTAGGAATAGATAGCCATAGAGGAGAGATAACATTGGGATAAAATTAGTTATTGATATTAAAACTGTGATAGCTGGAAAATTTATTAAAAATAACAAATTGGGCCTGAATTTTTGTAAAATTTTAATGGCCCAGGCCTATGTAGTCATGGGATGGGCCAGTAAATGTCATAAGCCTGTTTTTAGTATATACCAAACTTATACTCATAAACCAAACCACAATCTTCATAAAAAAACCAGACCAGGCTTTGCTTCTAAATAAAAAGACTAGTTCAAGATAGTTTTTTTATTTTAAAATATTACTTAATTTAATTCTTGTTTGCGTTTTTATTAAATATATAATATTTTCTGTTAACAATATTAAATCAAATTTGAAATATATAACAAACGATACAAGTATATGCAAATATCTTAGTTTATAGAATGGAACAGGAATTGGAAAAGAGGACTTAATCGCAGGGCTGTGAATTTTAATCCTAGGTTCAGTTAAAAAATTTCTGAACCAGGTTCGGGTTTAGGATTCATTGTCCAGAAAAATTTTAGATTTACATAAAATGGATATACTAAAATAAAGAAAAGATTCCACAAAAATTGAATTTTTGCAATAAATGTTTTTAACATTGAAAATAAAAATAACAATTTTGTTTTAAATATTTAATGTTTTTTTTATTAAATAGATATTTTACATATTATTTTTTTAATATACATTTAACCCTTTTGCGCCCGACTTTTTTTCCCTCGATGAAAAAATTTTTTTTTTAAGAGTTATTTATTATAGACACAAATAACACATTTTCATCAAAAAAACTTATTTCGAGTATTTCTATCAAAAGATATTCAATGATTCCAATTGTTATCAATGGGCAAAATGCAAGTTCATTTAAAAAATATTTTATTTCATATGAAATAACAATTTCGTTTATTATTAAACATAAATAAATATTACATTTTTTGCAAATAATTCTTGAATAGGCTTCTACGCAATACTTGCACCTTTGCTTAATACTTACGGGCATTGGGAAATGACCTACTTGGTCATATCTTATATCCGATATAAGGGCAATGTTGATAGCTTTTTTTCTTTTAACATCTATGCTGGAAGGTCTGCCGGTTTTCTTTGTATTATCCTTTCCTGCAAACATCAACCCTTTTGCTATCTGCGATTTAAATACCAGTAAAGGCATAAATTTTATATTATTTAACGCCTTCATATGGCGTCTATATAGGAGCCAGGCATTTACCACACAAGAATACAATAAATGGAAAACCATTCGCATATAATATCGTTTCCATTTAATATCTGTCCGATATAATTCCACCAGCATATCGTGAAGATCTCCTCCACCCATTCCCTCATTATAGTTTTTAATTATTGCGGCCGTTTCTACATTTACAGACCCGGGGTTCATTCGCCGTTACATCCTTTTAACTATCCCCTATTTGCGGGAAAGTTGGATGTAACTGGATGCCTTGGCCTTTATGGCTTTGGCATCCCTAAGGCTTTATTAAATCAAAATTTCATATATCACAATTAACAATAATGAATTTTAACCGATATAATAAGCTATTTATATAAATAAATAAAGGAGAGGGAATAGATGTTTCAACAGACCAATATTGTCGTATAGAAGGCATCTTAACTATACTAGTATATAAATGTATCCCAATAAATTTTTCAATTTCATCACTATCTGTATTTATAGATTTACCGGAACATTGGAATGAATAATTATTTGTTTCCGATACAAAATTACTGATTATCTGATTGTCAAAAATTTACGAAAATATGTTAGTGGAGTTGAATCCTCTTCAGGAATTTCTAATATAGGGATATATTCTGTATTCATATTTCCTATGTCTTTCTTAGACCACATGGTGTTATCTTTTATTTTAATTATAGAAGTATCTTCTATTATATCCTCCACATCAAGGCCTAGTTGATTTGTAATATAAGATGAAGTCGGCAAATCATCTGCCAGCAAAGAATAATAATTGTCTTCTTCGTCTGAGCCCTCTATATCAGCCTCAGATATATCACCCTCGGGGATAAGTGTAGTCATATCTAAATGCATATTGATATAAAAAGCATTTTATATTACATGTTATTTATATAAAATATTTATTAGAACCTCTCCCTATATCCAAGAAAACCCACTAATAGATATTAGATAATCAATATAGGTAACTATTATCAAAATCTAATCTAATTACCCCCCCCCCTTCCGTTTCCATAATTTTAAATCTAAATATCCTAAATAATTTACCCAAAATTTCCATTTATTGATAAAAAATATTTTAGTGCATAAGAAATGACCAATGATGCCAAATGGCATTATGTTCAATTTCCAACACATAAAATGATTAAAAAGATGATAATTTTTAAATAAAAATATTAATATATATATATATATATATATTAAAATTATTAATTATATTTTTAGCAAGATTTGATAACCAGAAATATGAATTAAAATTTTGGCGCGAAATTGGTACGAAAAAATTGATTTTTTATAACTATAATATGATATAATAACATATGTAACAAAGCGAGTTATTGATAAAATACGAAACAGCAAATATTAAAAATTAAAAATATGATTTCAAAAGTTATCAGTGGTTATTTTTAATACATAAAAAATACTATTGAAAAATTATGATTCCAAAAGTTATCCATGGGCGCGAAAGGGTTAAAAATACTATTTTTTAAAATATAAAAAAAAATAAAAAATATTCTTGAACCCTAAACCCTAAATTTAAAAAAAGTTTCTGGTTTAGATTTTCTGTCCTGCATTATAGTGGTAAATCTATTTTATTTTGTCTGCATTTTAATATTTTTGGTTCATATGTTAAGCTTGATATTTATAATGGTATGAGGGGATTGATTTTGTGTATGTGGATTAAAGGTCTAACCCACCCAGTCATTATTTTTAAATTTTTTAACCTGCCTTCCTGCCCACTTATAATTTATTAAAAAATTTACCTGCCCGCCCGCCCACGCATTTATCTTTAAATTTTGTTTAACCTGCCACCCGCCTAATGTTAAAAATTATTTAATGACTGGTTTGGCTTATTATTTATTTTAATGTATTTTTAATTAAACATATATAATATGCAATATTATGAAATAAAACTATTATTTTAATAAATTGCTGCTCGTTTCCCCTGAAAAATATTAAAAATTTCCCCACCCACGCCCGCCAATACTTTAAATTTTTTTAACCCGCCCACCACCCGCTAATATTTAAAATATTGTAGAAAACCCGACCCCGCCTTGACTGCAGACCCCTAATGTGGATCGCGTATATGAATTAAGAGTACATTAGGTTTTGAAGATTTCTTCATCGATTTTCATCATTAAAGATAAAAATTTGACGTTTTCCCAGATATATGCAGCAATTAAAAATATATAGAATAAATATAAATTATTTTTTCTGCAGCTGGCGGTACCTTTATTTGATATTGCAGTCGACACGTATTCTTTGCTTATTTATAAGTTTATTCGACTTGCGTTTTCATAGTATATAGCAAAATTGAAATGAATTGAAATAGGAAAAGGGTTCCAAAAACTAAAATAAATCCGCTAGTAAATTAATAAATAATATACACAAAAATTAGTTATAAAAATTATATGAATCATATAATAAGGCAAACCTAAATATTAATAATAAACCGGGGAAAATTAGAAACCTGTCTAGACCACGGTCCTTATCGGTCCAAGCAGCCGTACTAAAATAATACGATCCATCAATTGGTCCGGTCACATATTAAGAACGTTAAACCGAGATTGTTGATCTTCACTATTTGGACTTGATATTTTGTAAATTTTTTACAAGCAATGCCAGGCAAATTTAAAAAAATATTATGACGAGCCGGGCCTGGTAAAAAATTTAACTGGTCTTGTAACTTATGCAAAATTTCTTGACGTCCGAAGTGAATCAGACCGGGCTTTGCAGACCTCAAATTGTGATATTGAAATATTTGCAATAAAATATTGTATATTGTATTTTCCATCAGGATTGCAGTAATAAAATTTAAATAAAGAGACTCCCCCCCCCCCCACCCCCACATCTTTATCCTTAATCTACTGAGTAGACCTATTTAGAAAGGTTGTTGATATTTTATTAATATATTAAATTTAAACATTAATTTGCAAAATTATGAAATTAATTCATAATTAAATCTAATTGCTTTAATCGATTATTGATTATTTTCAGAAAATTAAGTATAGCTTGGTCAGAGACCTAAGAAATCATTTGTACATCAGAACCACGGTTAAAGGTGATTACAGACCCATCTCAGACATAGATGCTTACTACAAAACGTCTCCTCTAGCTCCAAATGCCAATTATCTTCACGAGATGAATGACTATGAAGTTGGACTTAACAAGGTTAAGTCTTCGGCTAATTTCCTTGAAGCCACAAAATTTAACGTCCGTAAACACCTGGAAAGCGCTTCTAGTTTGTTTCTTTACTTAAAAACAACATTTTTTTTATATATAACCTATACAGTTCAGAATTTGAGATGTTGGTATTATTGTCGCTCAAATATGATAGGGTTCTATAACTAACTCTATTTTGTACATAGGTAATATATATATATTTTTTTACTACATTAAAATATATTTTAAGTCAATTTTTGAGAATTTTTTTAATATGAAAAGGCGTAAAGGATCCCAAAGGATAAGATTTTGATTTAACTCAATTTTATTGACACCAAAAATGGAGTTAGAACATATTTCAAATTAACCAATATTAATTGATCTCTCATTTCTTTTGATATTTAATCTTGTTAGGTTATATCTTTGCTAGCGTTATTTTTATAGTATGATTTATAGTACTAAAAGTAGGGTGACACAGGTCCTATCATTTTTTATTTGGGCGAAACTCAAATATAAATGTAAGTTACTAATAATTAATCATATTCTAGTAATATAGTCATAGTCAGAAATTGTTCAAGTGTTTTCCAGCTTCGGTCGGATAGACTTATTTGAAAATAATATCAGTGAATTATTTTATACTATATAGTTAGGCCTCGAACCCGGTCCAGCGCTGGGCAATTTTATTTAAAAAATAAAAAAACCGCGCCCTATCAGCGTCGGCTGACAAGTTAAAATCCGTCCTTTGTAAACATCTAGATGGATTCCGATTATGATGAACTATAGCCGGACGCTCGCCTTTTTACAAAATTTTTCCATAATTATAAAGTATAACACAAGATATTTAGGCTGTCAAAGAATCTGCTTATGAAACTCTTTCTTTTAACGCTTAACAAAATAAAATTTTAATTTTGTAAATTGAAATGTTATCGAAAGATTTTATACTGATAAAATTTCATGATGTTTATATAATTCACATGAAAGAACTTTTACCACAATGCCAAGTTTTTATTTGACGATTAAATATGATATTTGTGCAAGATAAAGCTCCCTCTCATAGCGCTTAATATCCATATAAAAATTTTTGTCCAATTACCCACGATTTATAAAAATCTCTTAATGGTCCTTTAAATTCCCTGATTTAAACCCACCGGATTATAATGTTTAGAACAAATTAAACACTAGTTTATAAAATTAGACCACTTTTTGAATCTTTCGATGAACTGGAAAGAAAAAATATGATAGTAACTCTGAAAGGAAAATTTTTGTAGTTACTCTTCTATCAGTATATAAAAGAAAAATTTACATTTTTACAACATTAAAAAATTGCATTTTTATTACGTCAAAAAATTCATTGAAAAAATTACATTTTTACGTCATATTAAGCGCTTTGCCCTTTTCGTTATATAAAACAATAGATCTACGCTTGGACTCATTTAATTGGGTTAATAAATTTGGAAGTTAAGAGCCCAGCTATGAATTTTTGGGCAGGCTGAAGTTACCTGTGGGCGCAACAACGCCGACGGGAGGTAAAAGGTAGAAGAAAAATAAAAATATGTCCAAAACATATTTGTGAAATTTTCAAAACTTTATCATTAGGTTTTTAAATATTTAAAACTTTTAAAATTTTCGAAACTGGGTTTGAACGCAACCTAAATAAAAGAAAAAATCATTCCGATAACAACAAATATTATTGTTAAACGGCTCATTTTGAGCAGATTATTAAAAACGGCTAACTCAATATTTTATTAGGAAAATTATTGTGCAAGTCTTAAGTTTTTGCACTTAGGTGGCACAAAGGTTTAAACATCTATAGACAATATTTTTCTGGCCAAAATATTTAGTTAGCCGTTTATAGAAATCGGCTCAAATCGAGCCGTTTAACAACTCTAATTTTATTATATTAATAAAATAAACAGATAAAGAGAGAGAAAAAAATCATTTTGAATATGTTTGTCTAAATAATTTTACGTATAAAAAAGTAAACTGTGGAGAAGGAAATTGAATTTTAAGCTTGAATTTCGTGAAAAAATGATAATTGGATAGGTGTTGCGCGACTTTTATTGCATAGTATTAAAATCGCTCGATATAATTTTAATCGCTAGGACTACGACATAACTTCAACGACATTTCAAATTAGACGAATATTCAAAATATTTACTTATAAATTTTTTGAGTTAATTATAAAAAATACTTTAAAAAAAAACGTAAAGAAAAATTATTTGCCGTTTCTGGTCAGAGTTCGTTCGAAGACGAAATGTCTATCGATAACATGAAAATAAATCCGGTTAAAGAAGATTTGGAACTAATCGATCCGGAATTCGATTCCGCCTATTTCATGACCATTTCGATACAGGCCCTGGCTAAATTGAATTCTCTCAACGAGGCCTTTGAAGTACCTCTTATTCTTATATGGGGGAAAGAAAAATAATTTAATTTACCCAAATAGTCGGTTTGAACTAAAATTTATTTTATATATTTTTTTTGAGATAGCAAATATTATCAAGATGGACATAGTTACATTAGAAATCTAGTTATCCACAAGCTACCTTTAAAAAATGTTTTTAGCTATAGTTATAATTTTTTTTAGCTATATCTGCAAGCAATATTTTAGAATATTTGTCATTAGTAAGCTTAGATGGCTAACATTTGATAAAAATACTTGGTATTTTTTAAAAAAAAAATTAAAATAGAAAATATAAAGCATAAAGCATATAGATATTTTTTTAAAAAACATATTGTCAAATATAATCGATGCATCATAGAAGCGAAACTAAATAGACTTATAACGGTGCTGGCTGAATAACATAACTTTTGGAAAATTGTTTCGCATATTAATATAGAGTTCCTTCTTTAAGAGAATGTTTACAATACCTATAGTTCATTTTAATTGTATTATTCGAATCTTCGTGTATGGGTTGATGTTCTTACCGATGGAGCCCTGCATGGCATGGACTGAGGCTCGGATTGGGCTCGGGTCAGGCTGTAAGAGGCAGCTCAACCCGAGGCCCAAAAATTAAATATTATAGAAATATCCTCAATAATCATTTTGTTTCATCGAAATATTAATCAGAATCACATGTCATTTTTCATCAACACATTTCACTTATTCATTTGCATAATTTCTTACCAAAATTAACAATTTCCTGTGATTGTGACTAGTTATCTATTACTTACATACATCATATTCTATCTCGTTACAATAAATGTCATAGTGATGAAAATCGCTCCATTTGAGCCGATTTTTAAAAACGGCTAGTTCAATATTTTTCCCAAAAGATATTACACAAGCCTAAAGTTGTCAAAGGCTTATTTTGAACCGATTTTAAAATCGGCTAACTTAATATTTTAGGGAAAATATTATGCTACCTTAAGATTTTGCTCATAGGGGCATAATGGTTTGAACATCTATTAACGAAATCTTGAGGCTTAGACAATATTTTTTTAGCGAAAATATTGAGTTAGCCATTATTAAAAATCGGCTCAAATGGAACGATTTTGCATCACTAAAATGTTTTACTCGGTTTTGCAACTTTATTTGACAATTGATAATAGTCTATTTATAGTGGTTAATATACTTTTATTTAAGGTGTCAATATATGAATAATAAACATAATTTGTAATTTTTTTTAGATGTTATAATATTTAAACTCAAATTCAAAATTTTTTTAAAATCGGACTCTGGACCGACTGGAATAAAAAATTTATGTATTGGTTGACTCGGACATAAAAAAAATTTAAATTCGGGTGGCTGGGGTATAGCTCGGGCCGGGATAAAATAATTATGTAGGACTCTACCTACCGAAAGATGGGCTAGTGGTGAGAAATTTTTTATTTTAAATAGTTAAAAAAATTATGTTTATTTTATATAAAAGTTGTTAAAAACATCGATGCAATCGGATCTATGTTCAATAGTACTTATTACTGCTCACGAAATCAAAACTAGGTAAATTTTTTATACGCTTCCTTATATAATTTTATAAAATAATATATATAATTAATTGTGTCGTTAAAAGTTACTTTTAAAAAAGGAACTGGTTATAGTTCAATCCTTAATAAGTTAACTAGCTACCTTGCAAGTTACATCAAGTTACTTTATAAATTTTTAATATAATATTATTATTTTATGAAATAATTTTGCCATTTAAAAAATTTTATCAGAGGAATTTCAACGAAATACAGTTTAAATTAAGAAATTTGCAAAAAAATGTATCTCATAATATAGTATTTATTAAAAAGGATGTACACAATGTAATATTTATGTTTCGATGAATATTTGGGCCTAATAAATTTTTATTTAGTTTTATTAACAATAAACTATTTTCAACATTGGACTTTAAAAGGCTGGCTCGTTTTTCTCTAAAAACAATTTCCTCCCTGTAAAGAGACTATTATAATACTTAAATAACAATAATTTAAATTAAGGAAATCAATTATCAGAGACTAGCCCGGGCCGTACTTTAATTTTTTTAAATATACCCTGACTGGGTTTAAAATAATTTTTGGCCAAAAGAAAATCCTATATAAATGCAGTTTTATAATAATAATATCCAAAATATTTTTTGTCAAAGTTGTTTAGTTGTATAATACTTAAATAACAATAATTTAAATTAAGGAAATCAATTATCAGAGACTAGCCCGGGCCGTACTTTAATTTTTTTAAATATACCCTGACTGGGTTTAAAATAATTTTTGGCCAAAAGAAAATCCTATATAAATGCAGTTTTATAATAATAATATCCAAAATATTTTTTGTCAAAGTTGTTTAGTTGTTCTTTATCTTAACTTAATTAAATTTAAATTAAGATCTTTAAAAATATTTAGAAATTTTTTTTGTGGCAATTGTCACATTTAGCTCGAAAATATTTACTTTGACTCTTGCAATTCAATTAGGAGGCTAATTTGTAAAAATCAGAATAATTCAGACAAAATTTGGCAATTAAAATATTTAGTACTCACTAATTTTATAAAATTATCTTCAAAGATCTTAATACAAAATAATTATAAATTTATTAATCGATGTTCTGTCAAAATTTTGATAATTAAGGCTAAGAATATCAACACGTTCTAGCGTTTGAAAAGATTTAACATTTGGTTTAAGGCCATACCAGAGCAAGGGTTAAAAGATAGTAATCCAAAAATTGAGCTTTGCAAAAATATCATTTCCAAAAATTTGGATATTTTTAGTCTTTGCATATTAACATTTTTTGGTACTATTAATTTCGAATAATTCAATTTCTCAAACACGCTCTGGTATTGCTTTAGCTTATTACCAATAAGATATAGATTTAGAGTTTAGGTATTACAAGATTCGAGTGAAAACTATATGCTCTCATTTATTTTAAAAATGCACACTCACATATTTTAATCTATCTTCGTTATTCGAGAAAAGTTATTTATAGATATTCAAGTTTGGCATACCGACCAACGCCTAAGAAATTTAATTGCTAAAAAAAATATTCCCTTTATATTCAAGATACTCAGTCAACGCCCAGTACAATAATCCCACAAACCCAACCCTTATGAAAGAAGGTGTTGAAGGGGAAGAAGACAGACCCGAACTATTTAAGGTATCAAAATAAAATTTTAGACTCTTATTTTATGGTTGCAGAATAATTTTTTAAATTAATTTTTGTGTGATGATAAATTTATAAAGCCTCAAAAATAATACAATTAGATTGTCGTAAGATAATCAATTTACTGCTTATAAATATTTTTGAATACTATTTTTATAATTTAAATGACAAAAAAATTTGATATAATCTTGGATTGCATTTAATAGAAGATAGCATTACGATGGAAATGAAAATATGGCCATAATTTTTATTTTATATCTATAAATGTTTAAGGTTTTGTTGGAAACTCTTTTCGCCAAATTTTGGAGTATCTCAAGGGCGCATAAATTTGTTATCAAATGTTTCCTCGCGAATTCTGCCGCGCCACCTGTGCCATCCAGGAATAAGGATATTACAAACGTTTTAAAATAATATAATTATTATTAGAGCCCTGCACGCAAGGATGGACCAATTTTTTTTAGACTTAATAGATACCAGACAAAAAATATACCCTTATAATGTATTTAAGAAACAGATACAAGATACTTTTTCAAAAATTTACAGATACTGTAAAAAAAGACTGTATTTAGATATAGAAAACGAAAATAAATTGACATAATGTTAAACCCTATATTTTTTTGGATAAGCTATATTTAAAAATTAACAAATTCTAAACAAAAACATTTTATTCATTTAATTTAATATTTAATTTTATTATTAATTAAAATTGATATGGTTTGTTGCATAAATTGTTTCTCACCTTTCAATTTTAGCCCTTATTTTATGTAAATTTTATGTTCATAAAATAAATCAACATGGCATTTTTATAAAAATAAAATTACGAAATTTACTATAACTAAATAATAATAATATAAAATAATTAAGTTGCTTTTATAATTATACAGATTCACAGTCATATAGATATAAAATATAATATACAATTGGCATTATAAATTAATATTTAACCTGGATTATGGTCTATTTAAATTTAAAAACATCTTTTTAAAATAGTGTTAGTGACTGATTATATTAAAATAAGTTCAGATTAAATCTCCTTTTTCTAAATAGAAGTAATATAGTTCTGTTCAGGGTTCCAACCCGAACCTGAACCATACCATTAAACCGCTAAAAACCAGTATTTTTTATTGAACCTAAACCGCTAAATAATTTCTAGCTGAACCTGAACCGAACCGCTAAAATGACTCTGAACCGGTTCAAGTCTCATAATTTTATGCTTATAAAATAATGTGTAAGTTATTACTAGTATATTGCAAAAATTTTAATTATATTCGAATTGTTTTAAAAATTATTATCAATCACATTTGTTTGATAAGTGTCCATCATAATTACAACATTTTTTAAATATTTTAATAAATTATAATGCATAGAGAAAAATTATATCCAATATATAAATTATTTACATATAGTATTATAAATGACACATCAAATCTGATATCGTACTGGTATTGCCGGCTACCTAAGTTAGCGTGGAAGGATGTTTTTCAACAATTAAATTTATATTATCTCCTTATAGATATAATTTGAGTGAGACAAATTTTGAAAATATATTTGTTGTGCGGCTTAATAAAAAATTTTTAAGTAATTGTTCATATTAAAATTTATCATTGATATATTTTTGTAATATTTATAAATTAATTATTTTATAAGTGTAATTAATAAAAATAAGGTTTTATATATGTATTTTATATTTTAATTATGAAATAAAAAAAAATTCTTCACATAATTCGAATGTAGGTTTGAATATAAAAGTGTTCAAACCGGTTTTTAAAGGTTCGAACCGAACCGATATTTATATTTTTTGCGAACTGAACCTGAACCTTGAACCGTTATTTTTATCCGAACCAGAACCGAACCGATATTCGTTTCGGTTTGGATCCCTGGTTCTGTTAATGTTATTGTTGTGACTTATTTTTTTAAATTAAATTATTCTAGGATAAATATTGTTGGAACTTATTTTTATTCAAATTATTCCAGGATAAATTGTTGCAACGTATTTTTATTCAAATTGTTTCACCAAAAGAAAATATATATGATATAATTATAAAAACGGAAAACTTTTTTTTTAAAAATTCCAAACAAAAATATTAATAATGATTTTTCTACAAAAAAATAATAGTATTTAAAAAAAAAATATTTAATTATCATTATTTACAACAGTTATATTATTAAAATATGTAATTTTAAGAAGGGTATAAAGGTGTTCTCAAAAATGATGATATATATAATTTACATTTAGGTTAATATATTGACTAATAAACATATATTGAGTGCCGTCAGGGAACTATCTCAAAATAACTCAAAATTTTAGAGCGGATGCGGATCGAATCGTCTGGACAAGAATTTTTAAATATTTGTCTCGGATCGGAATAATAGGTCTGATGCAGAGCCTTAATAATTATCGAATAAAATACTTTATTCTCCAAAATAGAAAATGCAATTAGCCTTATCTCATGTTTTGGTTAGGCGAATTGCCAATAATATTTATAACAGCATTTCAAACTTATATAGTATCATTTTTTACAATCATTTTACACTATGTATCATTTATGAAAATCAGGTAAAATATAAAAAAAAACAAAAGCAAAAAAAATAAGAAAAATTTTATTCAGACCTGCAACTTTGACCTTTAAGATTGTAGAAAAAAATATAAGATTATATAAATATATAGGGAAAAATCTAAATCAATATAAAATTTACAAAATTTATTGATGCATTACATTTTATTAAACACAATGTAGTTTTTCTTACTAACTTGAAACACCTGAATATTTTATGAATTCACCAATATCCTATTCCATATTGATAATTTTAAAAAGTTATTATAACATATAAGTCGTCATTAAATCTAGTAATTCAATGTATCAGTAAATTTCGAAATTCTATATCGTATTTCTATATTTTCGCATATAAAATCTTATATTTATACTCTTAAATGATCAACACTGAAGATTTACGACTGTTCAGATTTACTATTTAGGATGCTTTTTGGCTATTTAAAAAATAATAATATATGAATAATCAATTAAAAGCAATCTATATGTATACAAAGAAACCCATTTTAAAAAGGGTAGGGGGATAAACCTTCTACTGTATTTTATCCTACAATTGCATATGACATATATTTTTTTCTGACATATATTTCGAAATAAGGATAAAAAGTTGAATACCAAGAAGGTTCACCCACCGGAATCTGCCAAGTCTCACGCCTCTTCTAAAATACCGGATTCTTCGAATGCTTCTTCCATGTTGCCACCTTACGATATATTGGACGTATGGTCATTTATACAGGGAGTTATTCAGGTTTTTAAATACAAAGAGCATGGCCATATTTTTAAATATTTATTTTGTATTTACGGCACAATGCAAGCAGGAGATAATAAATCGACTGAAGCACGAGTGAGTTGATTCAACAATTTTTTTTATAGAGTTTTAGATGTGAACCCGAACCCGAGTTCAGGAAATTTAAAATTGTTTGATTGGGCATTTAGAAACCATAGAACAAACCGAGACCGATTTTTAAACAACTCATTAAACCCGGGGTAAAATGGACCTGGGGCAGGTTCGGACCCCTCTTAGAAAATTGTCTTCGATTAAGTTTTCGTTATCAAAATTTCCATTAAATGAAATTTAAAATTCTTGAACCCGGGTTCGGGTTCACATCTCTGTTTACAAATATTTTTTTTTCTCATAAAGATAAGAAAAGATAGATAAGAAAATTTATATCATACAAAAGTATTATTTAGAATTATTATTATACCTATTTTTGATCGATAATCAAATGTAAACTAAGCTTAATTTAAAAATATAAATATGTAAGGCATATTTATATTTTATTTACAATAGCAAATTTATTATACTTACTTCGTGATCCTTAATATTAGATGACGCTAATCGAATACTTAGCTATAGAGAGCTCTTCGGCCGGGATGGATGGTTCATCATACCCTACAGAAATGGAAAACTTAAACAATTATTTTGTTAAATCCCACGTTAAACGCAATATATCTGCTGCTAAACGTAGTCAACCGTTATTTAAGTAACTACTTTATTAAAAAAGAAGATATTTATATTTTTTGTATTTTCTCTCTATAGATTAAACATTTTCAAACTTGAGGCGACACTTTTTAAAATTAACTTATCTTAAATATTTTGATATTGCAAAACTAATTAATTTATAATAAACAAAAAAGGTTTGATAACTCAGTTCTAGCTTTGAACGCTCATAAATACGCCAGGGAACAAAGAAAACGTAAAAGTCTTGCCTTTCTGGCCACTTCATCCCTCGAGGATTCTCATTTAAACTTTCTACCTCCCCTGATTAATTATTCTACTACAACGTCCGATAATAAAGATTTGCCTAGTAGTCCCTTCGCTAAAGGTCAGAAAATTTTAAAAAGGGGGATCAATCTGATTTTCTGATAAGATCATGATAAATTATTTTTTTAAGTGATAGATTTTATAGAAATGGTCTCGGATTGTAATTGATTTAGATCTTAATTATTTTTATTATAAACTATATCATATTTAGATGTTTTTGATTACATAATTATATGAATAACATCATGTTTTTGAATTTTTAATTGCCAATTTCTTCTTTTACATTGAATATTATAAGGCTTCAACACCGTGATAAATTTTAATACACCTGTAAACGTTTGCAAACCCAGTATAAAAAACTTAAGAACCGTATACCTTTCGGTTCAAGACTTTTGCAAGAGGTTGGAGAACGAGATCAAGATGCAACCACCCACGAGATGCTTGCTCTATTCCTTTTTTAACGATTACGTTAGAGAGATATACCTGGTTGAGGTACATAATTCTGCTTCCAGTAAAATCGAAAGTCATATCAAAGGTTAGCCCTTTTAATAATTACTTTTTAAAAAACATTTCACGAATAATGATTTTCAAGTTCGGCCATTTCTTAAGCACATATTACATTTTGAATGAGTGACAATTTTCATTAATTGGAATTTTTATTATAAAACATTCTATTGCAACACTACACTTATGTAAAATTTTTTTGTTCTAACTGGATAAGTATTTATAAATTCTACACTTCACATTTGCCGAAAGATGAGTTAGAAATCAATGATTTTCTATAGCCCTTTTATCATTTTTATACTTGATAAAAATTTTTTTTAGCTTTGCTCATTTAATGTTTGTAATAACTTTAGCTAGCTAAGTTTATTTTCACCTAAATGAATAGTTAGAAATTATGATGTTATATAAGCATAGGTTAATTAATATAGTTAGGTTTAGGATATTTAAATGAACTGCATATTTTTTCCTAATTATATGACATACAAATTCTATTTAAAATCTCCAAATTCGATATCAAATTTTTTTTCCCCGTTAAAATATCATTAAAATAAATGATAGGACCAGAAGCATGGAAAGCTTTGGTTACCCCTGACCCCAAGGTGTGTCCTGATGTGGATCGACCTTTACTTTTAAACGCTTTTGTTGTGGATAGATGCGTGAATGAATTGAGGGATATAATAAGGGACATGCCCGACTATTCCAACCAATTCCTGCTCATGAATTGCAAAATATTACAGGTTAAAAAAATATTTATTTTATTTATTTTTTATTATAAATAATATGACTCCTAAACGTGGTATGCGTCAACTAGGATTTTTCAAAATTTGGTCAAGGGGATATGAGTTTAAACAAATTTATTCGTATAAAAATTTTTAAATAATTGAATAGAATATTAGATTAACAGCCAGTAAGCCTAACCCATTATATTATATTGTTCTTTATTTATATAACACATTTTATAATCACATTTTACTCAACGTTTAAGCAAAATCAAATATAATATTCAATCATAAGTAATGCCCCACCCTCAAGATCTCTGACAAATTGTTATTTGAGTATTATATTATAAAAAATCCATTTTATTGTGATAATATCATTCAGTGCTGTCGTTAGCTATCATCTGTGCAAAAACAAACTACTGTTAATCAATATTTTAAATTTGTATATTTTATATTATGCAAGTATTCCACGAAATTATTAACCCCCACCCTCCCCCCTCCCCACCCCTCCCCAGTACTCTTCGAAAATAACATCTTAGAAAATTTATACATAATGAAATATATTTAATATATTAATGTCAAGAGTTATAAAGATGTATGCCTTAACGCTTATAAAAACATAGTCCAACCAGAAACCGAAGATAAACGGATCATAAGCGCTACTTGGGCCAAGGATGAGGATATTAATCGATTTCTAAGGTTATCCACATAATTATGAGATTGTTATTTATATAATGGTGGACACCGGGGTAAATTTTAAGTATTTTAAAAGTTATTTAGGATAAAATATTACACTAAGTGGGAAATATAGCTATTTCCCTCATAGTCATATCATAACCCCAAATCTAAAATCTCTATAGTTTTTTTATACATGCACTATAGAAAAAATAAAAGTAATAAAATATATCCATTTCCTTTTGTATCTATTTGCGATTATTTTCCTCGGTTATATAATATTAAAAAGCTATAATTATACTACTAGAATATGGGTCATTCCATTACAAATCAACCATTGTTTTGGACACCATCACCTAAATGAATGAAACTTGGCTTGTTAGTTATTTATATTGTAAATTTTAATAAAATCAAAATTTTAGTAGCTCAGATATATTTAAAGATATAGTCGAAAATCGCGCAATGCGTGATTTCATTAAATCATTTTTTTTAATATTGAGTTACAAATTATATATCATTTTATAACCCTTAAAATTATACATTGGAAAATATAAAAAAAATTCCAAATGTTTTCTATTTCCTGTAAAAGGTACAAAATTAACATTGTTGGGAAGGGAATTTTTTGGGTGTTGATATTATCCAGAAATTATTTCCTTTATATTTAACTGCTTAATCACAAAAATCGATAGCATTTTTTTGTTTTTTAATTTTAGTTGATTTTTTGTTTTGTTTTTATAAAATATAATATAGATGGTGTTATATTTAAAAATCATTATAATATAATATATTTAAAAAAAATATGTATTGTATTAATATTAATATTAAAATTAAAAAAATTTATTGAGTATAGCCAATATTATGTCTTTGTTTATTTCTTTACAAAAACAAACTAAGCAAATTTTATTTTACGCAGTGGATGACGACAGTATGGTAAATTTTGAATCTTAGATGATGAACTATTAAAGTTTCCAACTGATTCTAAACAATAACTACTGAAGAAAATAAAATAATTTAAGATCTGACTTTTCGGTACCCCTTAGAATAAATGAATAATGATATAAATTTTGAATAATTTTTTTAAAAATGAATGTTGGGAAACCTTGATGATAATTGAGATTGGTCATTCTCAATAATAAAGTCTTTTTCTGATTTTTTTAATTTAGATGCTGATTTGATTAACTTAAGCGCAATCGAGCCAAAGATGTTTTTCTCTGGAATTTGAGATTGAGTAAGATACCTTTGTTGGAAAGGGCTCTGTAAATCCAATCATTTTCTACAATTTCCCCAAAATTTTCATCAATACTTCATACTAGTGCTTCACCAGTACGTATACAGTCATTTTTTGGAAACACCCTCTAAACGAAGGAATAAGTTGGGAAATAAAAAGGTAGAAATCTTGATATCAATTCGACATAACTTATACTTAATAAATTAGCAATTGTTCTCAAATATTGAATATAGGAACAATAGATTTTTAGAAGAAAATAGTTCATCAAAAATTGAAATATCAGATTCAGATTATAATGGGTTTAAAGGATTGATGATAGTACGAGTGAAATCGAGTTTAAATAATGTATTTTAATGAACATTTAATATATATGTTTATTATATCTATTATTTACCTTATAATTTATCTGTTGTTAATTGAATATAATAAGTTGGTTATAATTTAAACAATATCATTAATTCCTACAAATTTCCGTTAATTCCCGTTTATCCCAAAAATTCCCTTAGGAAAGTTACCTCAATAAAAATTTATGGGAATTTTCTCCTTGATGTAAATATAATATAAAATGATATGAATTATAAATTAACTATTTTAAGATATTTAAAATATTTATTCAAAACTAATTTTACAATTAATTATTAGCTTGTTGCATAGGCATTTTTTGCAAATTCTTCCTTTATAGTAATATATTGTTTACATTAAGGGGAGTGTAAAGGGATTTTTTTTTATTGATGAAATTTACAACAGGCAAATCCCTGGTTATGTGCCTAGCTTGTTGAATCAGTTGAAATGCCTTTACATTTTGAATTCTGAATCAATATTTTAAATATCTTGCTTATCTTGATAATTTAATTTAGATATGAAAAATGTAATTAAGTAGGCAATAATGTATAACCTATCAAATCTTGTCTTTTTTATCGTAAAAATTATTTAAATATTTGAATATCAATCAATTTACAAAATGATACCATTTGTGTGTCATGTGAGGACTGAATTACATATTTATAGTTTAAAAAGATAGCGCTAAATCATATTTATACTTGGTAAATATGGCGTGAGGAAATCGGCAAATTTGAAACCCTTTAGCAAATCTAGGGCTAGACTTTTTTACTATGATTGATATAAATATCGTAGGTCTTTTATCTTTTAGTTTTATTATGATGTTAAATCATATCCTGTTTCGCCTATGATTAAAAACAAATTTTTTATCACAATAAAGCAATTCACCTGATATCCAATTCACCTATCCTAAATTCAATCTCTTTCAATCATATATCTAGTCTTTAAAAATGTATGCCTTTTATAGGACCATCTTGTTTATTTTCAAAGTTTTCAGACCATTTATGTAAACTACACCCCCCCCCCCCTTCGAATTTCTTGATGAAAGTTAATTTTTCTACACCTTCTATTTACATATTTATTTTTTAACAATATATTATTTTAACTGTTGTTTATTTGCTTTTACCATGGTAAATTTAATTCCCTATAAAAGGTCTTTACCTAATTGGCACCTGATGAGGCAACATACCGAGTATCATCCAAATAGCCCATCTATAAATTCGCCTGACAAGATGGCATCCATTTACAGTCACAAGGAAACTCAGAATGAAGGTATTATCAAATTTTATTTATGAAAGATAAAATAATTTTAAGTTGGATTAAGTTTAAAGTAGAATGCAGCTTCTCTATTTATATAAAGTTTTATTTTTATAGTTTTGCTTCTTAAAGAATCCCCTCCTTCGGCCAGAGACCTTCATGGGCCGGCCCGGCCCGCAGGCCCATACCCGGCATATTTTCTAGCTGGCCTGGGCTGGGTTTGGATGGGCCTAAAATTATAAATTTAAATTTAGATTATTTAAAACACTTACTAATTTAAAGAAATATTGCCTTTTTTTCTTCTAATAATAATTAATTTCAGTATTGTAAACAAAATGATTGCCAAAATATATTTTTAAATATTGTTTATTTTCATTAAATAAAAAAAATTAAATTTTTGGATATGGGCTTGGGCCGGGTTTGGGAAATTTTTTTGAAACTTATCATGTGGGCCGGACTTGAGAATTTTTTTAACATTAAATAAGGGCCGGACCTGGGCCTAAAATTTTTTTTACTGCGGTCCTAGGCCTGGCTTGGTCAAAAAATTAATGCTCATGAAGATCCCTGCCTTCGGCCTTTGGAAAATAGACTCATAAAAAAATATATCGACAAAAACCTCCAGAAAAGTGAAAAGGCCGCCCGTCAGTAAAATCGATATCTTAGGGCTGCGAAACAGTATATGAGCTAAAGTTGAAACAATAATTAATAGTGCTTAATTTCACCGAAACAAAAAATGGGATTAGACCTGGCAGGTAACTGAGAGTAGGGGTAGGGCCATACAGTTTTTACAAAAACCAACCTCTTATACGCTAAGGAAAGGATATAACTTTATTAAAAATCTAAGGGGATATGAATTAAGGTTGATATATTAGCCCGTCGGACCAGCTTTTTTTATTGAAACCACCTTCTTGGACTATGCTAGAGTTATGGTTAAAAGGTTGCCAGATATTGGGGTAGGGTTAATATACAATAAAAAATTATTTTAATAAAATTTTAAGCCTAAATATTCAAAATTAGATGTTGGTATATCATCACCCCCCTAGGAGAACACTTTTTCTGAAATCAGCTTATTGGACTGCTAAGATTAAAGTTATAAGGTTAGTTAGATATTGGGATCGAGAAAGAATTTCTTATTGTAAATAAGTAAAATGTTACTTTTGCATTTTTTTATCATTGTTTGTTTTTAAAATAAGGCAATAAAAGTTAAAATAAAATGAGTATCTCATATGCTTAAGGTTATTATAAAATATTAAGTTTGATTAATTATGTTAAAAAAAAAACTTTTTCTTAACCATAAATGAAAAAAAAGCTGGTTTGTATTGATAATTGCGTTTTTAAAACTATTTCTCCGAAATAAGTTTATGAATGTCTGTTAATAAAAAAGGACCTGTTGTAAAATATTCATTAGTACATTGAATTTTTATCAGTGGCATCGTTAGGAGAGCAGGAAGTCTACTCTGAAAACTTTGGATAGTCACTCCCAAAAATTTTTAATTTTTTTAAGATAATTTATTTGCTAATTTTAGATAGAATTTACCCTTAATTTTGTTAATTATAAATGGAATTTTTTTTTTTATTTAAAAAAGATGGGCCCCCTTAAAATTGAAAATGCTGGCGACACCTTTGACTTTTATTGAATTCAGTCGCATTGCCGCCAGATCTTATAATTTAGTTTTCCTTAAAAAAAGTTTTGTTCAAAAATAAATAATTTAAATTTAAACTCCCATCCCTAACGATTCCACTAATTTGATTATGTAAATCATAATTATCAATAATCATCACCTCTTTTTTTAAAGCTTTTAGTTATTCTCCGACTGCAAATCATCCAAATATCCACGACCACAGGTAAATAAATAGTTCTTTTTTTTATAACCTATACCCTTTTATTATTTTTCAGAGTTTTAAAAAACAATATTGACTGATAGAACACGATTTAATTTTAGAGACCGAGCTCTTGCCTCGCCTTTCAAAACGCTAACTGCTGATTTTTGCGTTTTTTTAACATGTTATATAACCTATTTTATTTCTTAGTAAACGAATCAAGAATAAAAACTAAGAATTTTTTATCTTGAATTTTTTTTTATGAAACATGGAAGATCTTTTTTAAAAAAATTTTATCTTTTTAATTATATTACTGTGTAATTAATATCACTGTTGCCTTGACAATCTCCTTAGCTATTTCAATGAATCACTGAAAAAAACATTTCCAATAATTTTTTTTAAAAATTTAAAAATACCCCCCCCCCCCCTTTTCGAAAAAGATTGATGGATTTTTTTAGGGTAATTATTTCCCGCTTATCGTTTCAAATTTGATTAATTTAATAAGCAAAGTTTTGTTAAGGAGATGAAAAAGTCTAAGTTAACCCCGTAATTATGGCCTCATTAAATTTTCCAGTAATTGATAAACTTTACTTGCAAGAAACACAAATGGTACTATATTGCTCCTTGCGGAAAGCTTTTTTGATATGGGAATGTTATTTGATAAGATTTTTTTAAAAAATGATAGATTTATTGAATAGGCTTTGATTATATTTTTTTTACAAATGAGTTTAACATATTAAGGTATAACAAAATTAATCGCAAAAATCAGCTGTTAACGTTTTAAAAAGTCAGAACGAATCAATATTTTATGTTGCAAATTATTTAGGGTAGATAGCTGTCACGCCAAAGAATCTGAAATTTTGGCCAGCAACCTCGGCGACGAAATGATGAGTATACCCGATCAAGAGATACTGACCGATCCACAATCCATAAAAACTCTTGCCCTTATTCACGAAAGTTTGGAATGGTTAGCATGCGTTAAGCTGGGACCGGGTCTTTTACAAGATCTGATTCAAGAAAATGATGGTAATTTGCCTCATATTATTTACGATGCACCCGAAGAGGAAGGAAAAGACGGCAGGAAAAGCGTCATGAATGAAATTCTCTCCGATGGTAATAATAGATTTTTTTTAAGTCCATTATAATTTCCAGTTTTTTTCAAGAGTTATGCAAAAGATTAATATATTTATAAATAAATTAGGTGAGCCATGAAGTAATCAAGAGATTAAATCCTATTTTATTTTAGTAATTTTTAAATTTGATCAAAAAACACACTTGACTTAAGAAAAGATTTATTTGAAACAAAATCTTTAACCTTATTGAATCATATATCCTTAAAGATCTTAGATTTTGAGGAGTTATAAAACTCGGTTATAAAATTATCTTGTTAATTTATTTTATTGATGATAAGTGACATAAACGTTAAGTACGATTATCGCACTCGTATCATCATCATAAGGGAATAAAATAAATTAAATATATATCAATAAATAGAGCAAATACGTTATTCTAATTTAAAAAAAATAAATAATTAATTACCATATTTATTCTTTTTTTTATATTAAAAAAAAATTATCCGCTATTTCGAGATATTGGATTAACCAATCGTAAAATATCCCTCGCTATAACATAATACTTTTTTAAAAAATCGGTGCATTAATTTATAATGTTTCTTCGATTTTTTAATGTTTTAGGAACCTTAAAAGTCCCGGTATCCAATTTCATAATCGATTCAATCAAAACATTCGTGCAAGATTTCGAAGAACTCTCCGAGACTTGTCTCCTTGTAATTCATTTAGAGCTTAGGGTTCATTGCTTCTACTTCTTGAAACCACTTGCCAAACAGGTATAAATGCTTTCGCTTTTTTAAAATAAATTTTTTGGATTATATTAAATTTTTTTAAAAATAAATTAGTTTAATTAATTAATTTTATTTCGATCTCAAATATAAACTTAATATTATACATATACCACTTAACAAGCCAAAAGGAATGAGATAATAAAGCTCCATCTTTGAATGATCTTTAATAAGCTTATTTCATTTATTGCCCATGATTAATTATTATTTTAAAAATAAGATTAGAAAGATTAATAATATTTTATAGTAATTTATATCATCTTTATCTAAAAATCATCTTTATCTAAAAATCATTTTTAATAATTTGATTAGCATCTTTTAGTTTATAATACAGCTCAACAGTGGTTTTTATAATTTTATTCTGTAATTAAATTTTTTACGCAAGTTAGTGCTAAAGCTCTTTTAAAATAGAAATCATTTTCAAAAAATAGGTTTTTGACCTGATAAAAAGTTATAGGTAATTACTGTATTACAGAACTTTCTGGAATAGTTTAAAATCCACAGTACCAAGCTCCTTTACTCTACGATGGGAAAATGAAAAATTGTAACTAGGACTGTACTATATAAAATGTTTTGTGTAGTAATTACAATATTTTTAGGCGATAATGAATTATGTTAATTTTAATTACTCAACGAGGGAAAAAATCGAAATTTTTAACCAACAATTTGAACTACAGTTTGTATAAAAATTTTAATTTTTGCGCCCAAAGCACCTTAACATCAGTTTGCAGTAAAATTTTAATGCTAAATAAAATATAAAACCATTTTTTAATTAAAACTAAAAGATTTTAATAATTTATACAAACGATTTTTAGATAAAGATCATATAAATAATTATTAAATATAATTAATCTTTCTAAATTAATTTTTAAAATTATAAATATATTACTATACTATTCTTTTAATAAAATATTTTTTAAATAAAGCTACAATCATTTTCAATGTTAAATTAATATGCATCAATAAAACAGCCAAATGCGAGATCATTTAAAGGTGAAAGGTTCATTATTTTCACAAAATCAATAGCGACTAAGCAGTTCATGTTTATTATAAGCCTATAATCTCAAAGCTGCAATATACTCACTTGCTATCTATTAGTAGATTATCATTTCTTTTATTAATTGTTAAAGAATAAATATTTGATTTCTCATTTTTAAAATTTTAGTATTATTGCTAGTCCCTATATGTTTTAAAAAATAATTCACTGACTGATATACCAGTGAAACAATATTATTTTCTAAAAAAAATTTATGATAGCCATTTTAAATAAATTACAGGAATTTCGGAGTTCAATTTTGCAAATATTGAAGAGATCGTCAAAATATTCGATAATGGTTACCTATTTGATAATCATTCAAAATCTCTTATCACACTTTAAATACAGTAGCATCGTTAGTGATGGGTAAAAATGTGCTGAGAATGTGTATAGGCTAAAATCAATAGAATTGACATTTTTAGTACCCCCATCCTCTAATGATAAGAACTAAAGAAGACGTTGATATAAAATTTTAATCATTATAGTATACAAACCCACTCTAAAACATGACACGATCATTATTTACAAATTAATAAGTAGTATACATTTTCATCTTATTATTATTCCTATTTTATCAAAATATATAAATTACAAAAAGTACGAACCAATTAATCAAATGTCAACTCAAAATGCCCAAAATTCTGCTCATTCTCCCCCCAATGAAAGCGCTAGCTCCAGCTCATTGCAAACTTCCTCCCTTTCCGATGTTGATTCGAGTGTACTCAAGCTTAACAAAGATTTAACTTCCATAGAAGAAGTTCTGAGTTTTACTCTGCTCAAACACAAACTCAAGTACGTGGTAGAAGGGCTAGGCCACTTAATATCTACCCTGGTCATAGGAAATTCCTCAGGATTGCCCAGAATTGATCATGAAATCATCAAACGCATGTCAGTCTTTTTAAATAATACCATTACTTTTACTTTTATCATTAGAAGTTTACTAATCCTAGGGTCTGAAACATTATATATAATGGTTGCGGTTCCATTATCCGTATACTCTAAAAATGATAACGGCTCGGTTCACTCCTGATCAGAGACCTGCAGGCCCGGCCCTAACGGTCCGTGTTTTAAATTTTTTAAATATACCCGGGCCGGGCCTAAAAAAAATTTTTTTAAACATATCCGGACCGGGCCTAATAAATTTTTTTAAAAATATATCCGGGCCGGGCCTAAAATTGTTAAACCCGGGCCGGGCCTTAATATTTTTTATAAAAATTTTTACATTATGAGTTAATAGTTATAAGATTATATTATATTATAGTTATGATTAATATAATATTGGGTGATGGTTAACACTACCTAACAACCCACAGATCGATCTAATTATTAATTTCCTGCAAATTTATTCAAAGTATTAATATATTTTTTTATAATTCATATCTAAATTTTTACAACATATTTTACCAAAACAATCAAATAAAGGAATATCTTAAATAAGCCCCAATATTCAAGTATTATTAATATATTTTTTTATAATTCATATCTAAATTTTTAGAATATATTTTACCAAAACAATCAAATAAAGGAATATCACTTCTTAAAGTTTGTAATACCTTTCAAAGCGAAAAGGAGAAATAAAATTGATTTTACTTAATATAAAGCATTTTTTAATTGAAACATTTGTTTTACACAAGTATCATTTTATTTCTCTTTTTCTCTGTCCCAAATTCAAGCAATTACGTATGTAGTCATGGACAGATCGCAAAATGACGGAAAACTATATAAAAGATTATATTAAATTACAAGAGGCTCAGGAAGTAAATGATACCATCGACCAGTCAAATTACGACTGTTGTTAAACAAACTGAATCGTTTTATGACAAATGGGGCGATGATAATTCTGGTAATATGTCAATACCCGATGATGAATATTATAATTACATAAATAATAGATAAAACATTTAAGGTGGATAATTTGTTAGAGTGGTGGGCGGCTCATCAAAGCGAATTTCCAATTTTAGCAAAATTGGCAATTCCTGCTTTAAGTGCAAGCTGTGAGCGGAATTTTTCCACTACTGGGAGAATTCTTGAAGAAAGAAGAAGTAATCTTCAACCTGAAAAGGTAGATATGCTTCTCTTTCTTCATGATAATTTGTGAATTTTTAATATCTTTCTTGAGTATAGGGTTTCGTCAATCATGCTGGTTTTTTACTTTGCAAACTGTCAAATATTTATTGCATTTATTATATTTACCTTGAGTCATGAAAGTTTTTAATCCAACATTTTTCATTATTTTTTTTTACAATATTATATAATACAATTATCTTCTTTTGTTAAAAATTTATATTATAAAATAAATTATATTAATATTGTGCAATTAGATTATATTTTCAAAATACTATTTATTATACATGCATTTTTTTAAATAGCGATTTATTTTTATTTTATAAATTAAATAGTAAATTAAATACAATATATTATATTCTCAAAATATTTTCCATTTTTATAAAATAAATATTAGTTTTATTTTTTTTAAATGTAATATAAAATATAGTATATGACAAATATTATTACCATTTTTATGAATATTAGTTTTATTTTTATAAATGCAATATAAAATATAGTATATGCTCAAAATATCCATTTTTATAAATAATAGTTTTATAATTTTTATAAATTCAATATAATATTCTCAAAATATTAGCTTTTTACATGTATTTTTTAAATAATAAGCGATAATACTCGCTGAAAAATATGGTAAAATACCTCATAGGTGAATTTTTGTATATACCAGGTCGAATATAATTTAAAAAAATATCCGGGCCGGGCCTTGAATTTTTAAATCCGGGCCGGGCCTTGAATTTTAAATCCGGGCCGGGCCGTAAAAATTTTTTTAAAAAAATATCCGGGCCGGGCCTTAAATTTTTAAAAATTTAAAACCGGGCCGGGCCGTGTAAATGGTACCTCTGCAGGTCTCTGCTCCTGATACCTTTGCGGATATCCCTTCTTTTAGTATAGTTAGTTTGACAAAAAAATATTTTTAATGAAAAGCAGGAATATTTAAATTATGATATATAATCTGTTTTTTTGAGGGTCGAAAATGACAACGTGACATTATTTCTCACATTCGTATCTAACACAGTATGTTGAAATCTGGATTATATTGTACTAGTTTACCTCTTTATGAAAAATGTAAAGGTGCCACAATGTTTTCGCTCTGCAGCAAAACCTCACGAATATCACGTTAAACAGGGAATCAGATCTGGACAGAGCAAAAACTTATTACGAAATGCTATACAAATCGCCTGACGAGATAATAAATTCGATACTAGAACAAGGACCAATTTTTTCTCAGTTAGAATATAAAAATGCCTTCAGATTGTTACACAGGTTCTTTATACATTAGATAAATTTGAAATATTTTTCAATTTATAAATGTGTTTAATAAAAAAAAGCAGTGAATTGAGAATAAAATTAAATTGGAGTAAAAAGTTATAAAGACGCCATTACCATTTTAAAAAAATTGGAGGGGTTTAATTTTGATTTCCTTTTTTCATTTTTATTTGGTAGGAGGGTGTAAATTGTCATTGACTTAGGGGGTGTAGAAGTCCCTCGGCATGATCAAATATGTGGAAAGAGATTAATATTACACAACAGCTTGGTTTTATCGAGCTAAGAATATAAAATAAGGAGACTGCCAGTAGAATGACACATGGGGGTTTTACCTTGCAAGTTAAAACTAACTTTTGCTGTAATAAGAAGAGGAAGAAACGTATAGTATATCTGAAAGATAAAAAATAGGTAATATTATTAAAGGAAGATAGGAATCAACGTATATGATAAAGCAAAACTTCAAATACAAATAAAGGAGAGAATTCTCGGGAAATTTTTCCCTGGTTTCTTTCCTTTAAAAAAAAGAGTCTTTAGGATGATCTTTTTCCTAATTCTTGAAAAAACGTTAGTTACCAAAGCTTAAAGTACATGCCGAGAAATTAGGGAAGCACGATTGATAATTCTGAAATTCATATTTAAATTGAATTGCAATATTTATTAAATTTAAACATAATTGAATTTTAATTTTGAGATATTATAATTAAATCATCTAAGAATGCTTTCGTTAAGTTTCAACATAGTGTACAGATTAACTTCATTTTTTCCCATTCTTCCTGAAAATAATAATACCATTATAAATGATTATTAAATCTAACCAGTGACCGACTAGCACTTAAACTTGTTAGAAAAAACTTTTTTTCAAAATAAAAAATATTTTTTGGCATGCGCATGCTTATATTAAATTCAAGCATATTGAGCACTCGTTTGCTCGTCTTACGCGACACCATTGCACCTAACATTATTTTATATATTTTACCATAAAGAAGCCTAAATGTGCCCGTTAATACACAGAAGAATCAATTTAAACGATTAGAAGAAGTTTTAAAAAAACCGGTTGCTGTATGAAAATATTATCTTTATTGTCAAATGATTGATATTTATTTAAAATTATATGGTAATATAAATGATTTTTAGTATTTTATAAATAAATGATGATTTAATATTTATAATAAAAGATATAGATATCGAAAGCCAACAATTAATGAGATATTTGAACCGCTACTTACTGTATTTTTAGACCTAATATAAGGCGTATGATTTCTAATATATTAAAATTTACTATATATCGCTTTTACTTTAATGCGTCTTAGAAATACCCTTCAGTAATTGCTAGTGTTGCTAAAAACCTCGATTTAGCTAATTTAAAAAACGACTAAACAATATTTTAGCTCTTTTGGGAAATGGTTTGGCATGAGCTGATCTGTATTGACGCACATTTAAATGAATGAATCGTCAGTCTAGGTATTATTTTATGTCATTGGTAGGGGTATACCAACAAGGTCAAAAAATGAAGATGAATTCTTTTCTTTTTTTTAGAAGTTTTAGACGAAATTTTTAATTTTTACAAATCGGAAAAGTAAGGTAGATGAACTTTGTTTATTCTAAATAATTAATATATAATACAAATTAAATAATTTATGATTAAAATTGTGCCTATAATAATAACCATAGCGAACCTTTTTATAACTCTTCATTTTTTATTAGTTATCATCAGAAGACATATGGCTCATCTTTAATTCTGATATAACTCATTGAGCATGGATCACACCCCATACGGCTCAATGGCCCTCATGAGCCTACCCATTAGGTCTGCCCGCGAAATTTATATATTTGATTTTAAGTAATGCTGTAAACGTTACCTCAAAAAAGAAACGCGTTACTTGTTACATCAAAAAGGGAACGCGTTGCCGTTATTCGTTACCTTGTGAAAAAAGGAACGCGCGTTGCTAGCTATTCAGAAATTTAAAAAATTAAATATTATTATATAAAAATTCCCTATATATGATATAAATAAAATTATACAAAAAATTATAAGATGAGATCTTTTTATAATAATATTTTTTCCTATATATAATATAAATAAAATTATACAAAAATGGGGCTTCATTAACCTTAACAATCTCAGGAGGATTTTTAAAATTATTTTCAAAATTACCTCTTTTTTTAGCTAACATTATCCAAAATTACCTTTTTTTCTTTTAGCTAAAATTATCAAAATTACATTTAGTATAAAAAAATTCAAAATGAGGATGGGGTCTCTTCAAATTTTTCAGGAGACTCGAGCCAGAGACGCTACTGACAAAAATAATATATTATACGATATATTTATAATAATTTTTTATTTATTTTTTACATTTGATTTTCAAAATTTTGATCATATATCCTCCACCATGCCAAATATACATTCAACTGGCGCAGAGGATGGGAGGGTTGTATTATATTTATTAAATAATAATCTTAATTGGAGAATTTATTAAAAATTATAGAATAATCCTTATTATGAAAAAGCTTAAGAGATCATCTTCCAAAGAATTTTCATTCAGATCCTCATTATTTTTTATATTAATCAGAAAATAATCTGGTATGTCTCCTTTTTCATTGTCCAGATATTTTCTAATGGAAATAAGTTCAAACTTTCTACCTTCGTTGGCCTGTAATTTTATACTGAGCCAATCCAATTTAAATAACGTGTGAATTATTAGCGAAAGTTTATCATCTTTATAGATGTGCTGTTTAAATCTATTGAAAATAAGTATAATCAAATTATAAATTGCAAACAATATTATAACTGTAAACCTTTTATCTATTTTTTGCAAGATGCATTAATGAGTGGCTTACAAACCTTGAAATTATTTTATATTTTAATATTATAATGGTTATCGTGGGAATGAGACATTTTATATTTTAATATTATAATAGTTATCGTGGGAATGAGACATCCTAAATGTTCTAAAATCGAAAGAGCCTTAGTAACAGGTTCCATGACATAAAATCATATATATACAAATCATATTTTTTAATTATAACATTAAACATTATATCTTTGAACAACTTGTCATTATCTAAAAATCTCTATAATTCGGATTAATCTTCGACAAATTGGCCACCTTAATAAAACTCCCGGACTGTTTAATCAAATATATTCCCATATTTTCCTTAAAAATGGCTGCACAGTTTCGAGACTGCCGTTTATTCCACAATTGAGAAAATATTTGAGTTAGGACACTTTACAAAGTGTAGACTTTGTTACTTCAATTTTCCTTATTGGTATAAAAAATATTCCATATTTAGACTAAGGCAGGTTAAATCATTCACCTATATAAATTAACATATCTTGACTGATTCAATATTAATTAGATTAACAATCTTGACTAAATATTTAATTTTAAATCAATATGAAGAAATTTGGCAGCTTATCTCACTTAAAAAATTGGCTTAAATTATTTATAAAATTTAAAAAATAATTTTATAATACAATAAAATATGTTTTTCCATTTTTTAACAAAAAATTTTGCAAAAAGTAACGTTTACATTACAGTTACTCAAAAAAATAAACGTTAAGACGTATAGCAATAATTTTAAGCCAAGTTAAAAAAAAATTTGTATTAAAAAGAGGTTTTAAGATCTTTGGCCTAGAAATAACTCCACAGGAAAAATAAATAAAATATTTTTAATACCTATTTTGGGAAGTTATTACTATTAAAACGAATGTATAAGACTTTTCGGTCAGCTAGGAAATTGATACTGCTATTGTTTTTTTACAAAGAAAACGAAAAAATGCCAAATAATCTGGTTCTAGCCCGTTCTAAGATCTTTGGGTCTGATAAAAAAAAAGAAATGGCACTTTTTTCATTCCACAAGGTTTATTTTAGCCTAGTTAAAGGTTTTTGCATTAAATAAATATTTCTATGACATTTTTGTCTAGTCAAAATTGGTAATGATATTTACTCCATAGGGATAAAATTTATATAATTTTTAACTACTATTTTAGTCGAGTTTAAGGTTTTTGGCAATAGAAAAGAAATTCATACTAACAAAATGAAAAAACATAATTTTATTTAATTACTCTGAGCCAATTTAGAGGATTTTGAATTGTAAAAAAGTTAGACCTCTGAGGATTATAAAAAGTTGTTCCTTTTAAATACTTTATAACCATTTTGTTATAAACTGAGTATATGGTTTTTGGTAGATGGCATATCATCTGTTTCAATTTTATAATAGCCTGATTTCACTCAAATTCGATTACCAATAAAAGGGTATCGTAAAAATGGATCCTGGGTTTATTTGAACATAACGTTTTAATTCATTATTAGAAATATGTTTTAACATAAAATTTGCTACAAAATCTGCCACAATGACGTTCATAGGGTAAAACCGTTCACACTTGACTAAAAATACATAATTTAAATATTTTTGAAAAAAGTGAAATATTTAATGATATATTCTTCCAATTAATTTTATGGAAGAAATCCACCTAATAGTGCCAATCCCCCCCTCCCTCTATCCCCAAGAAAAATCCTGGATGCGTATATATCTTTAACAGTACCTACGTGCCACATGTAATCGTGTTAATACAATTTTGAAATTATTCCAAATATCATTAGGACAATTATTGCTCAAATAACATATTTATGTTTGGTTTAAAATTCCACTTATATTATGTCTAAAAATATGAGCGCCATTTTAAGTGACAAAAATAATATAATCAGCCTTACAAATTGTTTATAATATTTGTAAAAGTTTAAAATTAAACATCAAATAATAAATACCATTATGGAAAAAATTCTGGGAAGAGCACACAATTTTTTAAAACATCTCTGAACTGCATACACACCTGACTACAGCCCTGCTAATAACCTTTGTGGACCTAAAAATAGCAGAGGAATTTGAGAAATAATTTATGATACGTGATATATAGCGCTTTTGCCATATGACTTTGAAAGTTCAACAGAGCTACGCTAGGTTTTCCTTATTTCCATCTGATTGGAACAAATTTAATTTGGGTGAAAAGTACAAATATAATTAGCTCTCTACACGTTTTTGGGCAAGTCACACGTACTTGTACGCGACGCGCAACATTTCGAAAAATGTTGCTTAAACATCTATAGGCAATAAAAAAATAAGCGGGACAAAAAAATAGCCCATACCTAATAACTATAGTATAATTTAATTACTTTAAGGGTGGGAGATGGATAATTTTAAGTATAAAATATATTTGTGTGAATACTGGTTAGTACAAACTAATTTTGAGAAGATTTAATTTATATGATAGCTTTTTATGTTGGATGATTTATTGATTACAATGAAAAATTAAGAAATTAATACCGTGAAAATTTAAAATTTAATATATCACCTCATTTTAATTCCCTTTATATAATTCGTTTTAGTTTGTGAAAGAGATGTATTTGATAATAATATTATTTGTTATTGAACTTTCATTTTAAGTAACTCTCTTTGATACGAAATAGTTTTTTGATAGATTTCTTACAGTTATTTAGTTTTATAAATTGTATCATATTGATATATAATCCATCACATCCTTTATTGTGTAGTTTCCCTTAGTATGTATATAGCCATGTTATGGCATAGTGTAATTAGATTGCAAATCTTATATTACTGCTGATGATACTCAGCAGATAGAATAATTTCATTTAAAAATTAAAAAAGTTTCTTATTATGTAAGCTAGAAACCGAATTCGACGCTATTTTAAAATTATGTTTATAAGCGTATGATTTGCCTTTTACCAAAAATTGGTGTTTGAGATGATTCATGTGTAGAAAATACCATTTATGATTCGGAGGCAATTATTGATAAATGATTGAAGCCATCTATTTTCTGTTTTGTATATTTTCCATATTTCCCCTCCATAAAGTAATATGGGAATTACAGTCGAGTTAAATACGCAGTCTGGCAAATACAGAAATCTCTTTTGTTTTCCATACTTTCATATACATATAAAAAGCACCTCTCGCTTTTTGTATTCTAATTCTCATTTCTTCTTTGTAGCTACCTTAATTATCCAATGTGACCAATAAGCAATAAGTATTTTATTTTGTCTTCAATTTATACCACGTTAGCTCCAACCGTAAAATTTTGTAATTGGGGAGATAGAATAACTTTTTTGTTGAAGCTTATCGTTAATCCAACTATATGCCTAAAGTTCGCTAGTAGGTTAGAGCGGTGGCACGTTTGGAGAAGGGAGAATAACTTTTTGTTGAAGTTTATCGTTAATCCAACTCTATGACTCAAGGTCGCTAATAGGTAGGGTAAATTTTTGGTTTCTTCCATATTTTTATCATAATTATGTCATCTCATATGATATTATATTGTTTTCTAAACGTATCGAGTCATTTGACCCTATATCTACTAGATCGACTGCACCCAGTGTTCCTTTAATTATTTAATAATTATGACATTAAACATGAGTGGCGATAGAGAAGTATAGACTTGTTTTACACTTTGTTTTTATCCTGAAGGAAGGGGATATTTCATTATTGATTTTTAAGCATGCAAAGAGTTTGGAATAGTGATTTTTCAAGATGTGAATAATGTTGGGTTCAATCCCCCACTATGACAGTGCTTCCCATATAGCTTCATGATTTAAAAGCTATACTAAAATCCACTAATGTGAAATAGGAGGGTATTTTATATTTGCAACATTTCTGCATATTTATTTTTAGGACTAATATTTTCTCTAGTATGTTTGTTTGGTCTGTGCTTGCATATGTTTTTGGGAAAAGATGAGGTGTAGATTAGAAAACTGCACGGGCTGTCCGTAGCCCGACTCGTCCCGATCGGACCCAAGTCTCGGATTCGGGTTAGGTTCGGATATTTAGAAAAATATTATTCAGGTTCGAGCTCGGGCGGGTTGTATGTTAGAGCTGTCCGACCCGAAAAAAATATTTATATAAATATCCTAAATTATTATTATAATTCATAATGTCAATTATAAAACCATATCATATTTTATTTTTTACATTTTATTCTTAAAATATCAATCAGAATAGCATCTCATTTTCAATTATTATTTTATAATTTACATAACAACCAAGTTAAATAAAATATATTTTACTAATATCTATTTAGTTAAATAGCTTCATATTTTCATATTGAAAAAATTATTTCAATGGATGCCAAATTAAAAATAATTGGTGAAAAGATTAAGAGCAATGAATATGAAGTAAGGGAAAATGCCAATGGCAAATCCGCGGCCTGGAAGATATTTTCATTTATATATGATGAAAACAAAGTAAAACTTAATTATGTAAGTTGCAATTTTTGCAAATATATGCTTATAATTTTATAATATCATACATTAAATATATGATATTATGAAATTATTTTAGGCATAAATCAACTAAAAAGGCATAAATGCGTATTTATAATAGAGAGTAAAAAGTCTCATATACAATTGGATCTCAAAATTATTCAAAAGTTGTGCCAAATTAAAAAAACGACCATGTTTTTGGACATGATTTGAGATCATCATTTGATGCAATTATGAAGGCTTTGTTGATTGTTGCCCATATTTTGCCAAAATTGGCTCAATAAATGGAAATTTGATGTTAAAAGTATCATTCCAAATCTCACGACAATTTCTAGAAATTTGATAGATACTGCTGATGATATATGCAATAAATTATTTCCTAAATTAAACGCATATATGAAAAAGGGTAGATATGCTGATAACAAATATATGAAAATATTGTTAAATTATTTATAATTTTTAGATTCGATTGTATTTTAACTATTTTATAATATTTTATACAAATTAAATAAAATGCAACTAAAAATGTTTTTTGATTAGATTATGGCCGTCAATAAACTTTTATTTAAGGCGATGAATAAATACACATAATTTATTTTTGGTTATTATAATATTCAAATTCAAATTGTAAAATTTTATTCGGCCTCGGTCTGGCTCGGGCTACGAAAAAATTACTTTGCAGAGAACCATAAAAATCTTTGAGACGCAGGATGTGAGGACTACGGTTCGGTAATCAGTAAATTTTTGCGGGTCATTGATTTAAAGAAAATTACATAGAAAAGATTTGTTCCATTCCAATTGAGTATTTCCGTTCCCCATATTTTATTGAAGTTGACTAAAGAAAAATATTCTCATTGGTGCGATTTTTAGGTATTCTGCTGTGATATTATTCAACTTCGGAGCTTAGTTTTTCCGTAGTTTTTGACTACATTTGATATATGGAGAAACCAAACAGGGGTGGAGCGAGGTTTATATCTATGTTTGTTCGTAGAGTTGCTTTCCGTGAGTCGAAGACCATCATTTAATAATCAAGCCATAATGCCATTTGTTTATCCTGGTTAATCTCACATCAAGACCTATCCCCTAATTTATTATCTCCTCTGTAGTCGTTTGCTTTACCCTCACCAATTAAGACAGAACTTTACCATTTCCTATAGCTATAGAGGGAAGTTTTCTAAAACTGCAAGGTTTACAGAAATATTTTAAATCTTTATAAGCGTCATAAATCCTATTTTCTTCCATATCTTTATCAATACCAAAGGCTTTTTTTGTAATGTCAATCCTTCTATCGCTTCACTGTAATCTCTGTATGTTTTTCCATATATTTCGGCTATTCATCATCACTCTTAGTTGATTTTTTTTTTCTAACGTCTCATTAGACATACATTCTTTTCTGAAAAAAGGCTTTTATTTGGCAAACATTCATATGATTCTGCAAGATCACATTTAAATAGTTTCTAGAATTCTTCTACATTTCCGTTCATAGTTACGTTTAGGAAGTATGCCCTTTTCCTATTTAATGCTTGATCAAAAATTATTACATCTTCCGACTTTTGTAATTTACTCTTATGTGAAAAGTTTTTTTTAAAATGATTTGTATGCCCGTCGAGTTTTATTTAATTCGGTTATAATAGCCCCATATGTTTTTTACGGTGACCTTAGCTATAAGCATTCTATGATCCGACAGGTTAATACTGGTTGATGCCTAAACATCATTAAACCACAGGTGAATATTAGAGATAAAGAAATAAATTTTGGATTTCTGCCGAGCTTTTACGAAGGTGTATATGTTTATTTCACAGTGGATAAAAAGTTATTTTCGATTTTAAATTTTTTGCTATCCTCACTATTCGGTTTTAGTATGGTAGCATCCGGTGACATTACTGGTAATATATTCTGCTTTTTTCCAATTTTCATGATTATGTAGATGAAGCCTAATTCTTTGTTTCTATTTGGTGTGGCATAGAAATTTACTATTATCGTGGGTCTAATTTGTGTTTAAATAGAGAAAACCACATCTTTCAAATATGAACAAGAATTTGATGATAAATGTAGGTATTCGTTTATTAATTAGAAATGCTATCCCAGAAGAGCTGTTAGAAGTGGTGCCCGAGCAAAATATCTTAAAATTATTAAAGTATGCAATGTTATCCCCTGGACAGTGGGTTTCTTGAATACCGATAATGTCTAATTTCTCTACTTCTAACATCCATATATTAATATTTAGGGACAAAATTTGTAACTTGCATGCGTATTTGTTCTCCATTTGGGTATGGAGAATGAATTCAAGAAAAACTTTATAAAAATCCATATGACGTTGGATGGAATTTTATTTGGTTTAGATTAAAGATTTGAAAAAAAGTTTGGTAAAAGAAAATTTAAAATATAAGAATTTTCCAGCTTTTATGAGAAACAGGGGGGGGGGGATTTCGAGATTTGAGATTTATATTTCGGGAGAAATAGGGAAATTTATGATCAGGTGTTTAAATGCACTATCTTAAGTTAGGTTCATGATGAGCTCTTTACGATTTTCAACTCTCCTGAGAGAAAAATTGTCGGAAATAAACGATGAAAATTTGAACTTAACATATAATATACCTCAATCTAAGTATTAGATACATCAACTTATATAATATCTAGTCATAAAATTTAGAGAGAATGAAACATGGACTAAAGTTAAGGAATATTTCACAAATTTAAAAAGTAAAGATGCTAGTAAAGATTTTAAAAATTTCATGAAAATGGTTCAAGAAATGGGTTAAGATAATATAATAATAGTTTTAAAATAAATAATATTTTATAGTGGGTAAAGATTCTAGCTCTGAATATATTCAAAGTTCTGCATTATATTTAATTAAAGAATTTTTTAAAATGAAAAACTTGCTGATCACTGATATTAATGTTATACAATCTTATTTTAAGTTGGAAAAAAATACTGACATCTTAGAGTCCTTTAAAATATTTAAGAACCTAAAGGATAATATGTTTGAATTTGAGATTGATGAACTAGGTTTATTAATTTATGACCAGACTAAGTTACTTCCTAATATTTTTGGCTCAAATATTCGATTTGAGAATTTTATTATTAAAAATATTCATGAGTCATCAGATTCATCTGATGAAGACATTGGATTTTCTCTAAAATATAAAACAAATAAAACCCAAACTAACATATCTGGAGAGAATGATATTGATAAAATTTATACAAAAATGATTAATTGTCTCAACAAAGACAATGTAGGCATCAAGCATATTAGGGAACTATTACTTAATCTATTAAACTCTAGAAAAAATGAGAATGAACTACAGACTGAGGTATGTTTTAAACATTTTCATCATTAATTATTTTTTATAGATCCTTGATTTATTAGGATACAATCAATTTGAATTAGTTATTGATATATTTAAATTCAAACCTCAATTACTAACTCTGTTGAAAGATGAAATATATGAAGATATTGATATAAATGATATAAATATTCCACTTGAACCATTGCCTACAAAATCCAAAATTAGACATCCACCAATAGCCCCTCAAGTTATTGTCCAGGTACTTATTTAAAAATTATATGCATGTATTCAAATAAAGTCAACATTTGAGATAAATATGCAAAAACAAATTGAAAAAGTGGCCAAAAAGTTAGCTAAAAAAAAGAATTATGACAAAAATTATGACACCTTCAATGAATATAATCTTATTCAAGAAAAGTAACATTATTACAATTGGATTGGCTTTAAAAAAATTTGTTTTTTTAGACAAGAAATTTTAAATGAAGCCAATCAACAACCTTTATTTTCTATTACAACACAAGATTCTGTTTATGGTACATCCTCAGAAAAATTGCCATATGTATGGGATAGCTTGAGTGAAGCAAAAGAAACCTCATCTTTTATATCTGGGAATAAAGTAAATTTTTCAAAAATATAATTTAATAATTTTCTTTTATGAAATATTTTAAGCTTAATCTACCTGATGGTTCTAAAAGAATTCAAAATAAATTTTTTGAAGAAATCACCATTCCTGCTGAAAATAGGGATGAAGATTTTTCACATATTAAGATTCCAATTTCCAGTCTTGACTTGGTTTCAACACAAATTTTATTCTATTTATAGATCACATTACCAACAGTTGTTATACTCCATATATAATCTACTTAAAAATTTTAATTTTTTAGTAACCTTCTCTTTATGTGCACATTTTTTTAATTTTCAGATAGGAAAATTAGCATTTTCTGGTGTAAAATCTCTCAATCCAGTGCAATCTATTGTCTTGGATGCAGCTTATTATTCTCATCATAATTTACTTGTATGTGCCCCTACTGGTTCTGGTAAAACAAACATAGCACTACTCACCATCTTAAATCTCATAAAACAATATTCCCAAATGGAAAATGATTATATACCAGAGAAAGCAGATGAAAATGATACTATAGGTTATGATTGTTGAAAATGAATGCCAAATTTTTATGATAATATATATTTTAAGAAGTTAATTTCAATTAAGTAAAAGCAAAACACTATTATAGGATAAATGAGAATAGAATGATATCAGATTTCTTTCTTTCTTATAACAGATCCCGCAAAAATATCGAATCTTGTGGCCAATCTCGAAAAGGATAAGTTTAAAATCATATACGTGGCACCCATGAAAGCCCTCGCGGCTGAAATGGTCGTTAATTTTAGCACTAAATTAGCTCCTTTTGGGCTAAAAGTCAGAGAACTCACTGGAGATATGCAACTTAACAAGAGAGAAATACTTGAAACGCAGGTTTTTTTTTAAAAAAATTATTTTTTACTTTGTATACAATTTAAAATTAAGAAAAATAGGGAAAGAAGAAAGGATTATCAATTTTTTTTAAAATCTCATAATATATTCCTGTTTAACCCATGGTCAGACTTTCCAACCGATTAAAATACTTACTTTTTCCAAATAATGATATAAAATTTTAAAAATGATTTAAATATTACGTTTATTAGGTACAAGTACAACAGTGTGATATATTTAATATATCTTGTCTGGCTACGACAAACTTTATACCTATACCTTTTTCTAATAGTAATTGTTGTTCACAAGCATTTTTAGGTGTTTTAGTTCATAATAAAAGCTGAAGGATCCTATACTCCATTTTACTTGAGGGATTTTTGTTATAGATTAAGTTTTTATATTTACTTAAAGTTTTTTAGACTTTCTTATTTGATGTAAACTTTAATTTTGTCTCCTTATATTAAGCATATCTAGTAATTTGTTTTGCTTTTCACGAACATATTTTTTTTTGTAAATGGAATGAGATGATATATCTCAAAATATTTATTTTATTCTCTATTTTATATAAGCAAGCAATAATATGCTAGATTTTAAAAAAAAAATTCTTCATTCCTTCTATCGTAAACTTTAGATGATAGTAACAACACCTGAAAAATGGGATATTATAACAAGAAAAAATACCGGTGATGTCGCTTTAATTCAATTGGTCAAATTGCTTATTATAGACGAAGTTCATTTGTTACAAGATAACAGGGGGCCCGTCATAGAAGCCATAGTAGCTCGGACTCTAAGACAAGTTCTATTTATATTTTTAGAAATCTTTATTTTAAAATTATTATTTCATTGTAATAAATGATAATAACTAGGAGGATGTTATAGTAAATTATACCATTAGGTATCAACCTAAAATTTTTACATATTATTTCGGAGAGAAAAATTAAAAAAATATTTAAATTTTAACAAAAAATTTATGTAAACTTTGTTTACTATGACTAAAAAAAAGGTGGAAACGATGCAAAGTATGATACGAATAATCGGGCTCTCTGCTACCCTGCCAAGTTACTTACACGTAGCACAATTTCTTAGAGTCAATCCCTACAAGGGCCTCTTTTTTTTCGACGGCCGTTTTAGACCTGTTCCATTGACTCAGAGTTTTATAGGTATATATATTTGAAATTATTTGATACATCTTTTTAGAGGCCTATTTTGATACTGAAATAGTGATCTGCACGGGCCTAATTTTTTAGGCCCGACCCGGCCCGAAATTTTTTTTAAAAAATTTTTCCCGGCCCGGCCCGAACACGAATTTTTTTTAGAAACTTTTGCCGGCCCGGCCCGAACCCGAATTTTTTTTAATTCATCCTAAAGTAATAATTATATTTTTTTTAGCTTTTAGTTTATTTTTTATATTTAAGATTTTGTTTTTGCAAAAAATATCTTAGTAAACAGAAAATTTATTTAGTATTTAATTATTTATTTAAAATACTATCAAAAATACCTATAAACCAAAAATAATTATAATGTTAAATTACACAACTATATATTAGATTCATATTTATAATTATCATTTAAAAATATCAAAGCATCAACATTTTCTGGTGACAGTCTATTTCTTCTTTCGTCTAATAAACTTCCAGTCTTTGAAAAAGTTCTCTCTGAAGTTGTGGACGTTGCAGGAATTGCTAGAATTTTTCTAGCCAATTTTGTCATCTTTGGTAATCTAATTTCATTTTTATTCCACCATTTTAATATATCTTTTTCTGGATCTATATTTTCATTATTCTCTTTTATGTTTAAATTCTTATAAATTTCAAGCTCATCTGTTTCTTTTTTTTCATATTCTTCCTCATTGTCCTCCCATCTTTCATATTCATTGCCTGATATATAAAAATAATATAAATAGAACAATTTTAAATGTACCTTTAGATCTTTTAGGCGATTCCACAATTTGAGAAACGCCTTGAATATCCAAATCTATAATATCAATTGAAGGACAATATTCTTCAGAATTAATTATATTTTTGACTGAATTCTCTACTTCTAATATTTCCATTGATGATAACATTCTTTCTATATTTGGGGCATAAAAATGTCGCTATTTTATGCAAAATATTGATTTTAAATTTAGATAATAAAAAATTTTTTAAATTGGTTTTTATTTCTTTTATTTCATTGTTTTGATAAAATGAATCATTTAAATCCTCGTGAAGAATATTATTAAAGCATAGCAGTACTTTATGTAAAGTAGGATTAATATCTCCTTCTAGTTCTTTAGTAGCTTTATCAAAAGGATATAAAATATCAATCAAATTTTTCAAAATAGATTTCTCCAAGTTTTCCATTTTATTAATATCTCCCTTGGATGATAAAAAATTGACGATGTCATCATATTGGTTATAAATAGATTTCAACATATTTAATTTTGAATTCCATCTAGTTTCGATATCTTGTTGTAATGTTTTGTCTAAATATTGATTCATGCCGGTTTGTTTAAAATACATGGTTAATTTTTTAGCAGAAATAAGGGTTTGATATATATTAGGAGCGATAATTTTCAAAGATTGTTCCTTAAAGGTATTTCGAAGAACAGTATTTAATAGATGTGCGCTGCAATTTAATCTGGTGTATTTTTCTAGGGCTTTAATTATATTAGCTCCTTGATCAGATATAAATATTATATTTTTCACTTGATCGGGAATTATTCCAATTGCAGCAAAATTTTGTAGCATTTCCTTATGTATGTTCGCGGCGGTTTTTTTCTCTTCTTTAAACTTATTCGTAAATAAAACATGTTTATATAAGGTTTCACCTTCGATATAATGAATTGAAACAGTTAAATAGGAAAACTTTTTAAAAGAATCTGTCCACATGTCTGTTGTAGCAGAGCATTTTTTATCAAATAATTGAACATTTATTTTATTAACCAAATTTGTTCTAATTTGATCCGTCATAACTATAGCATTTCTCGATAAAGTAGTTGGATGGGGAATAATTTCGCTACAGTCAATATTACCGTAAATGGAGCCAATTTGAATAAAATTTTGAGCCATTTTTATAAAGCCATCTCCAGTTATCGAATCAAAGGCACGCATGTCCTTGGCGCAATAATAGATCAAGGTATCACATAGTTTCTTTTTAATAGTTAAGGAAGAATTTAGATCTATTTTCTTTTGAATATACCTAGTTATTTTAGGAATAGAGGAATCGTCATTCTTAACGCACTTGTGACGTCTTAAATGAGAATTTCCAGATGTGCTTTTATATTGTAATATACTATTACATTTTTTACATTGGACGTAATCAAGTTTTTTGTTTTTATCATCAAATATGTCTTCAAAATTTTCCCATATATTGCTTTTACCTAAATGGGGCAAACAAATATATGTTCCATTTTGTATTTGTTTTTTTAAAAAAATTAAATTCATTTTTAAATTATATTTAAAATTTAAGTTTTATAAAAAAACATTTAAATTATTTTACCCATAATAAAATATATATGACATATGGCGTCTACTTTCTAAATAAATAAAATTAAATATTTATATTTTACAAATAAAAAATGTTGCCGCCTTGTTTCTTAAAAAAAAGTTTAATTATATATTTATACCAAGAATAAAAGATACATGCCATCATATGGCGTCTAGCTTCTTCAAATAAAATTAAATATTTTTATTTTACAAAAAATATTAGTGCCAATATTAAAAATATTTTAAGGCCCGGCCCGACCCGGCCCGAATTTTTTTAAAAAATATTAGGCCCGACCCAACCCGAACCCTAATTTTTTTTTTAAAGTAGGCCCAAACCCGGCCCGAAGCCCGTTCGGGCCGGGCCGGGCCTACTTTTGCAGATCTCTAACTGAAATCAACCGATTAAATTTTTAATAAAAATGTCTTTAAGGAATAGAATAAGATAAAAAACAAATGGGCTATTCAAATTTAAAAAAAAAAATAATCACCAGAAAACACTGTATCATAAATAAATATATTATCCGCCATTATAGCAAAATTAATTAGAACCTGAGATATAGCATATAATATTTGTCGTTCATATAATCCCACCTGACGATGTTTAATTTCCACCTATGCTATTAAATTTCTTAATAATGATCAATTTAAAATAAATAAATAAACAACCTTCATAGGCGTTAAAAATGTTGGTAATAGCACATTCGAACAAAGGAAAGAAATGGACCATATCTGTTTTGAAGAAGTCGTCAAGAGGTTGAATCGGGGTTTACAGGTATTTAAATTATATCTTTATCATTTCACCACTTTATCTTTACTGGGAGCTAGAATTCTTTTTGCTAGTTATTTAAGCCTTAGGAAATTTGAGACGTGTGAAAATAAAATTCAATTTGATGTAAATTGCGAAAATCAAGTGATTTAAATAAAATTATTTGATTAATCAATTTTTGGGTTTAATTTTATTCTAAATAGAGAATCAAATCTGTTATATTTTATATTTATTATAACATTCTAATGAAAGAAAATTGTTTTTTTTCTTTATTAGTTTTTATTATATATCTGGATGTTGTTTTGGTTTTATCATTATTTAAGGTTTAAAACTTCAACAATGATTCCTGAGAGTGGAACTAATAGTAGTAGTTATAACAACTTTAGGAACTTTGACCATTTAGAAACTTAAAAACATACCCAAATAAGATTCACCTGGCGCTTCGCTTATTTGTTATTTCAATATCATCCACTCACCTATTTTTAGTTGCAATGATTTTTTTTGCAATTCATGATTACATTTTTATCTTGCATATAAAGATAATGGTATTCGTACACGCCAGAAACGCCACGTTAAAAACCGCTATTAACCTTCGAGAAATCGCCTCCCGCACCAACAAACTACACTTGTTTAGCCCTTCTTATAATGACCAAAATAGCTCGGAACATTCAACAGTATTAAATGTTAATAACGATGATAATGAAAGAGCAAGAGCTAGAAAAAACGCAGGTAAACTAATCTCTAACCTTCATTTCAAGGAAAAGAGGCTTAGAGAACTCGTGGAGGTCGGCCTGGGATTTCATCACGCGGGTCTCATGCGAAGTGATAGGAATACTATAGAGAAATGCTTTTCAGATGGATTGGTTAAAGTTTTAGTGTGCACCTCTACCCTGGCATGGGGCGTCAACCTACCAGCTCATTGCGTCATGATCAAGGTTATATCTTAATTTACAATATTTCCATTAAACATAACTTATTTTTTTCTATTATAATTTGTTTCAATATTTTTTTATAATAAGAAAAAGATTATTATGTCCCGATAGTGACATATTTGAATTTAGAATTCCTTATTTAAAATCTAACGTAACCATTTTTTGAGGTATAGGTAGTAACTCAACCTTTATATTTCTTCTTTAAATAAGAATAACCACGTTTTGATAGTGTGCACATTATAGGAGACCGAATAATCTCATAGACACATATTAAACATTGATTACTTACACTTGTTATTTCACTTGGTCAGATTTATTATTATATTGTGTTAACTCATTATTACAAAGTATATCGTCATTATTTCCATTTAGCCCTTCTATCAAACTGGGTAATTTGTCACTGAATACATTTTTCAATCGTCATTTTAAATGCTTCAGATATAAATATTTACATTCATTATAGCTTTTTCTTTTTGTTTACCTGAAAACGTTCGGTCATACTATTTATAATATAATCATAGGATAAAATATGGATCTGCGTACATGCATTTTTGCATTTTTCGCTGTACATCCTCTTTGTTCGACTTATTCTATTTTTTGGCATTTCACTTTATATGTTATTTCACAACTTTAAATCAGGAATCTTTTCACTTAAATTTTAAGCATTTTATGGTTTTATTTTGATTGATTATAAAAGATACAGAAGACCTGGCATCTTAGATCATTTTCCTAGCTGATAAAATATATAAATTTTTAGTTTGAAAATATAATAAGAGCTGAATTAAAAAAATTTCGAAAAAAATTATAACTGATATAATTTTTTAAATTCTTATTATTATTTGTATACTCTATAGTAGAGGTCTGCATTGGGCGGGGTTTCGGCCCTCCCGTCAGCCCACGCCCGCCCACCTAAGTGGGCGGGCAGATGGCGAGTAAAAATTTTTCGAGAATGGGCAGGCGGGTGGGTGGACGGGTTAAGAAATTTAAAATTTTTGTTCAAAAACAAACTAAATAAAAATCATAATTAATTAAATGATCGATAATAATATCTCTTTTTTTATAGAACCAATCGTTTTTTTTAAGTGAAGAACACTTTAATAGTTTTTCTACATCTTTATCTAATTCTTCCCACCATATATAATGTCTCGTAATGGATTTCATTGATTTAATACCCAGATGTCCCGTATGCAATATATGTAAAACTCTTTTTTGGAGTGAGTACGGAATGATTAATCTGCCATTCCAAAATAAAATACCGTCATCATTTTCTATTTCATCTATTCTTGTTCTAAAAGCTTGTAATTCTGGTGCTTGATTTTGTATATTTGTACTATTTACTAATATTTTTACTTTCTTAAAATTGGATCTTTTGCGGTTTCCTCTCTTAGTTCTTTTCTTGATAGAGTTAATGTGTCATAAGTAAGATTTCTTATATTTTTCACTGTTTTATTTTCGCTTGTTATTCTATTATCATTTTTCTCTATTGGGTTTCTCGATAAAACATCTGCAATTATATTATTAGCGCCATTCTTGTACATTATATCATAATCATATGCAGATAATTTATAAGCCCAACGTAATAATCTTTGGTTTGTTAATGAGCTTAAATCTATGCTATCACCAAGTTTGTGGTCTGTTCATATTTTAAATTTTGGTCCATACAAATAGTTATGAAATTTTTCTACACCGTTTATTATTGTTTTTGCTTCTTTGTCTATTTTAGAATAATTCTTTTCAGCGTCTTGTAAAATTCTTGAGGTGTAAGCTATTGAAAATTCGTTACCATTATCATATTTTTGCATGAGTGCAGCTCCAAATTCTTGGTTAGATGCATCTGTTTCTAATATTAACTCGAGGTCCGGTTTATAAAACTGTATAGTTTTTGTTCTGTTACTATTCCGAATAGCATGAAAACGATTACATAAATAGCATGGTGTTTTATTTTGGAATGGCAGATTAATCATTCCGTACTCACTTCAAAAAAGTTTTACATATATTGCATACGGGACATGCGGATCTAGAGGATATACTTCAAACGGATATCCTACTTAGGTGGAAACGACAAGAAATAGATGCCAAAGCTATCAAGAATAGCAAGAAAAATATTGGCAATTCCTGCAACTATTGCTTCTTCTAAACGAGGATTTAGCATTGCTGGAAGGTTTTCAGAACAAAGAAGAACGTATTTGAATCCAGAAAATGTCGATTCATTATTATTTTTGCATTATAATTACTATAATATCAATTTTATATTTATATTTTTTTCATAAATATTCTATTTGATCAAATAAATTGTCCATAATTTAAATTGAATATTTTTTTTATGCTTAAATTAATTTCCTAAATTATAAACTTTTTGTAGAGGTGTAATGCTTATTTTTATTAAATGCTTAAAAAATTGAAAGAATGGCCATAATTAAATTTTATTAGCGGGCTTGGTTTAAAAAATAATGCGGGCGGGTAAAATTTTTTAGACTAATGGGCGGGCGGGTAACGAACTTTAGACAAATGGGCGGGGCGGGCGGGTGTATATTTTTTTGAAAACTATGGGCGGGCTGGGCGAGCGGGTTAAATTTTTTTAAACATTGGGTGGGCGGGCTTTTGGTCCAAAAACCCGCCCAATGCAGACCTCTACTCCAGACCACCTATAGCGGTCGTTAGTAAGTACTTCATCATACAACAATCAAAGCTACCTTGTTTCAACTATTTTTTTGAGCCTTCGCAGCTTACTATCCAAACTGAATGCTTTAAAAGGATAGAACATTCATTCTTTTATTTGATTCACCAAGATCAGCAGATGTTTATGTATTATATATTGGCAAACAAAATATTTTGCTACCTATCTATTAAATTAAAAATTTGATTTTACCTAGAACAGCATTAATAACTTTATTTAGTTATCTATGACAATATAGTTAATAATTTTTCGGAAACTTTCAGCTTTCATTTCCTATATTTACTCCTGAGAATAATATTCTTCTCAAAATGGTTTTTGAAAATTGTATAATTTTTTGATAACAATTCGTATTATCTAAGGAAATTCCCATAATTTTTATTTCAAGATTTATAACTGGATTGTGGTCTGATCCTGCTTAGAATAAGTTTTCTTTACTTAAAAACTTTATAATCTAAAATATTTGTTTTATTACATAGATTTTATTGAGAATCTGTCGATTTTTTAAATTAATTATTTTGAAGCTAATTGAATTATATTTTTTTTTAAATGATAAATTAATGTATAAAAATGTAAATCAATAAAAATTTGACAATTCTAAATGCTAAAAATAAAATAACTTTTAATATATAAAATATATGAATATATTTAGAGAAAAGTCATATTCCTTTATACTTTTTTTGATCGTCTCCTTTTTTATTTATTTTCTCATCGGCCTCAAAAATCGACATTTTCTCGCGGTCTCTTGGACAAGTGTCCATTTGGTGTAATGCCAGCTCGCCCCTCCATGGGCACTATGCATTGTGATCAAAAATGTACAAGATATTTTAATTTATTTTATTTTATATAATAAATATACAGTTTTATTTATGTCTATAACAAAAATATTGATTGATTATGAAAATACTTATAACAATTTTTTTTCTTGTAAAACAAAATGCTGTAATACCTTTCGCATTTAGATTTTGTTATACATTGACATCCTGGCATCTTACACCATCTTTTTTTAAATCGTACACTATTGCTCTCTATTTATAAAATACATTTATTACATTATAAATATTTTAATCTAATTTCATATTTTGCCAAATGGCACACATTTAAATAGATGTAAGTACATTATTTGTAAAAAAAATTGTTAAAATAATTAATGCTTATACATATTTATTTTTAAATTTACGAGGATTTAGCAAAAAAATTTGTTAAATAAAAGTTATTAAACTAAATATAATCGAATTTCTGACTTAGTCTGAAATTTCAATTTTTTTTAAAAATAGGTGCCTTGTAATAATTAGAAAAAATATTTTTAATAAACATAGTTCGTTCATGCATTAAGGTTATAAAAGAAATATATGATTAACCAAAAAAATTAAGTGAATATTCTTATTTTTGTCGGCATTTTGTCCTCTGATATTTTTTCTTCAACATTTTATAAGAACGTCATTTAGTTCTATCTCCTAATTGCCATTATAAATAACAATGTAGTCATTGTTATTTATATATTTCAGTTTTAACTTTTTCAATCACATCTTTCATAAAGGGAACGGAAATATACGATTCTCAAGCTGGTGGCTTTAAAGATTTAAGCATACTCGACGTAACTCAAATATTTGGTAGGGCCGGAAGGCCTCAATTTTATACGGCGAAAACTTCGAACAATACCGTAAACGAGTCGCCAAATCCAATGGAAGAAATGAAAGAAATCAAACATAAAGGTTGCAAAGCATGGTTTATTTTATGTAACATATATATATAAAGTACATTTTCCTCTTGTTGTAAATACGACAATGATATTCTAGTTTCCTTCATTCTTATTAAACTGGGAAATCCTAATAAAGGAAACCAGCTAACAAAACTACGACCCACCAAAAAATAATTCTTTTTCTATTAAATAGATCCTTCTACCGTTACGTATATGCCTTTATTTTTCACTTCCCGAAATCGCTATCTCTTTTGTGAATATTTTTATGCAGTTATTGATCTAAATAAACATATTTAATGTTGTTCTAACTCAATATTTTAACCAGAAAAACATTGCCTAATCCTTGAGATTTCGCTAAATGTCCAAACCTTTGTTCCTTCTACTAAAAAAAATCTCCAGGCTTGCTTAATATTTTTCTAGATGAAATATTAAGTTAGCCGTTTTTAAAAATTTGCTCAAAACGAGCCGCTTAACAACATTAATCATATTTGCTTATATATTTACCTCTTTGATCCGGCATATCTCCCCCTTCTTCTTCCAGTTTCACTCTAATTAACTTATTTCCTGTATTCTACTATGAAATTATTAAGTTAATAAATTACTATTCGAACCCTGTTATAAGTCAACCAAAATTTGCCGATCAGTGTTTTCTTATTTTTGTTGGTATTTTGATTAATTACTACCTAAATTTTTTTACCACATTTAACTATTGCATTTAAGTTTTATTTTTTAATTATAAATTATTTTATGTTGGAATTTTTTTTATTCATCAATATTGGCGATTTAAAAATAGTTTGTGCATAATTTTTTTTTAATGTAATAAAATATATACATGTTAGATAAATAACTGCCTCTTGATTTATTTTCCTCCTCGATATATTTTTAAAAATTATTATTTATTATTATAAATTCGATTTAAATGAAAATATCGTTATTTAATCCAAAATTAGATATTTTTTTATTTAAAAAAAATCATGATTTTTTATTCTTATTTTGAAATTTTTTTAAAATAAACAATTTACCTATTATAATATGATTAATTATAGGCCCTTCATCTCGCAATAAATTTGCCAGTGACGGAGGCGAAGCCATTCTTTTAACCACTCATGACAAGCTCTCGCATTTTATAACTGCGCTTATCAGAAAATCTCCCATCGAGAGTCGTTTCAGCGATTACTTATGTGATAATTTGAATGCTGAAATAGCTTTAGGCACCGTCAGCAACATAGACGAAGCAGTTGAATGGTTGGCCTATACCTACTTTCACGTTAGGATGAAAGCTAATCCATTGGCCTATGGCATTAATTACGAACAACTCAGGGTTATTTATTAATATTAAATCAAAAATTTTGAGAACAGGCATAAAGTTTATAAAAAATTCACACTTATCTGCCCGGCACGAATTGAGATTTATAAGCATAATTTCCCCCTATATTCTTTATTGTATTTTTTATTAAAGTATTCTCATTTATAGTGTTATCAATTGGCATCGCTAGCCTCTTTCACATAAACCTGCTCAATTTTCTGGGGAGGGAGGATTTAATTTTTTCTTGGACTTATTAAACTGGTATATATTCAAAAAAAAATAACAGTGCCAATCCAAATAAAAATGAATACTTAAAATTTTATAATTCATTTATAAAATTATAAAATACATTATTTCAAGCAAAATACAACATTGTCCTCAACTCTAATCGGAGACAAGCTAATGAAATTGGCTGTATATATTTTTAATATAACTTTATTCTCTTGAAAGCAGAAAAGAACGCTCACATGAGCAACAACGCAGTAAATTAGGCTTACCGAAAGAGGGAATTTAGGCTTGCCAATGAATAGGATTAAAGATTTGCCAAAAGAAAATTATGGCGTGCCAGGCACGTTTTGACACAATCCCAGCTACGCTACTAGTGTTATATTATTCCACTGTTCATTCACCACACCTTCAGTGTTTTTTTCATTGTTTTTTTTATTTAAAAAGAGTATGAGTGAGTTTATAGGTTGTTAGGCTGAGTGCAAAACCATTTTAGAGAAATCAAAAGTTTCAAAATTTTCACAAATTTAAATTTTAATGAAATCGTATGTTATAAATTTATAAAATTTTTAAATTATAGAGGCGAATAATGTTAAAATCTAAATTACATCCGTCATAGGTCGACCCAGATCTTCGTCAGCACGAAAAAAATATTATCATGTTCGCTGCTAATCAGCTCGATAAGGCTAGAATGATACGTTACGACACTACCAATGGTTATTTAATTATTTTATTTTCTATATTGTTAAGCTTATGTAATTTACTCACCCAATATCAAGGTTCGGTACTAAAATCATTTATTGTGGACATTGTTGAATTTGAATATTTTACTAATATCCCCTATTATCCAAAATATTTATTAATATTATATCATAAAAGTAATTCTTTATTTATCGATTTAAATAAGGTTATCTATATTCTACTGATGTGGGACGAGTTGCCAGTCATTTTTACGTTAATTTCGAAACGGTCGAATTGTTTAATCAATACCTTGATCCTAATGTCACTGAAGCTAGGTTAGTTGTAAGATGCATTTTTTTCATTATAGGTGTATGCTTGCGCTTTGTAAATTCAAAATTATTTGTGGTACCTAACCCACCCAAATCCATTTGATGTTTACATAATCTCAAAGCTCTTCTCAACTCAATATTTCTAACACATTGCCTAACCCATTTAATAATGCCAAATTTTTAACATAAATTTTTTAAAAAATAACAAAATTATGGATTTATTTCTTTAAAAAAAAGTAAATATACATCATGAATCATTGATTGTCTCATAAAATTTTCTTATTACGTCAAGTAATTTACATTAATAAAAAATTTATTTTTTAAATTGCAAATTTTCCGGCCCAAACTGGCCCGTGGATTTATTCTATCGAATTTTTCGGCCCGGCCCATAATTATTTTTACCCGGCTCGGTCTTTAAATACAAGTTGTCCTGTCCATAATAATTTTTTATGAAGGAAAAAAACGGCAAAATATGCCTAATTATTAGCTTTAAAAATATTTTAAAAACATCCACCGTTCGCAATTTATCCGGCCTGACTCAAAAATCTTTTCCCTGCCACGGGTCAGGTACATATCTTATTTCTACCATAGTTTTTATCCTTTAAGGTTTCGTTTTACTATAAATAATAATTTTAAGGCTATGGATTTCGTAGTTATTATAAATATCGCTTAATATATTATGACGCAAAATTTCTATATTTTATAGAATTCTAAGTTTGGTGTCCAAGAGTTCCGAATTTTCCCAAATCAAGTTAAGAGAGGAAGAAATGGACGAATTAACAACACTATCAAGTCAAGCCTGTCCTTTGCCCATCATGATAAACGATAATTTCATGTCTAGACCTCTTCCCAACACTTCTTTCCAAGATAGTGGGGTGGGAATCGAGGGTTCTGAATTCGCAAAAACCAACATATTGATTCAAGCCTACATATCAAGGGAAAAACTCGATTCCTTTTCCCTAGTCTCCGATACCAATTACATTAGTCAAGTAAAATCTAGCTATAACACGTTTATTAATAAAATTATTTTTGTTTTAATTTTCCATCTAATTATAGATAGCGGTCCGAAGCTGGGGCTTGGGTCTAAACATTTTAAAACATATCCTCGGGCTTGGAAAATATATAAATAAAATAGAAAATAAAGTTTTTTTTTGATTTTTATCAAAATAAAAGAGTAATTAGGATTTATCTCTTATATAAGGACAAAACAATTAGTCATTTTTTACTTCATTTAGCGTTTAATTTATATATTTTTTTAATTTAAAAATTTGATCTAGTCTCAGGTCTCAAAAAAAAAATTGTGCTCGGGCTTAAAAATTAATAAAAAATTTTGGTCTAGCTCGAGCCGAAATAATATGAATTTAATGGTTTCTAATTAGATATTTTAATTTCTCAGGAAACCATAATTAGGGGAAATTTCCAGTGTTTTTAAAAGCTAATTTCAAAAGTAGCCCGATATTGCTAGCGCTAAGTTTCAAAAAAAGTAGCATGCTACTGTAGTTTTAAAAATTAGTTTTCGCAGCTATACACGATGAAAAAAATATGCAAAATTTTTTTAATATAAATTTGGGATTCAAACATTGTACTGATTACAAATCGAAGCTTTTCCGTTCTATCTTTTATTTTAAATGATGTATTTTAAATCGTAACTTGTTTTTTGCGTTAAAAAACACAAAATATTTTGTTTTTCACCTTTTTTTAAAAAAAGAATTTTTTAATTTAAGCATCGAACTTTTTTTTAGAAGAAAACAACACAAAATGCTTCCACTATTTTTAATCGCTATTAGACAAAATATATAAATTTATCATGAATAATGACTTGTATAAAATAGGAAAATAAATAGAAGGTTTATTTTATAGTATATTTTAATAACAAAATCATTTCTATATTTTCATTTCCAAATCTTGAGCGGCGATCACTGTTTCGCTTGGCTAAATAACCGCATAACCCTGTGTTCACAGTTAGCGTGAATCGCGGCGAAGAATACAAAATATGATACAAATAGGATCATTTCTTTTGTATATTTCGCCGCTAATACGCGCTATCTGTGAATTCAGGGTAACCTGTTTTTAGAAAGGGATAATTGTTATGGTTTAAAAATTATACATCTATAAAAAAAATGGCACTGCCTTAATATAAATTATTTCCTATATATTCTTTATATTATTAACACCTCTCCACCTCACGCAGAACATTTGCAGAATTATAAGAGCCCTATTCGAAATAGTACTAAGAAAAGGGTGGCCAGTCGCCGCTGGCAGACTTCTGAACTTGGCCAAGGTTGTCGACTTGAGATGTTGGAGTTTCGAGAGCTCTCTTAGACAATTTTCGGTACTAAATCAAGTAATATTGGAAAAATTAGAGGATAAACGCTTGACGATTGATAAACTTAGGGATATGGAGGCCACTGAAATTGGTATATATTTAAATAAATATATGCAATGCCTGATAAAAATGGCGTCTTTGCCTTTTTCTATTTAGGTGGCATGCCCAAAGAAAAAATTTATTTCAACATAAAATATTTTAGGTAATTACGATTTCGCCCCTCCATAGTGACGCAGTGGGTTAAATAATTATGAAGGATTATTACAAAGAAATTATTATAATGAAGATAATTTTTTTTAAAAATAAAATCAATTACATTGAAAAGGAGTAAGTACATTTGAAAAAGATTTTTTTTTTAATTTAAAGATAATTGATTCTTCTCAAACTCATATGCTTTAAATTAGTTCCAAATAATTATAACCATTTGAAAAAAAAATTCTTAGGCCACATGGTTCAAAATATAAAAATGGGCCCTACTATCCAACAGCTGGCCATGAATTTCCCTCTCCTTCAAATGGACGCCATTTTGCAACCCATAACTCGTTCTATATTGCGTATTAGGATTAACATAACACCAGACTTCATTTGGAATGATAAAGTTTATAATTTATTTCTTTATATCACTAACATTAATATTTATACACCTTAAAATAAATAATGCTATTCATGTTACTATTTATATTAAAAATAACTAATGAGGCGTTATTTTCTTTGACTTTGCTTTAAAATACTGTATAAATTTATTTAAATATTAACACCAACTCTGTTTTATATTCTTTAATGTTGCCCCCCCCCCATCCACCAGAAAATCTTTGCAAATAATAGATATTTTTTATTTCCTAATCGATTTTTAATTCTATGATTTAGTTTTCCTAAAATTTGGGCGAAACACAAAAAAAATTGAGACTATTTGGGGGGGGGGGGGTGGAATTTTATTTTATTGCATTTCATGTAAAGTATTTTACATATTATACCACCCCTATTTACATAAGTTGTCCCACCCCTCAAATTTTAAAATCGAAAATGTTAAAATTTAAAAAAAAAATTACATTAAATATTATTTTTTATTTAAAGCGAATTATAATATAGGAAGCTCTCTGTATAAGAAATTTCGAGCTATGAATATGTAGGGATGTACCTATGTATTTTATCGGATCGGACTGATCACCCCTATGAATAAGCAAAAATGTTTCGCTGTAAAAATCGTGTTTGTTGATTGAATACAGAAAGAATACTAGTTTTCTATTTTCTTTTTAATAATTGATTAAAAATAAATTTATAATATTAAATTGAAAGTTGTATTCCTTGGGAAAAAATTATTTTTCCGTGATTCACTAAAAATTCGCATTCATGCCCTGCCAATCTTTTAAAAAAGCCGTTCACGCCCACTCACTGCCCAAAATTTAAAATTTATTCTCAATCCCACCTCTACTTGGTTTTATAGTGCCCATCTCAATATTATAATTATACTATTAGATCCACGACACTTCCGAATCCTGGTGGATATGGATCGAAGACCCCGAGAACAATCATATATACCATCATGAATATTTTACTCTCACCAAAAAACAAGTCCTGAACTCCGCGAGAGCCAATTACAATGCCGAAGAGATTATCGGTAAAAATTTATCGAACAAATTCAATTCCAGTGCCATGCATAGTTGTCTAACTTTCACGATTCCCTTATTCGAACCCATGCCTCCGCAGTATTACATAAGGGCCGTCTCGGATAAATGGATAGGATCTGAAAATATATTGCCAGTTTCCTTTAGGAGTCTCATATTGCCAGAACATCACCCGCCTCAAACTGGTAAATTTTTTAAACTACATATTTCTAAGGATCCGGTTCGATCTTAGATTTCGGTCTTGTCCCTCCCTAATACTTGACCGTTACATTCACTACTTTTTGATGAATATTATTATTTATAATTGTAAAAATAATGTTACTATTTATGCAAGACAGTATTATTTAACTATTTACAAACAGTTCCCAACCCGATCCCGAATTAAACTTGATTTTATTTGCCAAGAGCTCGACCTGAAATAAAAATTATTCGTCCGCCCATCCCGAATTTATTTAAATAAATTAATTATTTTTTACATAGTTTATATATTTTTACACTAAAATCGAGTTTTTGATTATTCCACAAAAAAAGTAAAAAATATTGGCGCCATGTTTCTTGCAAAAATTTTATATTTTATTTTAAAAATTAAGCCTGGCCCTATTTTTTAAAAAAATATTAGGCCTGGCATAGCCCCAGCTGTTTTTTAAATATGATCGAAACCCGTTCGGACCTAGGTCGTGCCTTTTTGCAAATCGCTATTATAAATATATATTCAACTCATTTATATACATTCCTATTATTCTATCATTTTCTGCTCTCATTTTCTAAAAAATTAGATCTACTAGACCTTAACCCTCTCCCGGTCACCGCATTAGACAATCCGTATTTAGAGGTTCTCTACAATTTCACTCATTTCAACCCTATTCAATCTCAAGTTTTTCATTGTATGTACCACACTGATTATAATGCCCTTATCGGCGCTCCAACCGGATCAGGCAAAACTAATATAGCTGAATTGGCCATTTTTAGGTGATTACAAATTCTTACACTAAACAAAAAATATATTTATTTTATTAAAGCACGTAAAATCATTAATCTAATCCTAAACTCTTTCAAAAAATAATTTTTTAATGGTTACAACAGATTATGGAGAGAATACCCGGGCCATAAGGCGGTCTATATAGCCCCGCTCAAAGCCTTAGTCAAAGAAAGGGTGAAAGATTGGTCCGTTAGATTCGCGAAAATTCCTAAAAAATGTTTATCTTGCCAAACCTTTGAACTGGACACCAGGAAATTCAACGAATTCCCGTCGACCTCGTCTACTAGTCTGGAAGAAGGTAAAATTATATGAAAATATGGTTTATAAGTAAATATTGTATTATCAAAATGAATATATATAAAACACTATATCTCCATAAAATTGCTTATCTATCTCTTTCTGTAATTAATTTATTGTGTTTTCGGGAATTGATTTGAAATCAATGTGTTTAATTTTTTTTTAATATTCCAAAATAAAAATTATAATAATCTTTTATATTTAGATAAGATTCATAAATTTTCCTGCTATGCTATTATTGTTGGTCTTATTATGTTATTGATTTCTATATATATCCTAATTTTAGTTATTATTTATAAAAAAATCTTTCTTACTTACGTTTAAAAGATTGTATAAAAATAGTGGAACTAACTGGCGACCATACACCCGACGTGCGATCCATAGCTAGCGCGGATCTGATTATAACGACCCCCGAAAAGTGGGATGGAATAAGCAGAAATTGGCAGACCAGGAATTACGTCAAGCGAGTCAATTTAATAGTAAGTAAAAATGTATTTGAAAAATAAAAAGTATTTATTCCGTGACTAAGGCCTCATTTTTAGTAAACGCGTTATGTTCAAGCTACCTTATTTAACGCTGTCGAAATCACAGCGGATTCTTCATATAGCGTTTATAATTATTGAAAAATACGTCGCAATATATGTTTTTCAAATTTTATCTGAGCTTTATCATTCATCATATCTATAATTATGAATTATACTTATTTATTGGCCTGATTTTATTAATAACGCTACGTTAAATGACATAACGCTTGAACAAAACGCGTTTAATATTTTTTAAATATTCAAGATCGGAACCAGAACTTTTTTTTGTCCAGTAAAATTCTGATCACATTTTTTTCTTCTTTTTTTAAATGTCATAAAAACGGTATGCCTATTCTTTATTTGCAATATAATACGTTTATAAAAATACTAATAATACCAAATGAATCTGTTTTATAAATGAGCATCATATAGAAATAATTAATATATCAATATTTATATATAAAGACTATTGATTGCAGCATAAATGAATTTTGTTGCCATACCCCTACATTCACATGTATACTTCGCCACTAATTCGTGCGAACTAATGCAGGGTCCTTTCGTTAGCGCGTTAATGCGGAAAATACAAAAATACAGTGTATTTTGTATAATTCGCAGCGAAATTGCGCTAACTATGAAGGAGAAGGGGGGAGGGTAAATTTAATTTATTAAATAAATTAATAAAATAAAGTAATATATTTGATTATATAAAATTATAAATTAAAATAACTAATTAGAGCGTTTCATATATTTGGTAAACGATAAAACATCTTCTTTATTATAATTATTCGATCTTTTTATAATTTTGATTGATTCTCCTATTAGTTTAAAGAAATAATTGAAATTTTGGGAGAATAATTTAAAATTATCAAAATTTATATTATGGCTGGTATATAGGTTATGTGCAGCAACGCATGATATGAGTAATTGTTTATTTTCTGTTTCGGAGCTCGTTTTATCCCCAAAACGAGTCTTTTTTATAAATTCTTTCATTCATATAACTCTTTTGCTTTTTTTATTCACGTATTCTTTTTCAAACATATTGAAAGATGACATTTAAAAAAATCATTATGTCTGAAAAAATATCTGGAATTTTAAGAAAGCTCTTAATTGTAACTTATTAATTATTTACCTCATTTTTATATTATTCTACAAAAAAAAAGTCTGTAAAGTAAACATTTATAACTTTTTTCTTACGCAAACAAACGCAAAGGTGATTGATGAAATACATATGCTAGGGAATTCTAGAGGCCCAGTTCTTGAAGCCTTAGTCTCTAGGACGAATTATATATCATCTCACACCCATATGCCCGTAAGAATCGTGGGGCTATCTACTGCATTAGCTAATCCCAATGACCTTGCGAATTGGTTGGGTAATAATTTTAAAACTCAAACATTATATTTATCATTTTTTTCCCTTTAAAAAAAAGATTTGTATACTAAAATTTATAATATAATTTTAAGCAATTAAGACCATTATTTGCTGATGAATAGAAAAGCGTGTTATATTAATTTTCAAATTTGGTTTGGGTGGTTTGGTTAATTAAAAATTTCCACAAGAAAAACTATCCAATTCCAAAGTTTAGGTCGCTCTGATCTGTTTTTCTAATTCTTTCTGTAAGTCTGTGTTGGTTCAATACTAAGGGCTGGTTTACCTGTTACAAGAATTTTCTGGTTAATATAAATGCCAAATTTTTTCAAATTATATTGATTAATGCCCAAATATTATATTTTAAAAAATACAACCAAAAAAAATAATCCTATATAGAAATCTAGTCTGGTGCTTATCTGCATCGTTAACCATAAGTAAACATATATCCTGATTAATTCTGGAACCGTTTATAATGATTTTTTTTACCATGTATTTATTCTTAAACATGCACCTTGTCTTAATTTCTCTCTAAATCTAAGTTTCTGAAGGAAGCATTAACAAAAAATAAATATAGTTTTATGATGTAAGTATTTATTATTTTTTTTGCATTATTGTAATTTTAGAAATGATAGAAATCATATATATTAAAAGGTATTGAAAAAGTTGGGCTTTTCAATTTTAGACCATCCGTTAGACCTGTACCATTGGAAGCTCATATCTCTGGATTTCCTGGCAAACACTATTGTCCCCGGATGGCTACTATGAATAAACCCACCTATCAAGCTATCAAGTATGTTCCTTCTTTTTTAAAAAAAGTGTAATTTAAATCACAAGTTTATATATATTTTATATGGCAATCAGGCAAAAATTTCCTCAGAGAAGAGAAAAAAAAATCCTCTTATCAAAATTTTTAAATTAAACTTAAGACAAATTTAAATAATAATCATGAATTTTTTTAAAATATAAATACTAAAACCGTTGTTAGATATTCATTTTACATTGTGTTCTATATCATACAAATTGCATTTATATTAATTGCTACAATATTTTTAATTCAATCAAAGTTTCAATGCTACTTCCAGTGGAATATAATGTTACAGCTATATCTGGAAACGGGTTTTATGAAAAATACTCAGTGGCATAGCCAGGAATTTTCTATAGAGTGGGGGGGGGATAATATATTTTTATTTTGAAATGTTTTTTTGAACAGAAAAATTTATTAGAACCAATCATATTTACAAAATGACAATTAGAACAAAAATAATAAAATATTGGAAAATACAAAATAATTAAGAGCGAATATTGTTAAAAAATATTACAGCTACATAACCCGGTATTTAAATCATAATAAAATATAGAATCAAACATTTATATGATGATTTAAAAAGTTAATAAAAATATCGTTCATAAATGGAAATCTATTCTTCATTGCGATTGCGCCAATTTTTCAATAATCTGTTTTTTAATTGAGGATTAATAAATCTATCTATATAAGTAAAGCTAGTCCATTCATTCGATTTTCAGATGTACTTCCGAGATACCAAAATATACAGTTATTTTAATTGATTTGGAAAAAATTAATATATTTTTTTAAATTATGCAATGCTTCCATGACGTTTCTTGAAATGCATTCCATTGTTAAAAAGATATTAATCAAAATTTTATCATATAAATATAATCTTTTTTTTGAAATAATTTTCAGAAACATTTTTTAAAATATATTTTATTAATCATTTTTTTAAAATTAAATATAACTTAGATATTAAATATCTATTAATATTATAAATCTATTTTTATTTAGGATCAGTGGGGAAAAAATATATTTATTAGCCTATTATAACTCAAATTTTATTTTTTAATTTTAAAATTTAATAAATTCATCTCCTAAAGAGGGCGTTAAATTCATAAATATGAAATTATCACATTAGGAAGCTCAAATGATTATTGGTTAGCTCTTTTTTTATATTTGGATATAGATACGTGTGGAAAACCTAAAAAAAAATTAAAAAAATTATAGGTTTCTTTGACGTTTAATTTATAAGTAACTTTAGAAATCATAAAATAAAGGCAAACTTATAAGGCATATATTGATGGCCTTATTGATTGAAATCTCTTAATTTTTATTTTCAATGCTTATATTTACGTATATAACATTATCACAAACAATGTTTATAAAACATGACTTGACCGATTGCCGACTAAACCTAGCGTTTACTATATTCGATTCACCAAAATTGCTAGTAATATCAATTAAAAAAATGTTAATTTTTGTTATATATCGCTATTACTTGTAAAAGATAATCCCCAACAATATTGTGATTTGCCGATAACCGACCCAATAACTAAATACTGCATTGCTGGCATTATCCATGGAAAAATTATTTTTGTTTTATATGCCTATATCTACTTCCAAAAAATAGTTTAAATTGTGATTTTAACGATTGCCGAACTCAACCGTAAATATTCGATTATACTTGAAAAATGTTCATTTTTGTTTTATGTCGCTATAATTACGTGTGAAACGTTTTCCCAAAAAATATTTTAAAAATACCGTGACAATAACCGACTTATAACCGGTTTAATGATTTAATTATGCATTGCTGACGTTATCCATGGAAAAATCATAATTTTTGATTTTTTTATATAGTTATTTTTTTGATATTTTGGACTTAGCCTTAAATATTTTTGATGATATATAATAAAGAAAAAATTAAAGATTTAGTAAACGGTCGATTTTAAGTTTGGTTATCGGTCAAATCACAATATTTTTTGGGATTATGTTTTACACGTAAATCGACATATAACGCAAATGTAAATTTTTCAATGGATATCATCAGCAATGCAGTATTAATCATCGGCCGGGTTTGAGTCGAAATCGGTCAAATCGTAATATTATAAAAAATATTTTTCGGGATGTTTTACACGTAAATATGAGCTTTGAAAACAAAAATGAAGAGTCGATAACGCCACCAATATGTCCCTTACAAGTTTGCGGTTCTTTTTCGATTCCAAACTTGTTTATAAATTAAATGTCAAGCTGATATTAAATAAAAATATATTTTAAAAAATCTCTGAAAATTATTTTTAGAAAAAGATTATATAATAAAATCTTGATTAATTATGATTAAAGGATTATTTATTAAATCAATCTTTTCATAGCAAGATTAAATTCTGATATTATTCAGATATGGTCTGCAGATACTCCACGAATTAAATCAGAAACCTGCCAGGCCAGGCCTTAAAAAATTTTTTTAGATACCCTGGCTGGGAAATTTTCTTTCAAAAAAATACCCACGCCGGGCCGTATTTTAAAATTGAATATTTTAAATCGCCATTATTAACTATAAAGATTAAGCATAAATGTAATATATTTTAAAAAAATTAGGGCTGGATAAAATTTAAAAAATAACCGGACATGGACGTGCAAATGGTACCTCTATGGGTCTCTGAATAAAATTATTGGAAATATTTAATTGGAATATCAAGATTAAATATATCCTGAAATGGATTTCTAGGTAATAGTATTTTTAAATTGAACCGAGCCATTTGATCAATCCAAATCGTTATTGATTTGAGTCAAAAATGTATACAAAAGTGGAATAAAAACGGTTATTCTATAGAAATCCTCGATTGTGTCTACATTAAAATTAGAACGATTGTGTGTATGTCGAGACTTGCGAATCTCAAAATCATATAATAATATTAGTGCGACTACAGAAAAATCTATTTGAAAAATATTGCATAAAATTGTTATGTAATTAAATAATTTGTTAATACATTCCAATAAGAAGAAAAAATCGGCTGTCCAATTGAGCCTAATAACGTATCAGCTTCAGGTGAAATATCTGGTTCAGGCCATACTGATATTTCTCCAAAGACTATCAAAATAGGCTCTTCTAGATCCAAAATTACTGTAACAGCTTGAAGGCGAAAGCTCCATGTCGAGCATGCTTTTTGCAGCTGTTTCTTTTTGTAGCACAAGAAGTCTAAAAATTGTATTCAGCACAAATTTTGTCTAATGATTACTAACCTCCTGAAGACCATATTTCTTCATTATTTATCTTTTTAGATTCTTCATTTTATTGAATATTTTTATTTGCAATGTGCATCAGATTGTCAAGATAAATAATCAGTTAGTATAATTACTGGATTGGGTTATATTTTTATATTAATTTTAGATGGTTCTTTGATAAAATTTTCTTATATCCAGCAATGTTTAAGGTTTAAAAAAAATATGAGATAATATGCTTTAAATTTTCGTGGAAAAAATATTAATGCACAAGGAATATAAAAATTATTTAACTTTTTACTAAAATTTAAAATAGTATATAACCTTTTTGAAATAAAATATTTTGCATTTCACAATCTCTGAAACCTTTTATATTTTTTTAGAAATTTTTGCAACTCCCTCCCCGTTGGCTACGCGCCTGAAAATCCTCATTCCAGTTTTTTTTTAAATATAATTCTATCAAATTCTGAACAAAATTTAGAATTAGAAAAATTTAAATTTATAAAATTAATTTTTTTATAAATAAATTTAAAAGTTGGTTTTTTAAATACAAACTATTAAATGAGTTGATTTTTTATATTTAAATTTGTATTGATATTTTATGTAACTTTAATTGGTATTATTTGAATATAACCTTATTTAATATGTTGATGAAAACTTACGATTATTTTAGCTTGTAACCTTGCTTTTGTTTAAAATATTTTTGTAATATATTTTGATACTTTTTATTTTTGTTTAATCAAATTTCTATTTAATATGAAAAATATATATATACCTTATTTTTGATAATAAATTTTTTAGTTTTTTTAGATTAATGTAAAAATATAATAAACTCAAATGTTAATATAGTGCAAAAAGTTAACAAAACAAAAGTAAGAAATTGCGTTTGTTGAGTTTATTATATTTTTACATTAATCTAAAAAAACTAAAAAACTATTATCAAAATAAAGTATATATATATATATATCTTTCATATTAAATACAAATTTGAATAAACAAAAATAAAAAGTATCAAAATATATTACAAAAATATTTTAAACAAAAGCAAGGTTACAAGCTAAAATAATCGTAAGTTTTCATCAACATATTAAATAAGGTTATTTTCAAATAATACCAATTAAAGTTACATAAAATATCAATACAAATTTAAATATAAAAAATCATTTCCATTATTTAACATTCTCCCTCTTCTGAGATGTGAGAGCTTGTTGTTTAAATGGTCTGTAATTTTAACTGTTATCGTAATAGCACCCATCATGCGTTATCGTTGGCTTGATTCAATCACGTTGGTTTGTTAGCATCGTTTTATAGTTGTGCTTTTGTTTGTTTATATCTATTTGAGTACGTTGGCTTGTCGTCGTGCTCCGTCGTTATCATTAGCAATTTTCAAATTGTTATTATTATCAATCAGATGTAAAATTATTATTATCAAGTAGGATATTGGAATATATGAATAATCGGAATGATAGAATTTGGAATAATTGAATAATTAGATATTGGAATAATAATTCAGCAAGATTATTATATCATATTTTAATGTTTAATTTATTTTTGCGTTTTAGTGTTAATTTTTATTTTATTTATTTATATTTTACTTTCATATCTTAAGTAACATAATCTTTTAAATAATTAGGTTTTGACTTAGTTCTTATTGGTGTTACATTTTCATTTTTATTTATGTCCACACTTCCCTCCTTTAAAGAATTCTTAGGTTGAGAGTCGTGGTATATAAATGTATTGTAGCATTTTCTTTTTCTTAACTGAAATGTCTCCTTGTAATGCCTTTATCTGTATTAACTTGGGACATGGTGTCACTTTCCTTCAATATGATTATCCCTTTGTCCCATGTATCATTTCCTTGTACTTTATACCACACAAAATCCCCTACTTTAAAAGTTCTATTAAATGGCAACGTTTTATCAACTCTAATTTCCTTTTCTTCTATCTTAATAAGTCCCATTTAGTTTTAATATCACGATTAAACATTCTTTTAGAAGGTGCAACTCCTGTTGTATCATTTGGTGGTTTTCTGTAGTTGAATAAGAATTTGTCAGTGAAGTATCTAAATCAATCTTAATATTTCTTTTCATATGTGCCTTAAACGTCCTCACCATACGTTCCTCCTGGCATTGGACTGCTGGTGGTACACGGATGTTATTATATGTTTTATGCCGTAATCATTGCAAAATTTGTCAAAATCTTTATTCGTGAAATTAGAGCATTATCTGTAACTATAGTATCAGGTATACCAAATAGCGAAATAGTTTTATAAATTTCTTTTAACGTAATTTCAGTTTTAATATTCTTAACAGGAACTATAATTGGAAATTTACTGTAGACGTCGACTATACCAATTCTTTTGAAAAATGCACCCGCATAATCTATTTTATTGGCCGAGACCCAAGGATTTTGTTTTTCCTAGGATTGTCGTGATAAATATTTCAATCGTTTTTAACTTTCATCTCTATGTCATTATTCATACCAGACCACCACTTAAAATCTTTAGCTAAGGATTTGATTTTACCTGCTCCCAAATGACCTTCATGTAATGTCTGCAGTACGTTTTTTTTAACTTGATGGAATAATTTAATAATGCTAAGTTCTAATTCCATTTACATATATTTTATTTTTTATAGGCTCAATATTCATTATGTCATTTATAACTTGAGATAATTCTAAATCTTTGTAAGTTTCATCACGTATTTTATTAAAATTAATAGGTGTATCGGCAAAGTCGTTTTCAATTTCATTTTCAATAACATCACTAGTTTCTTATGGTAATCTTGAAAGGTATCAGGAACAACATTGTATTTACCTGCTTTATACTTTATGTAGAAGTCGTAACCCCCCAGAGTTATATTCCATTTTTGTAACCTTAAGGACATGGCACTATTGTATTTTTAGGTAGACACGGCAAACATTTTACCATCAGAGAATTGTTTTCTTTGTTTTGAAATATTATTTTAAAATATGCTCTATAAATTGGCCATGGTAAAACAATAACTTGTTGTTGCTTCCTCTTCTTCATCGATATAGATCTAAATAAATATATAAACTTAAAAATTTAGTTACAAAATAAAATTTACCATTTCCATATTGTAATATTAAAATTTGTATGGTTTATTGATAAACTCGGACATAATATTTAAATTAATGAATATTTATATATTTTTTATATATAAGTTTTAATATTTTATGTATATATAATTCTTTATTATAGTATTAATAAATATTAATATATAATATATATATATATTTATTTATTTATTTCATAAGCTCATATGAAATAAAATAAATTTTACAGTCAAATATTTTTATATATAATAAAAAAGGGGTATATAAAATGTATCTTAAAAAGTATTTAAAAACAGATACAGATACCTCTAAAAAAATGTCTAGATACAGATACCTTTCTAAAAAATCTATCTAGATACAGATACAGATACTACATTTTTATATCTAGATACTTGTTTTAACATCTCTGTTATTTATTATGTTGATAAAAACTTACGATTATTTTAGCTTGTAACCTTGCTTTTGTTTAAAATATTTTTGTAATATATTTTGGTACTTTTTATTTTTGTTTAATCAAATTTGTATTTAATATGAAAGATATATATATAACATATTTTTGATAATAGATTTTTTAATTTTTTTAGATTAATGTAAAAATATAATAAACTCAAACGCAATTTCTTACTTTTCTTTTGTTAATTTTTTGCACCATAACACAAACTCAATAAAATAAAATGAGCAAGTTATAAAATACCTGTAATAATGAAAAATTTGCAATTAGTGTATTATATTTCCCATGAGGAATGTAATGATGATATAAGAAAGAGAAAATAATCAAAGTTTTTGTTTTATCTTTTTCCCCGCAAAAAACTATTATCTCTAAGGAAATAAATAATATTTTTTATTAATTCATTTATCGCTTATAATTGTGGGAGGGAGTGGAACAAGTATATTTATTATATCGTTGATACAAAATGTATATGTTTATTAAATTTTAAACAACTTGCATAGGAATTAAATGTGATTATGATTATTTGGGCCTATTTTTTTTTGTTTCAAAAAAGCATCAAATATTAAAATAGTTAACCGAACCCTCTTTTTAATTGCGGAGTTGTTCATAACGTAAAAGGTCAGTAGCTAGGATGGTCTGGGGATGGTGTGATCTCGTGGTTACATAGCACCCTCTCACTATGGAATAATTTTTAAATTCGGTTTACATAATCATTAATATATTTAAGACGATAGGTAATTTTATAAATTTTGGAGATATGAGCCTCTTTTTCTTAAAAAAAAACTTGAACAAAACGATGGGTGAGCCTTGCTCGGACCGATCCTATGGAACTATTTTCTTCAATCTTTTGAATCGAATCTTAATTTTAAATGCTTAATTCGGACAAGGACAAACTTTGGAAAATTAAGTTATTTGGTTATCTATTTTCTTTTAGCGCTTAATATTTTTATGCCTTCCTTGAAATATACTTTTTCAACATTCCTATATTTGTAAACAAAATAGGTTCTATGCAGGTTCTACATGTTAAAGTAATTCACGAAAGGGATTTAAATAAATGGGCAGATAAACAATATAATTTATATGTTAACAAATCATGGCCTAATCTTTAACTTTGGCGTAAATTAACACGTCAATTTTTTTCTAATAATTTCCGTTCAATACATCATAAATATTTCAAGATGATCTAGCCTGAAGGTTGTTCACCTCGCAGTTTATCATTTTTCTAAATAAGCTTTAAGTACCTTAAAATTGACATAGGTTAATGATAATGTTATAAATTCACAGAAAATAAATATATATTGCCATAAAATCTCATAAGCGCTTGTTAACCATTTCTTGCACTTCTTATTTCTGGGAGTAATTGTCATCGGAAGATTCGATTATTATGCACGTTGAAATTATTTAGTGAAAATTCCTTATTTGCAAATTGTTAGCCAATAAGATTTTTACCTAATTTCAGGCATCATAAACTTGAAACATTTTTCAGTGATATCTGTTGAATGGAAATTACTGGGAAAAATTGAACCTGAATAAATAAATTATTGTTTATTAACGTCAAAGTTTGGCGTTAATGCATGATTTGTTTAACTAAAAATTTTATCAATTCTAGTTAACGTCACTTGATTTAGGCACGCTCCAAGAAACGTTTTGCCTAAATAGAAAGTAAAATATTTTAGGTATACTCAAATTAAATTTAGGCACGTTTCCTGTGTACTCTCCCTGGTGACTCCATTGATGTATAAAAGATATTTGTTCATTTTTTTACCTTTTTTGTCCTTAAATTATCATAATTTATAATTAAAAAAATTACATTAGAACCTATTCGCCTACCAAACCTACTATAATATTCGTATCATCTCGTCGCCAGACTCGGCTCACTGCTGTCGACCTCGTAGCTTACTTAGCCTTAGAACCTAACCCCAAGCAATGGCTTAAAATGGCCGATATCGAAATGGAAAATATAGCTACAACTATCAAAGATAGGTATATTAACCTCCATTGTTTTTAGCGTTATGTTATACGATTTCTTTGATTTTTATTTCTTCCAATTAATAACTCGGATAAATTTCTCAATAATCGAAATCCGATTTTAAAAAAAAATTAGGTCCATTATGTCTTTTTCTCAAACCGGACCTTATGATAGGTCTAACGTAGGGTTATAAAAGCAACCATTATATTATAATCCAAGGATGGGTATTATTGTTAATTCCTTTTCTAAAAACTGTAATTTGTGATTTTTTAGAGTAATTATAATTACAATTCCTTTTATAGTTAAATTAAGGATTTATTAAAAGTCATAAAAAAAATAACCAGAAACTTTATTAAATAGCATATAATATAATTATAATAATATTTTATTCATTATTACAATTTTTGATGTTTGAAAAATATAAAGGTCACTCGTTCAATAAGACATTGCATATAAATTGTTATAAACATTTTATTTATACATTTGATGTTAAGAAATACAATCAAATTATATTTTAAAAAAATGGAACATCCTTAATAGATATTAATGGAATCAACACCCTAATCAACAAATGATATTGAATATATTTTTAACTAATATTTTTAAAAAACATATAACTTTTTTTAAAAATATCTATTTAAATAGTTCGTTATTAAAACGTGAATTCTGGTATAGATTGTTAAATATTTGCTGATTCAATAAAAAAAAATTAAATGATGAAATTGTTTTAAAACATAGAAGGAGATTTTTTCTAAAAGAGAAAAATTAGGAACAAAAAGTTAATATTTAAAATATACCTTCATATGTTTTAGTAAATTACTGGTGGTTTGATTAACAGGCGGCACTTATGGTTTTATCATTCTTATAAGTTATTTTTAAAAAAATTGGATGGATTTTCAATTTGGATTTATCTTCTACTCAATGTAAGATTGTATTTTGAGAGCAATTATCGGAGTTATCGTCAGAGTCCAAGGTAAAAATGAAAGATTTAGAATTACTAAATATGTTTCCACCATAAATATGAATAAAATATTGCATTGCAAATATTACTAGTTTTAAATATGAAATATATGGATGAATGATTGCAATTATTAAGCTTTTTTCATAAAAATTAATTAAATAAGAAAAGGAATTATAAATTATATACTAATTTCTGATTACTGTATTAAAAAATGTAATTAATTATAATTACTACCTTTTTTTAAAGTGAAATTAATTATAGTTAAATTATAAAAAAGGAATTGTAATGATGGAATTAATTACTGCCCAACCAGGTTATAAACTAATATTGAAATTATTTAATACTAGTGATGGAAAATCATATAACTCGCTAATTCGTAGGCGGCTTAGTCGAGTTTTAGCCCATTTTTTGGCCTCAAATTAGGTTTAAACTTTTTTCCTGTCTTCATCTAAAGGCTTGAATTTGAACTGATTTTTATTGCTTAGCTCGAGGTTTAAGTCCTTATGACACACATAGTTTGACATTTATTTATTTAAGATTGGCAAGAAAAAGTCTGCTTATAATTATAAAATTTTACATACAAATTTTAATTCGTTAGCGTTATAATTATTAATTATAAAATTAAAAAATGTACCTGTTATATTAATAATATTTTTAAACTCTAATATTATTTTGATGAAAATAGTTAAAAGATTAAACTTCTTTTGGGTCAAATAAATAAATGAAATATATTCAATAAGGTGCAAATTGTCATATTAACATATACCCATCATTTCATAACAATAATTTTTAACTAATTTTTGACTACAATAATTAAAAATAGATAATTGAACATGTTTTGGTAGATTTTCTGAGAAAATATAATATTTGCTATAATTCTCATTTTTAAACTATTTCAATTTTTTGGACGGAAATTAGTTCAAAATAGGTATTTTAGGTGAAAGATGATACTGATAAATGTCATAATCTACATTTTTATACCATTTCTTCTTTAAAGAATTTGTTAAAATATTACCAATAAAAAATTTTAAAAAATTTTAAAAAATTAACAATAACAATAACAATTTTTTTCATAATTTATATTTTAATGCCAACTAACGGATTTTTTTATATATTAAATCTATAAATTGTAAATTACTTTATTTTTGTTAACATTAAATTATAATTGGTTTAAATATAAAAAAATATTGTAAATCTAATAAGATATGACATTTTATTAAAAATATTATATATGTGACTATATAAAAAAAATCGGGAAAATATCCTTTATATAAATAAGCCCATATATGTGCATTTAATTTATTACTAATATACAAAATTCTAAAATGATAAATTCGGGTTTCTTGAATTGCGACTATGTATTGTAAGTAATGAATAAATATTTATATTATTGGATATTTATGAACCTTCACTTTTTGAAGGCTCAAATTTTTTTGATTACTATTTTCTAAAAGAGTAGTTGTCGCCTACAACGTTAAATAATTTTAGATAACATCCATCAGTTGTTTTTAACAGGGATATATGAACCCTTCTAAAAAAATGGGTTTGGGTTCAGTGGAAAATCTCTGAACCCGGTTCAGGGTTTAGAGACCAGAAAAATAATGATTTATTAAAATTAGTTAAAATAACAGAAATATCATTTTTTTTAAATTTATTTTATTGCCATATAATTTATCATCATAATTATTATTACATTAAAAAGTAACATTATATTTTTATTTTAAAAATTCTATTTAGGCGAAACATCATGATATCTTCTAAAATATCGTCATTAAGATTATTGTTGCGTAAACGGCTAATTTTAGCCGACTACAAAGCGGCTTAGCCGAGATTTTAGGTGAAAAAATCGGGTAAGCCTAATTAGACCTAGCCTAAAAATCGGCTAAAACTAAATAAGTCGAAAATTCTGCATCGGCTAATCGTCCATCAGCGTTACGTAAGATATGACTAGCATTAATTATTTTTATTTACTTTTAGTAAAATAATTTATTTTATTTATATTTAATGTTAAATTTTATTATTATCAACAAATAAACATATTTATATGATTTAATATTTTTTATTTAAATTATTATGAAATGAAAATATTTGAAAATAGATTTATTTATTTGATGTTTTTTTTAATTAAAAAAATGATATGCTGCTATATTGTAATGTAATATTATTTTTGTTACAATTTATTAGTGATTTTCACGCCCAAAATTAGCAAAAAATATTTTTTGAAGTTCAAAAAGATTTTTGAACATATTTTGATTTAATAAGAATTTTAAATCTTCTTTTGTAAATAAAACTTTTTTGAGGAATTTTTGTGAATTTTATTATATGCGCCAAAAAAAATCAAAAATCTTTAAAAATAACGATTATGATAATTGTCACTTATCGATGGTACATCTTCACTAAATTTTTAATTTAACATGTTAGCAATCTAGATATTTGCCCATTTACGTCAAAAAACTTTAAAAATAACGATTATGACAATTGTCACTTTTCCATGTTACCTTCATGGAATTTTAATTTAGCATGTTTATAATCTATATTTTTAGTCATTGCGTTAAAAATAATTCAAAAAACTTTAAAAATAACGAATATGACAATTGTCACTTTTCTATGTATGGTACATCTTCAAGAAATTTTAATTTAACATGTTTACAATCTATATTTTTGCCCATTTGCGTCAAAAATATTCAAAAAACTTTAAAAATAATGATTATGACAATTGTCACTTTTCCATGTTACTTCTTCGTGAAATTTTAATTTAACATGTTTATAATCTATATTTTTAGCCATTTGCATTAAAAATAATTCAAAAAACTTTAAAAATAACGATTATGACAATTGTCACTTTTTTATAGTCATCTTCTAGAAATTTTAATTTAACATGTTTACAATCTATATTTTTAAAAATTCAAAAATCTTTAAAAATAACAATTATGACAATTGTCACTTATATAGGGTACATCTTTGCAGAAGTTTTATTTAAACATGTTAACAATATTTATTTTAGCCTATTTAAGTCAAAGAAATTTAAAAATAATGATTATGATAATTGTCACTTTTCTATGGTACATCTTCATGAAATTTTAATTTAACATGTTAAAAATACATATTTTTCCCCATTAGAGTCAAAAAGATCTAATATGTTTAAAAATACCGATTATGATATGTTATTTTTCCAAGGAATAACTTCATTGAATTTAACATTTAACATCTTTACAATATAAATTATATTTTTATATGTCAAAAAATTTCAAAAATCTTAAGGAATATGACAATTGTCACATTAAAGTTTAGTATAAATATTGAAAAAAAATTATTTAAAAAAAACCACCAAAAAAAATTATAAAAATTTCACCTAATAAAATTCACAAAGAATTCCACAAAAAAGATTTATTTGCAAAAGAAGATTTAAAATTCTTATCAAATCAAAATATGTTCAAAAATCTTTTTGAACTTCAAAAAATATTTTTTGCTTAAAATTTTGGCTTGAAAATCACTAATAAATTGTAACAAAAATAATATTGCATTACAATAGCAGCATATCATTTTTATTATTAAAAAAACATCAAATAAATAAATCTATTTTCAAATTATTTTCATTTCATAATATAATAATTTAAATAAAAAATATTAAATCATATATATATTTATTTGTTGATAATAATAAAATTTAAAATTAAATATAAATATAAATAATAATTAATGATATCTTACGTAACGCTGACGGACGATTAGCCGATGCAGAATTTTAGATTAATTTAGTTTTCGCCTATTTTAGGCTAAGCCTAATTAGGTCTAGCCGATTTTTTGGCTAAGCCTAAAGAGTTTAGCCAGTTTTTAGGCTAAGCCTGATTAGGCTTAGGCGTAGTTTTTAGCCGATTACGCAACACAAATTAAGATTTCCACGTAGGTCCGACAATATAAATTTTAATGATGAGAGCGATCGTTCAACGCTGACCTAATTATTAATTAAGTTTAATATATTATATATAATGTTTATGGGACACCTAGAACAATTTTCGCCAACGTGTATAATTATGGATAAATTAAACTATTCTCTTCCCAGAAGTCTAAAATATTTGCATCCTTATTAATATTTTTAATGTGTGAAAAAATTTATAATAATGAGCTAATTGGAATGTTCACTTTGATGATGTGTTAATTTAATTTTTTTTCTTTTTCTAAGACAATTTTTCAAAATCATCATTATCATAATCAAGATCACTTGTAGCTGTAATGTTGATGCATTCAATAATTTAATGATTTATATTTTCCCCATAATTCCGTTAAATGAGCTCTAGCAATCTCTTCCTGATCAATGTTTAATAGGATTTGATATCTGAGGTCTAAATATAGTGATGCATAAAGAATATTATTATTTAAATAAATATCCTTTCTAAATCTCATATGCCCTAATATCTCATTGGAAATATTATTGTCTATTTTTTCCAATTCTAAATTTTTTTACAATTGCCATATAAATCGGAGAGGCACATTTGCTCCAATTGTGGCCTAAAGGTTGTCATCTTAAGTGATTTCAAAACGAAACTTATGTAGCTGTTGTGTCCCATTCTGTTTCCTCTAGAATAACTTCCGATGTTGTAACAAAGTTCATTCAAAAATCTTTCAATTTTAACAATCTATCCAGCTTATCGTAAACCGATGACTATCGTGTACAATCAATTATAGCCATAGGTTTTTTCAGTGATTCAAGATTCTAACGATCGTTGAAGTTCTTAAAAATTTTACCACTTGCCTTACTTGGTCAAACACGATTTCGCATAACTTGTCTTTAAAAAATCATTAATGGCTAACTGTAATGTGTGTGCTGCATATCTAATGTTATAAACATTTAGAGTTAAATTTTTAACATCTGGTCCAGATCTGCTATTTCTTCATTGATTATATCATCCTCATCCCAATTCTCCCCTTCCACAGATTCATTTAATAATCTTATAGACTTGATTAAATTTGCATTGTTATAATGTATAAGCTTGTTTAATGGAATGCCAAATTTATTTAGGGTCTCTAAAATCATTTTTTTAATATTATTTCCTGTAGCTATTTATTTCATTTCTTTCATCCAAAATTTCTTAATACAATAATATTGCTTCGAACATACTGAATATTTATTTGCTTCTATCTAATCGTTTAGCAGAACAATTTTTAAACAAACTAATTTATTTTTTGTTTCTCTTTTAATTTTTCTCACTATTTTTTTTAGACTCAAGTCCTTAATTTTATAACGATTAGTTGACACATCCAGGATTTTAGTAATAGGGTCAATAATTTTTTTAAACCCTGAGTCTTCAATTATTGAAAAAGAGCGGCCATTAACGGTCACCATCTCAACCAAAGCATTTGCCATATCTTCTGACATCAAAATATGAATAGATTTTTTTGGTACAATATCTTTTATATCAGATTTGGTAGTAATCAAGGTTTTAGTCGAAGTTTCTATGATTTTCGTTTTTTTAACCTAAATGCTCAGCGAATTGTTTCGAGTGATTCCTCTTAATTCTCTAAATTGCTATTTTGATTCCCTGCTAATACTACATCACATATTCTACATTCAGAATCTCCTTTATCATTAAATTTGAAATATTCGGCTAATAAATCCTTGATTTTCATCTACAAATTTAATTTTTTTAACAAATTATTTAAATTTAAATAAAACTATCTAAACTAAATTTGTATTAAAAAATAGATAACAGATTTTACCTTATTTCAATTATAATCCCCAAACAATCCTGCACAGCTCACTCTTGAATCCTGAGATTCAACTTTCCGTTCCGTCTATATTAGCAACTCCTGAAATTAATATATCTGATATTCGATCACCAATTCCTCGGCATTCCAAAATCCCAAGACCAGAGTCGTTTTTCAACCTATTATGCTCAATGCATTAATAGAATGTTGAAAAATTTCACTTTTAAGGATGAATGGTTCGCTTTTCTTTTATTTGGTCACAAATCTTTCCGAATTCCTGCTGTCTGGTAATTCATTTACTAGGAATATTAAAATCACATCTTCTAATATTAATTATGAACTCCGTGATATCATAACACACACCTGCAACAAAAAAAATAGGATGATTTAAAATTCAAGATGAAGCTAATCGACAATAAAATAAATAACCTGGACATAGGTGATCTTAGGGTATAAGCTCCTTAACACACTTGCTCCAATAGACACTGTATCTTACTAAAAACCCTTTCTATTAGATTTTGTTTATGATTATGTTTGTTATTTAAATGCTTCTTCAAGAGTTTATTGGCTTGATAAAATATTTAAGCATCCACAAACATCTGAAGTTATAACAATTAGTGAAATAAAAAAAGAAAAATAGTTACTATTTTAAGCAATTACAATATAATTCAAATTCAACTGATATTACAGGTAAATTTTTTATATAAATTATTAATAATAGAAAATAACATACAATAAACCAACCACATCATCTTAATTTGTCATGTTTGTTATTAATTTAAAGGTTAATTATTTTTATTTTTAGTCAAACACACAACATTACAAAGTAAAGTAGAATAAATTTTGCCAAAAATAAACACAAATGTACTCTTTTTCTTTGGTATTAAATGAAAAATAATTATCATAGCATAAGATGATGATTTTAAAAGTTATTAGAAATTATTTCATATTAGCTAAAAATTAACCGTAAAATATCAAAACTGTATATCTTTTAAAAACCATGCTAATTTTTTTTTAAACCCGGGCTTAAAAAATATATATATATACTTGAGACGAGTCGAAATTTTATTTTAAAATTAATAAGGTGAAAATATAAAACCCGGACGGGCAGAATTTTTTTTTAAAAAATAATCCAGGCCCGGCCTAAAATTAACTTAGGCCGAGCTATGCAATTGGTACCTCTGCAGATTTATAATATAAATAATTATATTATTTATATATTAATATGTTTTTACCATGAGATGTTTTTTTAAATTGAAAGAGCTAACCTTTGAGAATGATATTGTCAATTTATACATAATAAACATTTGGCCTTAGTATTTGCTTCCTTTTGGTTCATTTCTTTTAGAAGATAAAAATATTTCTTGTAGTATGGAAATGATTATTTCACCTTCAATATTTTTTTTATATGTTAATAACACGATATCGTCTTCCATGGTTTTTATGTTTTATAATTCCGAGAATATAAAAATATAAATAATAACTCGGCGTAACATTTATTAAAATTAAATAGTTTCATATATTTATAAATATATATTATTGTATTAAACAATACATTAAGATTATTTTTTAAACAATTTCTACATTAAAATTAGAGGAGCGACCCAGCTCTTCCTCCCTAGTTTTGTAAAATAGTGTTACTCAAGCAGTTTTTGAGAAAGATTAACTCAAGCCGACCTTAAAGCGGTTAAGTAGAGTTTGAAGTGATTAGGCTCACTGATCAAGGTTAATTTATCTTTTCGGCTTCTAGGTATAACCCGATATTTTTGGCTTAACCTAGGGGTGTGAGCAGCTTGAAATTATAGACTGGAGGCAAAAGTAACGGCGAAAACATGTTACATAGAAATCGGCTCAATTCGATTTAGCCAACCGATTTTCCTTCACTACTTAATACTATTTAAGTTAACCGTTGCTAGCTTTCAAACTTAAACATTATATTTAATATTATTCTCTTAAAAACAGATCTATATAATTCCTTATTTTTCAAATTTTGCAAGCCATTTAGCCCACTTCCTCTTATTCGGAATCGGTATGCATCACGCTGGTCTCCACGAGAAAGATAGAAAAATTGTAGAAGAACTTTTCGTTTCGCAAAAAATTCTGGTGTTAATAGCCACGAGCACCCTAGCCTGGGGAGTTAATTACCCAGCTCATTTGGTTGTGATAAAAGGAACGGAATATTTTGACGGCAAAACTCACAAATACGTCGATTTCCCTATAACCGGTTTTTTTATTGATAAAAACTCTTATCAGAAATGTACGAGGCTATAACAATATTAATTGGCCTATCACTGATTTAAACTATAGAAATTCAAATAGCAGAATTTTCGGGCCCAGCCCGGTAGGGCTTTGGTTCTCGCCTGGCCTGGCTAAATTTATACCCGGCCCTGTTCCAATTTTTTTATTAAGGCTGCCCTACCCGGTTTTTTAAAATCCAGGTCCCATCTATCCTTATCCGAAATATATGTTGTTGAACACCAAAATAAACAACTGTCTAAATATTTAGGAGTGGTTATAAATTAAAAACACTATACTTTATCGATTATCACTGTATCAAATATTAGAATTCATCAATAAGTCTAATATACTATAATATGTCCTATTTCTGTCAATGATGATTTGGCCCGGTTTTGAGTAAATTCAAATTAGTATAAAAATATGAGCAAAAAAAACCTAGTAATGTAGATTGTATTGTCATCCTTATTTAAATAGTGTTATATTTTTTTTATCACTTCCTACATCCCGGCCTTGCCCCAAATTAACTTTTTATGAGCTTGCCCTGCGCTAGCTTTTCGACCATATTAAAATAAATACAATTTTTTTATTTAAAGAATAGATAAACAAATACACAAAATAGAAATATTCTAATAAAGAATTTTATGCTACTGAAAAAAAAAATTTCACGTGTCTAATATCAACCGGTTCAATTTATTATAATAATATTAAGCAAAAAATATTTATACATGGAATCTTCGCTCAAAATGCTTAGGAATCTGAGCATGGCAATTTTTAAAATTTCCAAGTACCCGGTTCTATTTTTGTGATTTTTTTTTTGAAAGTATTGAAATTATATGTACTTGGGTGAAAAATTTTGGTGAAAAGTATATAGAGTTATTAGTTATTTTTATTTTGCCTACGAATAAGGTTGGATTCCGGCAGGTTCGTACAGAACTCTCCTTTTAACTTGTACATGTTTCCTGGCATTACTGAAGAGGGGCAAAAACATGATCCTCTGTATACCAACAATATTTCATATTTGAATAGAACAATTTTAGTTATCAATTCCCAGGTCAGGTACAAGTTAATATAGAGTTCCTTTTAAAAAATACCTCATGTATATAAAAAAATGTCATTAAATATAAATATTAACTTCTTTTTTACAATAATATCTTTCGATTATCATTTGTTGAATTTTATTTGTAATTTTTTAGACGTTTTGCAAATGATGGGCCGCGCCGGAAGACCCCAATATGATGAACAGGGAGTCGCTGTTATACTAGTTCAGGACTCTAAAAAACATTTTTATAAAAAATTCTTGTACGAGCCGTTTCCTGTTGAATCTAATCTTTTAGAGGTATCTCAGATTTTATTCTTTATAATTCATTAAAAAATATAAAATATTTTATAACAAATCATCTATCCTAAGGTACTTCCTGATCATATAAATGCGGAAATAGTATCAGGAACAATTCAAAATAAGCAAGAAGCCTTAGATTATTTGACATGGACTTATTTTTTCAGGAGACTTTGGAAAAATCCTTCGTTTTACGGGTTGGAAGACATGGAAACTAATTGCGCAAACCTGTATCTTTCATCCCTGGTGGAAAAAACTGTATTAGAACTAGAAAATTCTTTTTGCCTATCTGTTCAAGAGGATAGCAGGTATTATTGTATTATTATATGTTATAATAATTTATACAAGAACAGTTGTAATGCGCAGAAAAAGACAGTAATTTCGTTTATTTCTCCCTTTTTCTTTCTCTCCTTTTCCCATATTTATTTTAAGCAAATTTTTTTGTCGCAAATAGTGCTCAAATTTTAAAATAGTTGAATTGAACTATAGAATTCAATATTAATTTAACCAAAAAAATCATTTTTATCATATTCTACTGAATATTCATATTAGCTTATATATAAATATCTAAATTTTGAAATAATTCTTTCCAACTTCAGATACTGACTGAGTTTGGATATTAGGCAGGGGGCGACTGTAAGACCAAGTGGCATTTTTTGAACTAGAAAAATTTTAGGGTACTTGCGCCAAAGTTCCTGATATTTTATATACGATAAGTCTTATTCTCGAGGCTTGTAATAATTTTTTATGTGCAATTAATATGATTTTATTTATTTCGCAATTAAGATTATGTTTTTATCATCGGGCTATCCGGCAAGAGGGGTAAAATGGCTAACTGACATAACTTTTTATCTTTAGGATTAATTGTTCAAATTTAGCCAAAAGATGTATTTATATACATATTATCTACCATATATTCATTTAGTAACGGGAAATTTTTATTCAAAAAATTGATCAATAACGATTTTTTAGCAACTTTTCTTTTTAGTATCTTTTATCTCGAGAAAAAAATAAAATACTTTTTTAAATGTTAATTTATATGTTATATTGCTCAATGTCTAGGCTATTGATTAAACTTGGCCCAAAGTTACTAGCTTATCTAGAAGAGTTTCTATAACCATTTACGCGAACTCACTATCCTAGGGGCTAAACGTCTTGGGGTAAAATGGCATATAAAAGAGTATTAAATTGCAAAAGAAAAAAATAGATAAATATAAATATAAAAAATTGAAATTGTGAACGCGAATACTGGATAAAATATCCAAATGGGCACATTCAATTTGTGCTAAGAATGATCCATTTTATGTGTGCCCCATATTGTGAAGATATTATTGTTTTATCATTATCATTTGTAAATAATATAGGTAAAAAATTTGGGTTTTGTTTGTTGAATTTTATATTTGCCATCTTACCCAGTGTCGTCGGTAAATAGTGAAAAGCACTACTTGTACTTAATCCTAAATAGCACCCACAGTATAAAAGGCAGAAAGCCTCGGTTTTTTTTATTTAGTAGCCTAATTAAGTGGTTATCTAATGTTACAATTAATTTTATCATAAAATGTAAAACACCTGTCGTATAGCCCGGTCTCACCTATTTGTTGAAAAATATAAGAAATGATAAAAGCCATATATAACAATAAGGCGGGCCCGGACGAAGGCCTGGTAAAAGCATTCCGAAAGCCTGCAAAATGGGAGATATGGAGGCAAAGCCTCCCATAAAAATGAGTACGCTTGAAAAGATATGCTTACGAAGGTGGTACACCGCTAATCCGCCCCTAATTGGTATGTCGTAGGGTTATATTGGAATCTTTAATTTATTAATAATTTATTTATCACATTTTTTAAAAAAAATTTATTTGCCTGAATTGGATTCTAGCATAATGTATAATACCTAAATTCCAGAATGTCATTACAGAACTATATACATTCATGCTGGAATATTCCGGCAAAAGTCTTTTAAAAATTATGTGCTATAAATAATTTTTAATATTCCAACATCCTTCTACGGCTATACATTAGAGCTAGATATTGTGCCCCTTGTCTTAAAATATTAAATTTTAGATTATGACTAGCACATTTATAACCCGAGATATTTTCGAAACAAATGAATAACTCTTACATTTCAACTCTATGTTAAATTAGTAAGAAACAATATTCCCTCCCTTCTTTTTTTGTATATTTGCTAATTAATAACTACCAATAAATATTTATAAGTAAGAGTTAAGTATGTAATTCCACTTATAAAATATCTTTTGTTTATTAATATATTTTTTTATTTAATCAGAACACTAGAGCCCACTACCCTGGGTAGGATAGCTTCATTTTACTACTTATCGCATATGAGCATAAAAGTCTTCAAGGATAAATTATCATCCAACTCTTGCTCCATTGAATTGCTCCTTACGGTTATTTCTTCCGCCGCTGAATATAACGAATTGCCAGTAAGGCATAACGAAGACGCCCTAAATGCCGAACTTTCCGACTGCGTGCCTTACAAAGTTATAACCATTTTGCTTAATTTTTCTACCTTTTGGAGGTAAATATTGATAGACAACTTTTCTCAATTTGTAAATATAATCACTTAAAAAAAGAATTTCATGATATATCACTGTATTTTTTTTGTTCCCATGTCTAAAATAGCTTATTCACACGTTTTAATTTAAAAGTTGTATACTAAATAAGCTTTTGACATCGGACTTAGACCAATCTGTCTTAAAAATACCCTTCCCTGCCCAATTTTTTAAAAAAAGAATGGAAATTTTTTTGCTTTCTATTATCTTTAAAACCCTGGATTTTTTTTGTGCAGACCCTAAATAAAATTGGTTCGGAAAGAAGCGATTAGAATAAGTTTTAATTAAAATTTTGAATAGGTTGATCCTTTCACATTCGACAGCCCTCACACCAAGGCTAACCTGCTCATGCAATGTCATTTTGGGCGCATTAAGTTGCCTTCCTCTGATTACTATACCGACACCAAATCAATGTTAGACCAAATTTTCAGAATTTTGCAAGTTAATTATTATTTGTTCCGTTTTACGTAATTGATATAATTTTTTATATAGTAATATGCAGTGTTGAACCGAACCTTTATTATTTTATTTTTTTAATAACCTGAACCGAAGCTTTATTTAAAAATTAGTGGGGCATGTACTTGAATTCGGCGTGGTAGAGGATAGAGGATACATTAACAAATATGATTAATTTTTTAAACAATTTATATCACTTTTATAATTCTTAAATCAAAGTACGGTAATTGATTTAAAATATAAAATAAAATTTTCACTAAGGCATTACTAGATATGGCCGCGGAGGAAGGATGGTTGGCGGTGTCTTTGCTCCTGGTCAATTTTATGCAAATGTGCGCTCAATCTAGATGGGTTGAAGATTCATCTCTAACCACTCTACCTTTCATTAATTCAGATCACCTCCATTTTTTCGAGTATAATTAAATGCAACTCTAATATACAATATTTTATGAAGAAGTCTGGGGGACATAATAAAAGATGAAGAAATAAAAATAACAATAGAATTAGTGTCGAAAATCACATCTATAACCTGCTTTTGGGCCGACTCCAAAAAACGCCTAAATTTTTAGTTGGGAATTATCCCCTCAGTTTTTTCTTAAGGAATAACTTCACTTTAAGGGAAGTCAAAATTTATTAATTCGTACCAAAAGGCTTAGCCGATTTTTTTTTCGACATGCGCCTTAAGATTTAGCTTGTTCTATAATATTAAATATTATATAATAATTTCTATTATTGTTCTTATTAATTAAATAACTTTTGTTTTTTTTATTTTTTTGCTAGTTTTAGCAAGTGACTATATAGCATATAGAAAGAATTCGAAATTATTAACTTATATATATATTTTTTAATCTTAAGGGTGTGTCTTGGTTCAACTTATTTACTTATTAATGTTAGCCTGGGTTTAACATTAGGATACCTTTTAAGTGTTTGATGGCATTGGTTTTTCTCTTTTTTTCTGATACTTTTTAGACTGTTTAGTTGAAACTCAGTCGGCTATTTATATAAGTCGAACCAGGACATACCCCGATGTATTATTTATATCCTTAGTTTTTATTTTTTTATAAATTACTTCAATTCCCTTCTATTGATTTATTTTTTTAGAAATGTTACCTTGAATGGTAAAATTATTGACATTGTGAACATACCCCAATTGGTGATTTATTGTCAAGATGAGCGGGTCAACTTGAAAAATATTCTAACTGATACTCATTATTTTACCAATCCTAAGATAGATGATGTAAAAAAATTTTAAACCACAGAGGCAGATACAGAAGGTCAAACGTCTGTATCCCATCAATAACGTCGTTTTTAAGACGGAATATTTTTATCTTAAATATATGCAACATTTTTGATAAATTACTATCATCTATTCACATATTTTAAAATAATCTAATTGAGGGACATCTCGGATTCTTAAGTAAAGAAATTAGACGAAAGACATACTCGTATAAGAAATGGACCTTTTACAACCCCAACTTTAAAATAATCACTAAATGTATTTAATGTCAGACTTCGTGCTCCTAACAAATATTCGAAATAATTTCATTTTAGTATTCACGAATATTCGAATAAAACTATTTTTAATTGTAGTCATAAGAAATTTTGTTATTTATAGACTCCTAATTTTTGGTTTTTATTTTAAAATTTTAACGATCATTGGAGTTTTGGTCTTCCTCACTTTCATTTATCCATCTCTTTTAGACTCTTATTTTTCCTATATAGTTTTTAAGCCTTCTCATTGTATGCCCGTACCATCTTTAGGTGTTCATGTTCACCATGATTGTTGTTTAAAAAGCTACCATCTTTAAACTTCCTGTATACTTGTATTTCGTGTTTTATCCTTTTCAATACCCCAACTATCATCCTTAGCATTATCATCTACATTGTCGTCAGAGGACGTTTGACCTTGCGAATCGCACTCATTCTTTTAAATATCAATCAAAATAATATAGTTTATAATTTTTTTAGGCTGGGCCAGGTTTTTAAAAATATTAAAAACACATCATTTCTCTGTGAATCCTTTGTAATTATATTTTAAAAAAATAAAGATATTTTCTGCCTTAATGAGATTTCCTATGATAAAGATTGACATCTCGCTTTATTTTCAAGAATCCACTGCTCAATCAATTTTTATCAATTTGCAAAGTTATTTGAATCTTTAATTTTCATAAATATTTTTTTTATATTTATTTTTTTAATCGTTATCGCATACACTTATTACTGATAATTATTATTTTTTAAGATTTAGATTATTCATCATTATCTATTATAATTAGAGTAAAATGCCCCGGATAGAAATAAAGCAATTTTACCAAAATATTTAAAATCATGTCTGATAGATTATCTATTTTTGACATAAATAAATTGAGGTATCCTTGTCTGGATTCATTTTATATAGTATATTCTTTTTTTTCAAATATCAATTCGAAATTATAATTAATAAAGGGAAAACAAGACTTTCTGCCGATGAATGGCCCAATGTATTTTCCGATCAGGAATTAGCCATGACCGTTAAACTCACACGAATTAATAAAAATAAGGTTTGAAAATTAACTAAATTTTATAAATAACGCATGTAAGGCAAGGTGGAAACCAAATTTATAAAAAACACTTATATAATTATTTGTAAACCAAATTTTAATGATAAATTATTAAAGAAAAAAGGTAGCAAAGCATATTGCCCTAAATTTCCTAAAGAAAAAGATGAATCATGGGTCTTGATTTTAGCGGAATCCGAAAAGACTGAATTAGTAGCTCTTAAACGAGTAGGCTGTGTTTACGATGTTCTCCAAACCACTTTATTATTTACTACCCCTTCCAAACCAGGTTAAATTTTAATGGTCAAAAGAAATTAATTTTGAATGTTTTATATGTTTATATTATACAAAAGGTCGATTTATATACACATTCTACTTGATGAGCGATAGCTATATAGGTCTAGATCAACAATACGATATATGTCTGAACATTCTATTACCCACCAATAAATGAATTGTTAAAATTTAAAATAAATCTTATAAAAGTCAATTATTTATTTTTTAAAAAAGGTATTTATTTATAAATTACTACTCATACAATAAAAATTTTTTTTACAAGGTACGACGATATTCAAAGCATAATAATGGCATTTTATAAAAGAAAAGCTTTGAAATCTAAATTATATAAAACTAGTTGCATTTTGTTTTAAATAATTGTTTTGAGTTTGGTTAATGGCTACATATTCAGAATCAGTATAAAATAAAGGCATGGGTGCATTTAGACTACATTTAGTAAATTAATATGTAGATAACTAACATTGCATTATTTAATATAAAAAAATTTTAAGCGCTTAAGCCGTGCCCTAGGTCAGCCTAATTTGAATACTTAATTGCCTTTCGAGAACACCCTAATTTGGTTTATTTTAAATAATTGGTGGCATTTTGTTATTTTTGATATTTTATTCTCGTTTTTTTTTGCTTTTTTGGCTACTAAGCCGACCTAGGACACGGCGTTAGGATTGTTTTCCTACACATTTTGATAATTTGGCATTCAAAAAAAACTTTAATACAACCTATAAGATATATTTAAAAATATATTTATCAAAAAGAAATATCACAGGTAGTTAGTTTTGTGTTTAATTTTGTAAAAAAAAATATATATATTTATTTTAAATATAATGTCTTTTAAAGTCTCTCAACACTATTATGCAAATTGTCTTGGCCTTCTTCTATATTTGATACATCACCTGTCGGCTGTCTTGTATCGCCCCTTCTGATACAACGGTTTATATAATTGTTTCTGGTGTTTAGCCATGGATGCAATGAGATCCTATTCAGGGTTGGTCTTTTGTGAGGTACAAAATTGAGGCATTCGCTAATTAAGTCTTTACCTTCTAAAAAAATTTACTATTAAAATCATTAAACTTTCGAATATTATTTTTAGTAGCAAAATGATTTTAATTATCAAAAAAATTTACACTTAAGGAATATCCAATTTAAAATTAAGTTAATATTTTATAATTGGTGTAAACATCTAAGCTTAGGTGTGAATTGTTTTTTGAGGTCAAAATTATATTTTAAGTCGAGGAGGGGGTGAGAGATAACCTGAAGAAACAGGCTTGTTGCCGAAAAATATTCTGGCTTGACATATTTGGTAAGGTGTTTCGAAGGGAATATCACCATAAAGCATGTCATATAACAAAATTCCCAGGGACCAGACAGTTGCTGGAATCGCGTCGTAGCATTTGTTGTTAATCCATTCTGGAGGGCTATAAACCATTGTGCCTAATTAAGAAATATTACCTTAAGTTTCATCAAGATAATAGATGGATGTCTGCAATGGGTAGGTTTTTAGCCCGTGTGAGTGTTTTGTAAAATATTTTAAACATTTGTCATGTGGTGGGTTGATTAAAAAATATTTTTAATTAACATACTTCAATTTATTAAAAATACATTAAAATAAAAAAAGAACCAAACCGGTTATTAAAATAGTTTTTTAACATTGTGTGGTGGGGTTTAACAAATTCTTTAGAGAAAAGGGCAGGCGGAAGATAAATTTAAAAAATACCAAGGGCGAGCTGGATAAAAAAATTAAGACAAATTCGCCAATTACAGATTTCTAAGTTGAACCCCTGTAGTATTACAATACCCTCTATTTTATAATTCCTAAGGGTTATAAATTTAAATATTGGAGACAATTTAACTTTTTTAGATACTTAAACCGATATTAGGATTTGGTATAATTCCAGTTTTTTTAAAGGATGAAATTACCTTGTTTAAAACAAAAAAGTAAAATAAAATATATCCATCTTGCTTGATACATTGGACCGGCCGATACTGATATTTAATAAATAATTAGGGTCGTGCCTATATTATAAAAATTGGTACACAAATCCAAATCTCTTATTTTTTGTAAATTTATTTAATTTATACATCTATCTTTTTTTAATGATTATAAATAAATACGATATTGAACATGAATAAATGGATTAAGATAATAAGAGAAAATAGGTTATTTGTTATTCCATGAAATTCCTCATTTTTCATATTTCTTATCCATGTTTTATTTTATAATTTTTTTTAAAATTTCATTAATACTATAACAACAAATAAAAGATATTAATTTCGCTCTCAATCTTATCTCATATATATCTTTTTTTAAATATATTCTCGCTCTACATTATATTAATTTTTATAAAATCTGACTAATAATAATCTTAGTAAAGCTAATAATAATACCATATAACACAAGAATTTGCGAATTAAAAGAGTTAAAATAAAACTATATGCACAGGTAGACTGCCAGGCGCATAACCAAAGGATGGGAAAGTGAGAAATTTGTTTGTTCTCTTAAATATCATTATAAGCAAATATATATTTTCCTCCACCCCCCCCCCCCAATGTATACAGAGGTTGCAAATGTCAAAAAAAGTTGTCCCGTTTTTAAAACTTTCTGTCAATGGTGATCTAACCATATTTTGAGATTAAATTAAAATTCAAGATTATGAGCAAAAAGGCCTAATAATAATGTAGATTGTATTGTCATTTTATATTTATGCAAAAATTCTAATAGAACATTTAAACAAATTATAGGATATATTTTATTTAAATCCATAATTAGATGTAAAAGTAATAAATCATTAACATTTTGGTGCCCGACCTAGATAGTAATAATAAGACATTACTCCACCCATAGGCCGAGCCTGGCAGACCTTTACAATGTATTATATATCAGAAAAAAAAATAAGAAAATTATTATTTTTTAAAAATAAGACTATAATTCAAAAATTTTAGAAAAAAAGGTGAAAAATAAGAATTATTTTTATAAAAATTTAACATAGCCAAAATTCTACATTAAGTAAAAGATTTCCAATAAAATTTGTGGCGGAAATACCTATCCAATAGTGCCCTTTCATTTCCCAATAAAAAATCCTAGATACGCTAACGTAGAAAGAAATATTACAATACTTTATAATTCCCTTTTACCATAAAACCTTCCCTTATTAATTAAAAAAAATATTATTTAAAGTTACTAGGTTTATCTATTTTGGTGAGGGAAAAAATCGGATGGGGAAGTAGATTTTTATTTGCTTGAAATGGTATTTATAAAACTTTGCAAATTTTATTTTAATGTTACGTCTATTTTAAAAAATTTTAACCTTCAAATTTCGTGTAAGTAGAGGTGTTGTTGTCGAGAATATTTCCAGATCCAAAATCTATAAGAATGAGCCGATTATTTTTAACGTCTATCAGAATATTTTCATCCTTAATATCTAAATGAACCACCCCAACTTCAGAACACGCTATTATCGTCTGCAGAATTTCGGAAAAATATTTTCTTGCTAGCGATTCTTTTAAAGGGCCATACTGTGTTATGTAATCGTAAAGATCTATGCAATATTCTGGTCGATGTGTAGATATGATATAAAAATGATTGAATTCGTAAAAATCCAATAATCTTATGCATCCGGGAATATGTCTTACTTTGTGTAAAAGAGCTATCTCGCGGGGAATTTGTCGTGCATTCGCCTATGTTAAAATGTTATCGTTAAGGAGGCAAAAAGCATAAATTTGATGAAATTCAATTTAAGAATTGTTTAAGAAAAAATTTTATTATAAAAAATCGATCATCATAAAATTTAAAATAAAAGATTTACCTCAACCCAATGGGATATTTTTTCCTTTTTAATGATTTTCAAGGCAACCTTGAATATTCAAAAAAAAAATATAGATTGATATTAAAACTAATTTTAAAATTATACCAATTTTTGATCAGCAATTCTTTTAGCAGCATAGACTTCCCCAAATCCACCTCCGCCTATACATTTTCCCACATTATAAATTTGTTCTATTCTTTCTTTAACATCATCTAAAATATTATTTTATTATTACATTATATAATAAATTACCATTTCATTTCAAGATTTAATTCAAAATTTTTTAAAACTTTATCGAAAAACATAAATTACAGCTTTTTTAAATAGAAAATTAAAAATATGGCCCAACATATTTATAAAATTTTCAAAAACTTTGTCATCTCATGTTTCTCTAAAGTTCTAATTAAAACAGGTTTTGGATGCTCCCGCAACAAAAAAATGATTACTTTTTTATATAATTCTTAACAAAAATTGTAATTTATAGGGGGTTAACCTATAATTTTACAAACCAGATTAATATTAATATATAGTATAATTATAATTATACATTTAAGAATATGTGCTGAGATTGAGAAACACGACGATAATATTAAATTTTAAAAAATGTTTATGTAATTAACTTGTAAACCTTATAAAAAAATGGTCTCAGTTTCTAAAGTTCATTTGCTTATATCATTAATAAAAAACATTTTGTCAAATGAGTAATTTTTATTTTATAAATCTAACCATATTTGTTCTCGGATCTTAAATTTCCAGAAATAATATCCTTGTCTAATAAATCATTGTTACCATCTTCAGCGTATATCAAGAATTTCATATTACTCATTGCGGAATTATAATCAATTTTAATTTAAAAAATGTTCATAATTTATATAATGTTTTTTTTTAAAAAAAGAATAATATTTTTATATTTTTTTAACTTTAAAAAAAATAGCGCCAAATGATACCCACTCATAAATTAATTTGCATAACAATAATTTTGCAAATTTAATAAAAGAAATATTATTATGTAATTTTCATTTGTGTCAAAATAATTTTTATGTTTGCTGAGAAATGTAAACAAATCACATCATTCATTAAGTGTTATGTTTATAAACCACGATAAAAATATTGTGGTGTTTATATAAAAAAATGATTTCTAATAAAAAGATTTTTATAATAAAAAATGTTTGATTTTTATATTATAAGTTAATAAAATTGTATTTATGTAAAATTTAAAATGTAAAAGACACCTTTTATTCAATTCTTCATTCTATTTTTTATACTTTATTTGAATCATAAATATTTGAAATTAAATTATTTATGTAAATTTTTATTTATATTTTGATTAAAGTAAATATAAACACATTTGTAGCGCTAGCACGGGAAATAAATATTGCTTTAAAATTATAAATTAGGAATACATTGAATGGATAAAATCCAGAAGCAAACACTATTATAAATAATACAGAGTTTACACACATAGAATTGCATTATAATATATCATTTTTGATTAACAGCTGAAATCAATTATTGTTAATTAGTGAAGGTGATATGATAACTTTTATTTATTAGAAATTAAGTTATAATGATTTTTATGTCTTGAATAAAATCTAATTTTAGGTGGGCTAATAGTTTTTAGCATAAATCTATCACTTCATTTTATGGCTTTTTTTTGAAAATATATCTAAATTTTGATTAAAGAATAATTAATTCTGAGCTTAAATACTTACCAGATTTTCCTTGGTAGCGCTGTTGGTTGAGCCGAATAGCAATTTCGCTGATATATTTGTTTTTTCATCATAATATTTTAAAGGTTAACAAAAGGTGTTTATTCACCTATTTATAAAGTGTGATGTGAAGTATTTAAACAACATATTTTGATTTTCCCCAAATCTTTTAGTGCATGATTATTATATTATAATATCATAAATAACTATGATATTTGATTGTACCTATTATTATACTCTAATTCTCCTTGTTGTTTGTTTGGTTACTTGAAAATAAAACTTTTTTGAAAAAATTTACGAAAGGTTTGTAAAATCCTCCAAACAAAAATGCAAAAATTTTATTAATCTTAAATAAATTTATCGATTTGCATTTAAATATCCTTCCTTTGGAGTAATATAGTGATAATTTATTAAGTTAAATTATATTTTTATAAAATGAATAAATATTAGTGCCCACAGAATCAGAGTTGCCAGGCCTCTTAATTTTTAGTTTATCTTTGTTGAAGGACTCTATTACAGTGAAACGATACACATGTTTAAATATTCTATAAAAGGGGGTAAACAAAATAAGATTTTATTTTTAGAATAAAGATTGAAATTAAATATGGACAAGCAATTAATTAAGAAGATTAATAGTTGATTAATCATTATAAAAAGAAATGTGTTACATATATATAATTTGTGATGAAAAATGAATTTTTTTTTTTATTTTCTTTGAGAATGCTCAAGTAAGATATTTGATTAAATTTCATTTAAAATTCTGAATCATTTTTTGTAAAAAGTCTTTTTAATATTTGAAAATATTTTAGAATTTCTTAAATGTAATCTATTTTGTATATCCATTTATTTCGATAAAAATTATCGGTAGTTTTAAATTTTTAACAGATTTATTGTATATACCTATATTATAATAATTAATGTAAAGGATAAATCATCTTAGAAATTTATTGCTCATTGACCATAATATACCAAATTTAGCTCACTAAAAAATGAGTATGATACTTCTTAAATTTTGAAAAAAATATGTATATTTTTCTTATCTAATGTTACTATAGAAGGAATATTTAGATAATAAAAAATTTATGGTGAAAAGACGTTGAGCGATTATCTTTACCAGCTTCCGAAACTGAATTCAAACCTGATTTTAAGGAATAGTAGCAAAATAAATTAATTTAGTTAATAGTATAAAAAATTTAATATAATTAGGATGATTTTAAACAGTCCCTGTAGAAAAGATTTAATGGCCGTATAACAATTTTAATAAACCCTTTTTTACAACTTCCTTAACCCAACTGCATTCACAGTTGGTGCGAATTTGGAAGTATGCAAAATATGCTCTATTTTGGTATTAGATCCTCAGCCTAGATATGTGACTTCTGTGGCACCCTTGCCACTTAAAAAATGATGATTATTTTTAAACCATCAACTTAATATTTGAAAAATTATAATAAAATTTGCTAGATTTGTGTCCTTATTTTCTAGATCAAGAATCTTTGAATTTTTTCAAACCCTGTTTACTATATTAAAATTCAGTTCGGCTCGGGTCTATTGATCAGGCCCTGTTGGTCTCTGCAAAATTTCTTTGGAACGAAAAAAAAACTTCTGAATATTTTTTTTAATATGCAGTATAATATAAAAATAATTTAATATAATTAAAATCTCTGGGTTTTTTAACTTATTTTCGGAGTATTTTAATCCAATTGCCAGTTAAAATATAATCACAGCTTTTTTTTGGTTTCATTAGACATTTATTTTAGAAATAGAAAGGTCTTTTAATAAAAATTCACATTCACCAATATATTATTTTTTTTTAAAAAAAAAAATCAAAATTTATCGATTTGTCTACGTTTTATATTAAAAATGAATTTCCCAGACAAACAAATTATATTGATCTATCTATACAATCTAAACTATAGTCTACTTCTTTCTTTTTAAACGAAAAATGGAAACTACGAATATAATAAATGAAAAAAATTATTGAATAAAATGAGATATTGATTCTAAAAAAAATTTAATAATTGATTTGAACAAAAATTAACTTTTGGTTAAATAAATATATTTAAAAAAGACCCTGACCGAGTCAAAATAGATTCCTCCAAAAATATTAGCAAGCAAAATTCCCCGACAAAAAATACTCACATTCAAAATTAGATTAACCTGACTTGACAATTATTCGTAAAACATCATTTTTTTATTTTATAGGAATTTTAGCCCTGGAAATTTTTGTCCAATTACCATAAAAATTACCATTTAAAATTTTAAAAAAATTTCTGTGCGAATTATATTATATACAAACCAAATTAATTTTTTCAGGAAATTTTTCTGGTTAAATAACATAACGGTTAAAATCGCGGGGGGGGGGGGGTCAGCTGTTATTTAGGTTATATTGAACAAGCCACTGGTTATAAAATTTATTTTAAAAAAATGTATTTCTCTTCATATAAAGTGATATATTATGTAAAATGAATTATATCGCAACTCCTCATTTTCAGATTTCTAATTCTGAACTAAAAAATTCCAGTTCGATAATTTAAAAAAAAAATTAAAAAGAGATTCTGGTTCCTTAAATTCCATTTTTTTAAATGATATAAACGACAATATAAAATATAATTTAAATAGATTAAAAGTATATTTAACTTTTTAAAAAATTAAAAGGGGAATATAAAGAGCTGGAAGAATGTAGAGGAGGGAAGGAGATAGTGTTAATAATTAGAAATGAAATTATCCGCTGAAAAGGGAAAAAATTAAGACAAAAATAATTACCGTGGCAACCCTTAACTATAATATAAATAAGATTCTGATTGATCGGCCTTTTCATGGATCCGTCCATATTCTATAATACCAGTTTTTTAAAAAAGATTTGAACTTTTCTAAATAGGCTAGATTCTAGTAGCAAAAAAAAATGATGGGATCGACACTCCCAAACGGTAGCAAAACTATAGTTACGGATATATAACAAAAATAAGTATTTATAAGTGACATTACTTTCGTGAAGTTGTTTTCGCCTTAATATATTCGCTATAATGCATTCGCATTAATGCTTACGCGGAAATGCATTCGGGGTAATATTCTTTCGGTAATACACTCGTAATAATGTTTGTGCGGCAATATATTGGCTAAAATACATTTAAAATAATGTTTTCGAGATGATATTTTCATGGTAATGAATTAACGATATTGTTTTCGCGGTAATACAACCTCTATGATATCTTTGTAGTCATGTTTTCACGAAAATAAATTCATTGTAATGCATTTTTGGGCATGTTTTGCTGTAAGATATATGCTCAAGTGCATTCGCGATAATATTATGGTACATTATAAAAAATATTTTCAAGATATTGTTTTCGCGCTAATACATTCGCTGTTAATGCATTTGTGGTAACGCATTTATGGCAATATATTCACGAAAAAGCATTTGAGATAATGAATTTGCGATAATTCATTCGCAAAGCTTTTGCGTGAATATCCTTTTACGCTAACCGATATTTTGCAGTAACACATTTACGATAATATCATTAACCAAAATGTTTCGCAGTATTGACAAAAACTAAATCGCCTACATTATTTATCTTAATTTTGTAAAATAAAATTTGAAAATTCAAATTAAAAAAAATGCCATGATTAAATTTAAATATTGAAAAAAGTTTATAAATCATTTTAAAAAAAGTTTAATATAAAGCATATGTCATTATTTACGTTTGATTTAATTTAGAAATTATATTTACTTTAAAGGTTCACTGTCATTTTTCAAATCTTTGAAATGAAAACCAAATCACAAAACAGACGGGTAATGATAAAAATCAAACATCCATATACAAGATGGCCAAAAATTTAATAAATCTCAATCAAATAATAAATAGTTAAAAGTTCTAAACATATGATTATTAATATTAAATATACTGAACCAGCTTTGAATTTAGGTTCAAAAACAAAACTTGACTAGGTTTTCAATCACTGAACTTTTAGGCGTGGACATTCTAAATTTAAAACAGTAGATAATAATTTTATTAAGATTATGAATAATATCTTTACATATTTTTTTTAGTTGACGCGGCTTTATTTATCAAACGATATTTTCTTCGCTATTTTATGTACCATATTAAATTCTATATTAATT